GTGACAGCCTATTAGATATTTGAAGATGGACATCATATATCTCTTCTCAGTCTCCTTTTGTAGGCCAAGCATATCCAGATCCCTCAACTGTGCCTTACAAGGCTTGGTTTCCAGACTCTTGATCACCTTGGTTCCTCTCCTCTGCGCATGTTCCAGATTGTCCATATCTTCTCAAATTGTGGGTGCCCCAAACTGGATACAGGACTCTAGGTGTCCTGTGAAGGCAGAATAGAGCAGTTCTATTACTATAAAACCAAAGACGTGACAGCTGAGATTCTCACCAAGCCTCTACCAAGAGGCAGTTTTGAGAATCTTTGAGTGTAGTTGGGATTCTGGGTGGTTTGTTCTATTGTGTATCTAGTTTTTGTATTTACCTGAGGAGTTTCTGAAAAAGATTCAGCCAAATATCACAGGCAAACTTCAGGCAGGTTATTGCATGAAGGGAGAGGAGAGGGAGAGAATATTCTGTGGCACAAGGGAGAAATCCCTGTGATTAGGCAGGGGCTGCCAACCTTGTGGACCAGTGAGCACATTTCCAGATGCTTAGATAGTGGATGTGAATTTTAATTTTTCCAGTATTTTAGCTTTTTGTATGTTCTAATGCATGGTTGTAGATTTTTTTGATTTTCTTGTTTTATCTTTTTGTAAATCTTTTTGTTTATCTTGAGATTGTTGTGTTTTTTTACAAGCAGGCAGGGTATATTTCATGAAATAAATAAAAGTAAAAAATATATATTTTGAATTTTGAGAGAGTGCTGGGGGTTGACAGGAAAGAGAAAATAAATAATGGGACTATATAATGAGGATGTGAAAATGGGAAGAGTACAATTTTAACTAAGTTAAAGATTTTGATATTAAAATATATTAGAGCAGGCAGGAAAAGTTAAGATGTAAAAAAACCCAGAAGAGGAAGTTGAGGGAAATAAGGGGGGATTTGGGAATTGTATTTTTTATATATATTTGATATGAAATTTTAATGTTTAAAATGCAAAATCTAATAAAAAATATTTTTTTAAAAAAGGAAAGAGGGCTTATAGCTCTGTTGTGGAGCAGAAAACCTACATATGATGTGAAAAAGAGCCTTAGCAGGAGCAAACACTTTAGATCAGGGGGCCCAAACTTTTTTCAGATGAGGGCCAACCAAAGTTGTTGAGCTTTTTAGGATTTTACCCCGGGACATATACTGCCACAGGCCGGATTAAATCGACTGGTGGGTCGGATATCCTGGCACCCACAGAGAATTTCCTGGGTGAGCCTGTGAGCTCTGAGCATTCTCCATCCCACCCCCATCCTCTTCTACTGTTATTGCAGATTCAGTAAAGTAAATAAAGAAATTGATCAACAAATACTCATAGGATTGCAACAGGTTGAAAGCAGCCTAAGGATGAACATGATCATTAAACGGATTATTCCAAAAAATACCCATCTGTCCATGAACCTGTTACTGTACTTAGATTTATACTGTTGGGTGTTTTTTTTTTGGGGGGGTGTCTTCTCCTTTGGCGATCACTCCTAGCAGAGTAAGATTGTCTTCCATGAACACGGGCTCAACAGTGAATCTCAACTGTGAGACCAGAAACACCCCGAAGCCCTAGGAATTAATATATGGTCTGGTTTTGATTATTTGGGATGTGAAAGGAGAAATGCCAGCTGCAGATTCTAGCAAGGGGTTCCCTGCTTCTTGCAGAGCCCTTTCCCCTCCCAGCTGCTGCTCCTCCTGTTTCTGGCCAAGGGAGGGGGCAGCTCAGAGCCCAGCCAGGAGGGCCCCCCCCCAAATGAAGCCCCTCCTCCGAGTGTGCGCAATGCACAGATCTGCTTTGGAGAGAGGAAGCGCAGAGAAGGGCGAGCTTGATGCGCTCGGATTTGCAAGGGTTAAAAGGAGCAGAGCTGGCTTCCTAGAGAGGAGAGGAAATTCGGTTCCGGGTGGGGGGGCCAAGTCCTCCAGCGCATCAGTCCCTCCCTCCCCCCAAAGTCCTCCCTGAAAGGGGAGCCGGCTGGGTCTTGGGTTTTCCTCCTGTGCAAGCGTCTCCGGTGAGTCCCTTCTCTCTTCCCCCTTTGGGTGCATTGGGGAGAGAGGGGGTCCGAGGGATGCATGGGGGGGCGGCTGTTCAGGTCATGCATGGGGGGCATCCAAGTCCAAGAGCAGGTGGTCCTGCCCCCCCCTTCCCTCTCTGCAGATCCAGGCTGGGAGGAGTCTGCGACTCTGTTCCTCCTTTGTATCGCTGCGCTGCTTGCCACTTTGCAAGGGGGGGTCTTTGGATCAGGAGAAAAAGCGTGCAAATATTTATGAATCAGTCACGTTGCTGAACAGAGGATGTAGCCAGACGGAGGCAGCCGGACATAAAATATAAGCAAGAAATAAAGGCGAAAATCTGACCTAGGCGGTCAGATGGAAGGTGGAGGGCAGAGAAAAGAAAGTGCTTTTTCATGCGGCGCAGAGTTTAACCTGTGGAACTCCCTCCTGCAGGAGCCTAGATGGCTTTAAAAAGAGGATGGAGGAGGAGAGGGCGATGGGGGGCTCCTAGCCCCCTCCTCAGTCGGGGACAGGGATGCTTCTGAATCCCAGCTGCCGGAAAACCACAGGCAGATGCTCTTGGGCTCGGATCCTGCTGGTGGGCTTCCCAGAAGAAGCCCCTGCTCGGCCCCTGTCAGAACAGGAGGGGGGACTCAATAGGGTCCCCTTTGGCCTGATCCTGCAAGTCTTGTCTTCAGTTCTGATGCTGAGTTCCTTCAGATGCAAGCAAATCCTCTGTTTTCCTTCAGTTAGAAGTATAGCTCCCCCCCCAAAAAAAATCACCAGAAGGGGTGTGATCCAGACATTCAGATGATACAGGTGTCCCTGTTCAGACATGCAGCCTCTCAGGTGCCCAGAGGATCTTCTGAGACAGAACAGGAAGCCCCGCTGAGAAGCCCTGGAGGCCTCACCACCCAAGGATTCCAAGGGAGGAGAGGCCCTGTGGGGAAGGAAGCAAAGTGGGGTGGGGTTGGGGGTGGAAGAGGCAGCCCCTCTGAGAGTTACTGGGAGACCCTCTCCCACCGGCTTCTTCTGTCTGTAATTCCAAGAGTCCCCAGGCAAAAAGAATGAAGTCTTAAAACACTCTTAATGGGGTATCTCCTAGGAACTCTCAGCATCCTTAATAAACTACAGTTCGCAGGACTCTTTGGAGGAAGCCAGGGCTCTTTAAACGGGTCTGATCCTGCAGTGCAGATGGAGTGTAGGTCTCTCTGCTGTATTTCCCCTTCCCTTATGAAATAACCTTTTTATTGGGTTTTATAGCAAGGATCATAGGAGTAATAAATGATACAAATAAATAGAAGGAGTCTTTTGGCTTCATTTGTAGATCACAAAAATAGTATAATAAATTTGTAGACAAATCCACAACATCTGGTGCATTATTGGTGGTCAGTGCATGAGTTCCTGGTTCGTGAATTGGTTTAAACAAAGCCAGAAAAAAGGGAAACAGGAGAGAGCAGAGTTCACAGTCATCAACACATGGCCAAATTCCTAGTCAGGAGCCCTTGTTGAATGAGGAAGAGTAATTTCCCCCTTCTGTTAACAATATAACAGTATAAAGTGTTGATCTATGGATGAACATGGGAGGAGCGTTCCAAGTGAAGATAATGATTTGTGTTTAAATGTAGACCATACCTCCTCTCTCTGTCTCCTCTATTCCAGGCTAAACATACTCGGCTCCCTCAACCCTTCCTCATAAGGCTTGGTTTCCAGACCCTGGATCCTCTCAGTCACCCTCCTCTGCACACGTTCCAGCTTGTCCACATCCTTCTTAAATTGTGGCGCCCAGAACTGGACACAGTATTCCAGGTGTGGTCTGACCAGGGCAGGATAGAGTGAGACGGTTATTTCCCTTGATCTAGGCAGGTCCTCCCAAGTTTCCCAGTACTTCCTAGCAGGTGAGGACCAGATCCAAGATAGATGATCCCCTTTTTGCTTCTTCCACCTTCTGGGAAATGAAATCTTGTGAATGTTGGAGATTCCAAGGGGTGGTGGGAGGGAGAGCAGCTCTTGAGGACCCCAGGGTTGGAACCCCCTTTCTAGCCTAGGGTCCAAATTACACTCTGTACAAATGACTCACTTGTCAGTTACTGTTCTGACTTGATTCATATACTGAAAATACTGAAAGGCAGGAGGCTCATTCATAGCACAAGCTCATTTAACCAGGCTCATTCTTGGCACAGAAATCCCTTCAGTTGCCTGCACATTTTGCACGGTAACTTTCCTTCTAGGTGGGCTAAAGGCTTGCTTTTCCTATTTCTTCCTTTTGTTTATTTGCTTGTTACAGAAAGCTCAGAGTCTGGGCTGTGGGGTGGAGTCCAGGCTTGGTTCTTAGCAAGACTCAACCATGCTTGCTCAAGGAACATCTTCTCTTCCCTTGACAGTGTATGGATTTTACAACAGAACAATACATTTGCTTTGTAGGATTTGCTAGCAGCTCTCATAAGGACAGACGGAACTGGGCAGAAGACCAAGGGTTCCTTCCGACCTCTTGGAAGCTTCCTGAGAGCCCAGATGGATGAGCAAGACTCAGCTGGCCCTGAAGCAGGAAGAGACCATGCCATCAAAACCAAGAGCAGTGGAGCATTTTGGGAAAACTCTGTGCAGAATATCCTGGGTAAGGAGGACACCATTTGCTCGGATATGAAGAGGAAGCAGTTTAGGCAGTTCTGCTACCAGGAGACCAAAGGACCTCGAGAGGTTTGCAGCCAACTCTACAACTTTGACTGTCGGTGGCTGAAGCCAGAAAGGCATACAAAAGCTGAGATGCTGGATCTTGTGATCTTGGAGCAGTTCCTGGCTGTCCTTCCGCCAGAGATGGAGAGGTGGGTGAGGGAATGTGGAGCGGAGACCAGTTCCCAGGCGGTGGCCCTGGCTGAAGGATTCCTCCTGAGTCAGGCAGAGGAGCGGAAGCAGGCAGAGCAGCAGGTGAGAGAGACTGTCCTCTGGATGCTGTCAAGGAGTTCCGAATATGAGGGAGAGTATCCCCAAATTCTCTCCTAATGGTCCATATTTGGGGTGAGGGAAACATCCTAGGAATGATCTCTTATACCCTAAAGTGTTTGCCGCTGTCAATCCTTTCTGAATCCTTCGACCCATTCTCTGTTTTGAATCCTTGTTGCTCTTTCAGGAAAAGGATCTGTTTGCAGAAATGGACATTGATTCCTTTGAGACAGAGAGGATTCCATTCGACACCAAAGAGAGGCCACTGGGTAAGGAGGAAGGGTTTTTTTCTCCATTTGGTCACATTCTGTGGATTTGGAAACTAATCTGCGAGTTCTTTTAATCTTCTTAGATTAAAACTGTTATGTATTGAAGTTCTCACCCTGGCCAAAAGGAGTATTGTGTATGTAGTTTTCACTCAGGTCCACGTCAGTTATTTTAGGCGGGAAACCCTGGGCTGTTGTTGCTACAATGTTGACAGCCGGCTGCCTATAAAAGCAGGCCGGCTGAGCTGTTTGCTGCTCAGTTCTGTTCCAGCTTACAAATAAAGAGCTGCTTTGAAGAAATCGCTGCGTCGTCTGCTATGTCTACCTAAAAACATAAAATACTTTATATAAAATATAAAAATATAAAATGGGTACAAGAATCTTGCATGCACTCAGCAGGTGGCGCTGTGGTCTAAACCACTGAGCCTCCTCTTGGACTTGCTGACAGCAAGGTCAGCAGTTCGAATCCCCTGACAGAGTGAGGTCCTGTTGCTCTATCCCAACTTCTGCCAACCTAGAAGTTCAAAAGCACACCAGTGGAAGTAGATAGTGGTATCTCGGGTTACAGATGCTTCAGGTTACAGACTCTGCTAACCCAGAAATAGTACTTCAGGTTAAGAACTTTGCTTCAGGATGAGAACAGAAATCGCGTGGCGGAAGCGGCAGCAGGAGGCCCCATTAGCTAAAGTGGTGCTTCAGGTTAAGAACAGTTTCAGGTTAAGAATGACGCACAGAGTAAATTAATAATGCAGAGTTGTTAAGTGAAAGAATAAGAGCTTTACTGAGTTAAAATAAACTTCTTCATCAACAACATGGTTCCAAACAGTTTGACTGAGCTTACATACTGGCTCTGCTCACAACTGACTCTGACTGAAATCTTACTGAGAACACAGAGAGAAAATGGCTGCTACTTCTAAGGAGAATGAGTCCCATGTCAGAGCGACTCCACAGTTAGCAGTTAGGCCTGAATAACTTTCTTAGGCCCAAATGACTGTGCAGTCCCAGCACTTCCCAGCCTGCTTTGCTGCTTCTGCTCTCATGTGTCTTAGTCACATGACCTCCAGAAAGAATTAAGTTCTTAACGTGAGGTACCACTGTAAATAGGTGGCGCTGCAGCAGGAAGGTAAACGGTGTTTCCATGCGCTCTGGCTTCTGCCACGGTGTCGTCTTGCGCCAGAAGCAGTTTAGTCCTGCTGGCCACATGACCCGGAAAGCTGTCTGAGGACAAATGCTGGCTCCCTCAGCCTGCAGTGAGATGAGCGCTTCACCCCATAGTCCCCTTTGACTGGACTTAACCGTCCAGGGGTCCTTTGCCTTTACCTTTTACTACTAAAAGCACCGAGTGCTTTTCCAGCTGCACTCGCTCACGGTGAAGTACAGGGTCGGATTTAAGGTCCTGGTTTTGACCTTTAAAGCCCTTCACGGCCTGGGACCCTCGTACCTACGGGACCGCCTCTCCCGGTCTGCCCCATGGAGAGCCTCAAGGTCCGTAAATAGCAACACCCTAGTGGTCCCGGGCCCTAAGGAGATTAGATTAGCTTCAACCAGAGCCAGGGCCTTTTCAACACTGGCTCCGGCCTGGTGGAACGCTCTGTCTCATGAGACCAGGGCCCTGCAGGATCTGATTTCTTTCCACAGGGCCTGTAAGACAGAGTTGTTCCGCCTGGCCTTTGGCTTGGAGCCAATTTGATTCCCTCCCTCCCTCTCTTTCTTTTTCCTTTTCCCTTTTCTCCTCCTGTGATGAGGCTGCATTTTAATATTTTAATGTTTCAATATTTTAATGTTGTATTTAAATTTTGTTTTTAAGTTGTATTCATTCAACTTGTTTTTATTATTGCTTGTTAGCCGCCCTGAGCCCAGCCTTGGCTGGGGAGGGCGGGGTATAAATGAAAATTATTATTATTATTACTACTATTTCTTTGGTCCGTCTGTGGTTAGAGATGCACTAATTCGCCTCTGAGGAAAGCATGCACTCATGGTCTCCCACCTCCCTTTATTTCTCGCAGGTGACAGAAGGATGCCAGCAAGACCTCCTCATCCATCTTTCCATGGTAGCGGAGAGGAGGCAGTGGCTGTAGAACCAGATGAGGTAAGGGAAGGAGCATTGTGGAGAAAGGAGCAGTCATGGTTCCTCTGAGGCTGAGGAAATCTCTCTCTTCCTGCTCTGTCTTACTGCTGTATTGATGGTGGAATGCTGGTATATGTTGGGAAGCTGGTAAGAAACCATAGAAAAAAGTTGCCAGGATTCACCTCATCAGTTGCCCAGTGGGCTTCTTCCCACTTTCCTCCTGCTCTCCGTGCCCCCATGCGCCCCCTGAACTTTGCTTTTGCGCATCAGGAGAGTTCCACCCCAGAACTGCGCACAGGGAGAGTAAAGGGGGGATCCTTCTCACTGGCAACAGGAATGCTTTCACAGACATATTTGTGATTTGAAATCCACTATGTGGAGTTCCACCCATTTATACAAAGATGAATACCCATCATTTAAAGACACGATAAAAAATGCCATTAAAACAACAACACAGTTAACATGTAGAAAGCAACAGAGCAATGTCATGGAATCATTAAGAAAAAAAGCACTGAGTTATACCATAAAACTATATATCAATGAAAATATAATTTAATGAAGAATGTAATGCAATAACTTTTATGAAGGATTATTTATTGCAACAGCAGTCATAAAGAAGAAACGTGAAACACACAGAAAAAATGAGATATACAGGTTAATTGCCATGTTGCCACTTTGTGATAAGTAAGTGGGTTTTGGGTTGCAGTTTGGGCACTCGGTCTCTAAAAGGTTTGCCATCACTGCCCTAGATCAGTGGTTCAAGTAGGTAGCCATGTTGGTCTGCCGTAGTCGAAATAAATTAAAACAATTCTTTTAGAAGATATTTAAAAAGACTCTTCTTTTTAATGGGTTTCTTTTTATTTATTTTAATCTGCCTTTTCTAAGAGCTCACAGACCGACTGTTTCATTCTCTGTTCTAGGACCTTTCTTGGTACTGATAACACTCTCACTGGTCAGTCATTACCTGTGTAGTAGGTGATCTTTATGCTAAGAGGAAGATACTTTTTTTTTCCTTTTAGGGTCCAGTGTGCTTTGAAGATGTAGCTGTTCATTTCACAGACGAGGAGTGGGCGTTGCTGGATCCTGACCAGAGAGCTCTGCATAAGGAAGTCATGGAGGAGAATCGTGGGGTCATGGACTCGCTTGGTAAGGCTCCCTGTTGGATTGTGATATCTGTTTTGAAATTCTATGTGACAAACCTATATCTTGATATTTTTCAAGAACGCTGCTTCTTGCATCTGGGATTCTAAGACTCTTGCAGCTCACGCTGGATGTGGGGCTATCTGCTGTTTGGTCTGTAAATATTCTTCCTTCAGTAATGCCTTTTTAAACCATGATCTGGCTGGACTGAACTGCCCAAGCCTTTTAAAATGTAGGTTTTAAAGATGTTTGAGAAGTTGTTTGGGAAGTTGAAGAAACTTCAGTCAGGCGTTTTGTTTTTGTTGTGTCCATTTTTGTTTGACGAATGAGATGAGATTGGTGATGTTTCGGCTCAACAAAAGAAGTAAAAGAAAAGATCCTGGCCTTTTTCATAGAATCATAGAATCATAGAATCATAGAGTTGGAAGAGACCACAAGGGCCATCGAGTCCAACCCCCTGCCAAGCAGGAAACACCATCAGAGCACTCCTGACATATGGTTGTCAAGCCTCTGCTTAAAGACCTCCAAAGAAGGAGACTCCACCACACTCCTTGGCAGCAAATTCCACTGTCGAACAGCTCTTACTGTCAGGAAGTTCTTCCTAATGTTTAGGTGGAATCTTCTTTCTTGTAGTTTGGATCCATTGCTCCGTGTCCGCTTCTCTGGAGCAGCAGAAACAACCTTTCTCCCTCCTCTATGTGACATCCTTTTATATATTTGAACATGGCTATCATATCACCCCTTAACCTCCTCTTCTCCAGGCTAAACATGCCCAGCTCTCTTAGCCGTTCCTCATAAGGCATCGTTTCCAGGCCTTTGACCATTTTGGTTGCCCTCCTCTGGACACGTTCCAGTTTGTCAATGTCCTTCTTGAAGTGTGGTGCCCAGAACTGGACACAGTACTCCAGGTGAGGTCTGACCAGAGCAGAATACAGTGGCACTATTACTTCCCTTGATCTAGATGCTATACTCCTATTGATGCAGCCCAGAATTGCATTGGCTTTTTTAGCTGCCGCGTCACACTGTTGGCTCATGTGAAGTTTGTGGTCAACCAAGACTCCTAGATCCTTTTCACATGTACTGCTCTCAAGCCAGGTGTCCCCCATCTTGTATTTGTGCCTCTCATTTTTTTGCCCAAGTGCAATACTTTACATTTCTCCCTGTTAAAATTCATCTTGTTTGTTTTGGCCCAGTTCTCTAATCTGTCAAGGTCGTTTTGAAGTGTGATCCTGTCCTCTGGGGTGTTAGCCACCCCTCCCAATTTGGTGTCATCTGCAAATTTGATCAGGATGCCCTTGAGTCCATCACCCAAGTCGTTGATAAAGATGTTGAATAAGACCGGGCCCAAGACAGAACCCTGTGGCACCCCACTAGTCACTCTTCTCCAGGATGAAGAGGAACCATTGATGAGCACCCTTTGGGTTCGGTCAGTCAGCCAGTTACAAATCCACTGAGTGGTAGCATAGTCAAGACCGCATTTTACCAGCTTCTTTACAAGAATATCATGGGGCACCTTGTCAAATGCCTTGCTGAAATCAAGGTAGGCTACATCCACTGCGTTCCCTTCATCCACCAGGCTTGTAATTCTGTCAAAAACGAGATCAGGTTAGTCTGACATGACTTATTTTTCAGAAATCCATGCTGACTATTGGTGATCACAGCATTCCTTTCTAGGTGCTCACAGACTGTTTGCTTAATGATCTGCTCCAGAATCTTCCCTGGTATTGATGTCAGACTGACTGGGCGGTAATTATTTGGGTCCTCTCTTTTCCCCTTTTTGAAAATAGGGACAACATTTGCCCTCCTCCAGTCTGCCGGGACTTCGCCTGTTCTCCAGGAATTCTCAAAGATGACTGCCAGTGGTTCTGAGATCACATCTGCCAGTTCTTTTAATACTCTTGGATGCAGTTCATCTGGCCCTGGAGACTTGAATACATCTAAACTAGCCAAGTATTCTTGTACTATCTCCTTAGTTATTCTGGGCTGTGTTTCCTTTGCTGAATCATTTGCTCCAAATTCTTCAGGTCGGGCATTGTTTTCTTTATCGGAGAAGACTGAGGCAAAGAAGGCATTGAGGAGTTCAGCTCTTTCTGTGTCCCCTGTTTGCATTTCACCATCTTCTCCTCCTTTTTATCTTTGTTGTTCCGATATTTAAGAGCTGCATTTCTTCCTGAAGCTCTAATGAATTTCTCTCTTGATTGCAGGTGCTGAAGAATTGCAAATGAAGAATGAGGGAGACCCCGACAGAATCCACATACAGGAGAAGCCGCTTAAATATTCAGGGTCTGGAAAGAGATTCAGTCAGAGCTCCCACTCAACTTCCAATCTAACAAATCTCTTGGGGAAGAAACAATATCAGTGTTTGGAATGTGGAAAGAACTTCTGTCGGAAATCCAACCTCACTTCTCATCAAATAACTCACAGCACAGAGAAACCATATCAGTGCCAAGAATGTGGAAAGAGTTTCAGCTGGAAGAGAAGTTTCACCTCCCACCAAAAAATTCATACAGGGGAAAAACCCTATCAGTGTTTGGAATGTGGAAAGAACTTCAGTCGAAAGGATGCTTTCACCTTCCATCAAAGAATTCATACAGGGGAGAAACCATATCAGTGCATGGTATGTGGAAAGAGCTTCAGTCGGAAGCAAAGTCTAACTTTCCATCAAAGAATTCATACCGGGGAGAAACCCTATACGTGCTTAGAATGTGGAAAGAGCTTCCGTCAGAAGGATAGTCTCACTTCCCATCAAAGAATTCATACAGGGGAGAAACCATATCAGTGCTTAAAATGTGGGAAGGGGTTCTATGGGAAGAATATGCTCACTTCTCATGAAAAAATTCATACAGCGGATAAACCCTATCAGTGCTTGGAATGTGGAAAGAGTTTCCGTCAGAAGAGTGAGCTCACTTCCCATCAAAGAACTCATACAGGGGAGAAACCATATGAGTGCATGGAATGTGGAAAGAGCTTCACTCACAGAGCTGGCCTCGTGTACCATCAAAGATTCCATACAGGGGAAAAACCATATGAGTGCTTGGAGTGTGGAAAAAAATTCAGTTGGAAGAATATGCTCACTTCGCACCAAATAATTCACACAGGGGAGAATCCCTATCAGTGCTTGGAATGTGGAAAGAGCTTCAGTCGCAAGGATAGTCTGACTCTCCATCAAAGGATTCATACAGGGGATAAACCATATCACTGCTTAGAATGTGGAAAGAGCTTCACCCAGAGGGCCGCTCTCATGTCCCATAAAAGAATTCATACAGGGGAGAAACCGTATAAGTGCTTGGAATGTGGAAAGAACTTTGCTCACAAAGCTGGTCTCATGTCCCATCAAAGAATTCATACAGGGGAGAAACCATATGAGTGCTTGGAATGTGGAAAGAGGTTCAGCTGGAAGAATATGCTCACTTCCCACAAGATAATTCACACAGGGGAGAACTATCCATGCTTGGAATGCGGAAAGAGCTTCAGTCGGAAGGATAGTCTGACTTCCCATCAAATAATTCATACAGGAGAGAAACCTTATCAGTGCTTGGAATGTGGGAAGGGGTTCTATGGGAAGAATATTCTCACTTCTCATCAAAAGGTTCATACAGGGGAAAAACCCTATTTTTGCCTGGAATGTGGAAAGAGTTTCCGTCAGAAGAGCGAGCTCACTTCCCATCACAGAATTCATACAGGGGAGAAGCCATATCAGTGCTTGGAGTGTGGAAAGAGGTTCACTCACAGAGCTGGTGTCATGTACCATGAAAGAATACATACAGGAGAGAAACCATATGAGTGCTTGGAGTGTGGAAAGAGGTTCAGCTGGAAGAATATGCTCACTTCCCACCAAATAATACACACTGGGGAGAATCCCTATCCTTGTTTGGAATGTGGAAAGAACTTCACTCGGAAAGATAGTCTGACTTCCCATCAAAGAATTCATACAGGGGAGAAACCGTATCAGTGCCTGGAATGTGGAAAGAGCTTCACTCAGAGAGCCAGTCTTATGTACCATCAAAGAATTCATATGAGAAGGAACCATATTGGTCCTTGGAAGGTGGAAGAGCTTCAATCAGAGGGCCAGTCTCACTTCTCATCAATTAACTTACCGTGGGGAGAAACCATATAAGTTTTGGAATGTAGAAAGAGCTTTACCCACTCACTGTCAAAGAATTCATATGTTGGAAACCATGGAAATGCTTGTAATGTGAAATGAGCTTCAGCTGTAGCTCCAATTTCACTTTGCATCAAGAAACTCACATTGAGGAGAATCATAGAGTCTCAGAATTATGGAGTTGTAGCATTTGAGAGGACTCTGTGTGTTGTCTAGTTCACCCATCTGGAATGCAGGAATCTACACTATGCCAGATGAGCATGCAACCTCTGCTTAAAAACCTTCATGGAAGGAGAACCCACCTCCTTCTGAGGCAGCCTGTTCCACCGTTGAATAGCTCTTACTCGTGGAAGGTTCTTCCTGATTTTTAGTCTGATTCTCTTTTCTTGCAACTTGCATCCATTGCTTCAGGTCCTATCTTCCAGAGCAGAACAAAACAGCCTTTCTTCATCTTGTCCCCTCTTCCATGAGACAGCCCTTGAGATATTTGAAGATGGCTATTATATCTCTTCTCAGTGTCTTCTTTTCTAGGCTGACCATTCCTCATAAGGCTTGGTTTCCAGACCCTTGAACGTCTTGGTCACCCTCCTCTGCACCCATTCTGGATGGCTTGTTTTTTGTTCCTGTTCCATGGTGTTAGGGACTGGGCAGAGGAGGAATGGTGGAGACCACCTCCCCAGCCTGACCTTTCCAGAGAAGAAGACAGTTCAGAATTACAACAGGGGTTTGAGGGAGGTCACAGCTCAGAGGCAGATGAGGGGGAAAGCTGGGAAATAAGGGGACATGAGATGGAGGAAGAGGAATCACCAGGAGGGCAATAGCTGACAGACACAGTGTCTTTAGAAAGCATTCTAGACCCCCCTCTCCCAGAACCCGGCAAGCCTTGAAAGTACAGTGGTACCTCGGGTTACATACACTTCAGGTTACAGACTCTGCTAACCCAGAAATATTACTTTGGGTTAAGAACTTTGCTTCAGGATGAGAACAGAAATCGTGCTCTGGCGGTGCAGCAGCAGGAGGAGACCCCATTAGCTAAAGTGGTGTTTCAGGTTAAGAACAGTTTCAGGTTAAGAACAGACCTCCAGAACGAATTAAATTCTAAACCCAAGGTACCACTGTAGAGCAAAGGGCCCTCAGCGCCACCCGTAGGGGAGAAGGTGACAAATGAGGGAGAAAAAGGGAAGAAGAAGAAGAGTTTGGATTTGATATCTCGCTTTATCACTACCCGAAGGAGTCTCAAAGCATCTAACATTCTCCTTTCCCTTCCTCCCCCACAACAAACACTCTGTGAGGTGAGTGGGGCTGAGAGACTTCAGAGAGCTGTGACTAGCCCAAGGTCACCCACCAGCTGCATGTGGAGGAGCGGCGACGCGAACCCGGTTCACCAGATTACGAGACTACCACTCTTAACCACTACACCACACTGGCTCCCAGGGAGTGGAGAGTCACGCAGGACAACGCCATTAGTCCCAGAGGCTGCGTTCCAAGCCTCTGTCTGTAAATATTGAATAAAAAGCAGATGGTAAGGACTTTTCATTGTCTGTTCCTGGCAACCTGCTGTAGGGGCTGTTTCCTCTGCTGCCTGACATGTAGACTAGTCTGACTTTTATTGTATGTCAAAAAATTCATTAAATTTCCTTCTGCCCTCACTCTTTTGGATGCTTCCTTGATTTCATTCACCAACGCAGGATCACTCTGGGCATTTTGGTCAGGGAGACGAAAGCACGTTCCAAGTCCTACTTTTCGAGTAGACAGCTGAGAGGAATGTGGGTCTTGGTTAAGTGGGGAATAATTTACACTCTGGTTTTGAAAAGCTGAACTAGTTCTAACTGAAGAACGAAACTTAGAGCTGAATACATAGCTTATATGCCATTCTTCCTTCCCCTACCAAAAAACTGAAGCTTGCAGTGAGAGACACCTACCTTGTTGATTCTAAGATGGCTCTCCTGTGAACTTAGTCTCTGCCACATGAAACCATAGATCAATGGATTTCTCTTTTTTTATACCCGCCTCTCTAAAATTGGGATCTCATCTAAGCTTCTGGCTCCTCAAGATATTCCTGCTGGGGCAGAGCTGAAAACTTAAGTTTCTAAAGCGTTATTGCCCCTAGGATTGAGTTCTGAGGCTTTTTTTAAAACTGGATTTAGTTCCTCGCACACAGTGCTTTCACTATGCCCTTGTTAGAATTTCAATGGATTCAGCAAACAAATGGGGATACTTAGCCCTACAGTCACAGAGCTGCTTAACTCAGTTTTTCCTCTGATGCTGTGTCACTGGCATTGAGATCGGCTGTGCCCTGAGAACATTTATGCATGCTTGCTTTGTACCTGCAGCTGCAGGAAGGCAGATTGTGCCCTTCGTTGATCATTTGAGCATCTGCAAGCCAAAGCCTATTAAAGTATAAAGTGGGGGAGAATACAACTCTTTCCCAAAACCTTTTCTCCCAGGACCTTTTGTTCTCCAAGAGAAGAATTTCAAAAAGAGATTGCAGCGTGAAACTGCTGGACTGCAGCTGATGAATTCTGTCACCTTTGGCTGGAATGGGGATAATAGATTCTTATGTGTTATTCTGATGTACGTGTGTTATTTATTTATTTTTATTTATTTATTTTATTTATGAAGCTGGGGGACCTGAAGTGCTAGTTCCAACTGGTTTTAAACTGAAGAACGAAATTTACAGCTTAGCTTATATGCCACTTCCCCTACCAAAAAACTGAATCTTGCAGTGAGATACACCTACCTTATATTAACCAAGCTTTTGAATAGATTTTATGGAATAAATGAAAAAAAGCAAAAATATGTTTTGAATTTTGGGAGTGTGCTGAGGTTGTCAGCTACAAAACGACGGAGGAAGCGTGGCTTAACATCCAATGGCTGCCTTGGAGCCTGGCGTAGCACTCAACTGGAGAGACAACAGCCCCAGGCAACCTTACGGATCCCCTAGAAAGGCAGCGATGTTCTGCTGGTCCGGATTGTAGAAAGGGCTTTCCTTCTCTCCCTCTCTCTCATACACACACACAGAGAGAGACACACACGTGTCGTCCCTGTTTAACAACATGGAGTGTTCCTCAGTACAAGGGGAAATACACGAAGGTGCATCAAAGCCCCACTATCGCTTGACCCACTGGGATGACCCCTCCTCCTCCTCTCCTAGGAAGGCGACTCCTGTTTCTTGCAGAGCCCTTTCCCCTTCCAGCTGCTCCTCCTGTTCCTGACCAAGGGAGGGGGCAGCTCAGAGCCCGGCCAGGACGCCCCCCCCCCCAATGAAGCCCCTCCTCCGGCTGTGCGCGATGCCCAGATCTGCTTGGGAGAGAGAAAGCGCAGAGAGGGGTGTCCTTGGTGCGCTCATATTTGCAAGGGTTAAATGGAGCAGAGCCGGATTACTGGAGGGGGAAGGAGATCGCGGAGGGGGTGGGGCCAGATCCTGCCGAGCAAAGCTCCCTCCCCCGCGTCACTTCCTGCAAGTTTTGTCTGCCTTGGTGCCCCCCTCGGGGGATCAGGTGAGTCTCCTCTCTCTTCCCCCTTTGGGTGCAGGGGGGAGAAGGGGGTCCCAGGGCAGCCGGGGGGGTGTATTCGAGAGGGTCCTGTGCATGTCATGCATGGGGAGGGAAGCCAGGGAAGGGGCGAGTTTTTAGGAGGTTTGCAACGGTGCTCTTTGTAGGGATGCGATGCTCGCCGCTTTGGCGAGGAAACAATGGGCTGCGAACAGCCCCCCCTGCAGATCTAGGAATCAGCCGCATCTGTTAGAAGAGGTTGCAGCCAGAGGGAAACATTCCGACATAAAATCCACCCAAACAATAAACGCAACTTGACCTATGCAGTAAATAAATAAGGAATGTTGGAAGATGGAGGGCAGAAAAAGTGCGTCTTCATGCGCCGAAGAGTTAAATCTATGGAACTCCCTCGGCAGGAGGCAGGGATGCCCACCAAGCTAAATAACAATGATTATTGTTATTATACCCCGCCCATCTGGCTAGTTTGCCCCAGCCACTCTGTTCAGCTTCCAACACGTATTAGAACACAACAAAACAATAAATAATAAAAATCCAATCCAATATAAAAAGTCACAGTAAGATTAAAAAAAACAACTTATATAAAATAAAACAATATTCAATATTGCATTATAATCTAATTATTGTTGTTGTTTAGTCGTTTAGTGGTGTCCAACTCTTCGTGACCCCCTGGACCAGAGCAGGCCAGGCACTCCTGTCTTCCACTGCCTCCCGCAGTTTGGTCAGACTCATGCTGGTCTCTTCGAGAACACTGTCCCACCATCTTGTCCTCTGCCGTCCCCTTCTCCTTGGGCCCTCAATCTTTCCCAACATCAGGGTCTTTTCCAGGGAGTCTTCTCTTCTCATGAGGTGGCCAAAGTCTTGGAGCCTCAGCTTCAGGATCTGTCCTTCCAGTGAGCACTCAGGGCTGATTTCCTTCAGAATGGAGAGGTTTGATCTTCTTGCAGTCCATGGGACTCTCAAGAGTCTCCTCCAACACCAGAATTCAGAAGCATCAATTCTTTGGCATCAGCCGAAGCATAAAGAAGCATCAGCTTTATGGTCCAGCTCTCACTATAATAATTACTATAATCTAATAGGAAACAGTAAAATTAAACATAAGCAAATAACAATTAAACAATATATACTCACAGTTACAATAAAGAATTACTAATACATAATCTATAAAAATAAAGGAAAGTCTCAATGCATATAATATCACAAAGCATACAAAACCATGTAGATGGTTTTAAAAGAGTAATGAGGCCAATTCATGGTTCCCATGATTCTGTGGAGGAAGCCAGGGCTCTTCGAAATGCTCTGATCCTGCTTTGCAAAGACAGTGCAGACGGGGCCTGAGTCTCTGCGTGTTGTATTTCCCCTTTCCTTATGGAATAACTTTTTATTGGGTTTTATAAGCTAGGGTCGTAGGAGTAATAAATGATACAAATAAATAGATGGAGTCTTTTCGTGTCATCTCTAGATCACAAAAATACTATAATAAATTTGCAGGCAAATTCACAACATATGCTGAATTATAGGTAGTCAGTGCATGAGTTCCTGGTTCGTGAATGGATTTAAACAAAGCCAGAAAAAAGGGAAACAAGAGAGAGCAGAGTTAACAGTCATCAACACATGGCCAAATTCCTAGTCAGGAGCCCTTGTTGAATGAGGAAGAGTAATTTCCCCCTTCTGTTAACAATATAACAGTATAAAGTGTTGATCTATGGATGAACATGGGAGGAGCGTTCCAAGTGAAGATAATGATTTGTGTTTAAATGTAGACCATACCTCCTCTCTCTGTCTCCTCTTTTCCAGGCTAAACATACTCGGCTCCCTCAACCCTTCCTCATAAGGCTTGGTTTCCAGACCCTGGATCCTCTCAGTCACCCTCCTCTGCACACGTTCCAGCTTGTCCACATCCTTCTTAAATTGTGGCGCCCAGAACTGGACACAGTATTCCAGGTGTGGTCTGACCAGGGCAGGATAGAGTGAGACGGTTATTTCCCTTGATCTAGGCAGGTCCTCCCAAGTTTCCCAGTACTTCCTAGCAGGTGAGGACCAGATCCAAGATAGATGATCCCCTTTTGCTTCTTCCACCTTCTGGGAAATGAAATCTTGTGAATGTTGGAGATTCCAAGGGGTGGTGGGAGGGAGAGCAGCTCTTGAGGACCCCAGGGTTGGAACCCCCTTTCTAGCCTAGGGTCCAAATTACACTCTGTACAAATGACTCACTTGTCAGTTACTGTTCTGACTTGATTCATATACTGAAAATACTGAAAGGCAGGAGGCTCATTCATAGCACAAGCTCATTCAACCAGGCTCATTCTTGGCGCAGAAATCCCTTCAGTTGCCTGCACATTTTGCACGGTAACTTTCCTTCTAGGTGGGCTAGAGGCTTGCTTCTCCTTCTTGCCTGCTTGTTTCTTGAAGAAAGCTAAGAATCTGAGCTGTGAGGGGGTACAGGCCTTGATCCTAGCAAGTCTCAACCATGCTTTCTTTTTTCTTCTCCTGACAGTGTATGAATTTTATAACAGAACAATGTATTTGCTTTGCAGGATTTGATAGCACCTCTCATGAGGACAGACAGAACTTGGTAGAAGACCAAGGGTTCCTTCTGATCTCTTGGAGACTTCCTGAGAACCCAGATGGATGAGCAAGACTCAGCTGGCCCTGAAGCAGGAAGAGACCATACCATCAAAACCGAGAGCAGTGAAGGATTCAGGGAAAGCTCCATGCAGAAGATCCTGGGTGAGGAGGACACCCTCCACTCTGATATGAAGAGCCAGCAGTTCAGGCAGTTCTGCTACCAGGAGGCCAAAGGACCCCGAGAGGTTTGCAGCCGACTCCACCACCTTTGCCATCAGTGGCTGAAGCCAGAAAGGCACACGAAAGCTCAGATGCTGGACCTGGTGGTCTTGGAGCAGTTCCTGGCTGTCCTTCCACCAGAGATGGAGAGCTGGGTGAGGGAATGTGGAGCGGAGACCAGTTCCCAGGCGGTGGCCCTGGCCGAAGGATTCCTCCTGAGTCAGGCAGAGGAGAGGAAGCAGGCAGAGCAGCAGGTGAGAGAGACTTTCTTCTGGATACTCCCAAGGGGCTCTGAACATGAGGGAAAGTATCCCAAAATTCTCTCCTAATGGCCCATCCTTTTTTTTGGAAAGCATCCAAAGAATGATATCGGATACCACCAAATTTCCCCCCTCAGACATTTCTTTTCTAATCCATCTCCCCATTCTCTGCTTTAATCTTTGTTGCTTCTTCAGGGAAAGGATCTGTTTGCAGAAGTGGGCTTAGATTCCTTTGAGACAGAGAGGACTCCGTTGGACACCAGAGAGAGGCCACTGGGTAAGGAGGAATGGGTTTTTTCTCTGTTTGGTCACATTCTGTGGATTTTGAAACTAATCTGCGGGTTCTTTTAATCATCTTGGAGAAGACACTGAATTGTGTATTTTTGCACAACTAAAATATGAAATGGATACCAATGTCTCACATGCACTCAGCAGGTGACACTATTTCTTTGGTCCGTCTGTGGTTAGAGAAAGCATGCACTCATGGTCTCCCACCTCCCTTTATTTCTCTCAGGTGACAGAAGGATGCCAGCAAGACCTCCTCATCCATCTTTCCATGGTAGCGGAGAGGAGGCAGTGGCTGTAGAACCAGATGAGGTAAGGGAAGGAGCATTGTGGGGAAAGGAGCAGTCAGGGTTCCTCTGAGGCTGAGGAAATCTCTCTCTTCCTGCTCTGTCTTACTGCTGTATTGATGGTGGAATGCTGGTATATATTGGGAAGCTGGTAAGAAACCATAGAAAAAAGTTGCCAGGATTCACCTCATCAGCCTCATCAGTTGCACAGTGGGCTTCTTCCCACTTTTCTCCTGCTCTCCGTGCCCCCATGCGCCCCCTGAACTTTGCTTTTGCGCATCAGGAGAGTTCCACCCCAGAACTGCGCACAGGGAGAGTAAAGGGGGGGGGATCCTTCTCACTGGCAACAGGAATGCTTTCACAGACATAGTGATTTGAAGACCACCATGTGGAGTTCCACCCGTTCATACAAAGATGAATACCCATCGTTTAAAGACACAATAAAAAAATAAATCAAGATATTAAAGGAAGCACCCAGACTTAAAATGTTCAGCACAACATTCCCATTAAAACAACAAAGCAATTAACAGGCAGAAAACAACAGAGCAATGTCATAGAATTCTAGAATTGCAGAATTGGTAGGGACCTAACTACTTTGAATGAACTGAAATCTCCAGGGCCGGATCAGCTGCATCCAATAGTACTAAAGAAGCTTGTGGGTTCAATTTCAGAGCCTTTGTCTATTATATTTGAGAAATCTTGGAGAACAGATGAGGTCCCTACAAACTGGAGGAGGGCAAATGTCCCCAGCTTTAAAAAGAGGGGAAAAGGAAGAACCAGTTAACTACAGACCGGTGAGCTTGACATTGATACCAAAGAAGGTATCAGAACAGATAATTCAACATTTGGTCTGTGAGCATTTAGAAAAGGATGCTGTGATTAGTAAGCATGGTTTTCTCCAAAGTAAGTCATGCCAGACCATTCTAATTTCTTTTTTTGATGGAATTACAAACCCGGTGGATCAGGGGAATGCTGTGGACATAGTGTATCTTGATTTCAATAAGGCTTTTGACAAAGTCCCCCATGATATTCTCGCAAGGAATCTGGTGAAATGTGGGTTGAACGAGGTAAGTGTTAGGTGGATTTGTAGCTGGTTGACTGACTGAACCCAAAGAGTAGTCATTCATGGTTCCTCGTCATACTGGAAAATAGTGACAAGTGGGGTGCCACAGGGATCTGTCCCGGGCCCGATGTTGTTCAACATTTTTATAAACGACTTGGCTGAAGGAACTGAGGAGTTATTAATCAAATTTGCAGATGACACCAAACTGGGAGGGGTAGCTAATGCCACAGAAGACAAAATCAAAATTCAAAATGACCGTAACAGATTAGAGAACTGACTGCAAGCTAACAATGTGAATTTCAGTAGGGACAAATGTCAGGTTCTGCACTTAGGCAGGAAGAACCAGATGCACAAATATAGGATGGAGGACACCTGGCTTACTAGCAGTACATCTGAAATGCATCTAGGGGTCTTGGTGGACCACAAGCTTAACACGAGTCAACAATGTGATGCAGCAGCAAAAAAAGTGAATGCTATTCTAGGCTGTATCAACAGAAGTCTAGTATCCAGATCAAGGGAAGTAATAGTTCTGCTCTAATTTGCCTTGGTCACACCTCACCTGAACTACTGTGTCCAGTTTTGGAAGCCACAATGTAAGAAGGATGTTGACAAGCTGAAACGTGAGCAGGGCGACTAGGATGATCAGGGCTCAGGAAGCCAAGCCTTATGGGGAACAGCTCAGAGAGTATGTTTAGCCTGGAAAAGAGGAGCTATGATAGCCATCTTCAGATATCTGAAGGGTTGTCACATGGAGCAAGCTTCTTTTCTCCTGCTCTAAAAGGCAGGACTCGAATAAAAGGCTTCAAATTGCAGGAAAGGAGCTTCTGACTAGACATACGTAAAACCTTCTGACACAGCTGTTCAACAGTGGAACAGTCTCACTCCGGAGGGTGTGGACTCTCCTTCCTTGGAGGTTTTTAAGCAGAGGTTGGATGGCCATCTGTCAGGGATACTTTAGCTGAAATTCCTGCATCGCAAGGGGTTGGACTAGATGGCCCACAGGGTAATAGAATCCTAGAGTTGGAAAGTACCCAAAGGTCATCTAGTCCAACCACCAACGAAGGAGAGTCTACAGTTTCGCAAGGGAGTAGCAATTATATTTCATTCTGTTAGTTGGGCTGGATAGGGGAATTTGTAGCTGGTTGCCTGACAGAATTTCAAGAAGATGAACATAGATGGTCTGTGGTGCATGAAACCCTAGATCAATGGGTTTCTTTTTCTTTTTTTTAATCTGCCTTTTCTAAGTGCTCACAGACCAAATGTTTGATTATCTGTTCTAGGACCTTCCCTGATATTGATGACAATGTCACTGGCCAGTTAGCGTAGTAGATAATCTTTATGCTGTCTTAGAGGAAAATACTTTTCTATTTTAGGGTCCGGTGTGCTTTGAAGATGTAGCTGTTCATTTCACAGACGAGGAGTGGGCATTGCTGGATCCTGGCCAGAGAGCTCTGCATAAAGAACTAATGGAGGAGAATCATAGGATCATGGACTCTCTTGGTAAGGCTCCCTGTTGGATCACGATATCTGTTTTGAAATTCCATACGTATATCTATGTGACAAATCTCCAATAATTTGTTGGAGCTCAGCAGGGCAATCTATAGCAGCTGGGATTTTAACACACCCACATCTCTAAAAGATTTGCCTGCACATATTCTTCCTCAAGTTCTGTCTTTTTAAACAGTGATCAGGCTGGACTGAACTGCCAAGGCCTTTTAAAATGTAGGCTTAAGGTTGTAAGCGAAGTTGAAGGAATTTCAGTTGGGTTATTCGTTTTTGGTTGACGAAAGAGATGACTTGACATTGGAGATGGAGCAGACTCCATATTGGACTCAACATAATCCATCAAAGAAAAGAGCCTGGTTTTTTTATCCTTGTTTTTCTGACTTAGAAGAGCTGCATTTCTTTTCTTCCTGAAACTCTAATGAATTTCTCTCTTGGTTGCAGGTGCTGAAGAATTGCAAATGAATGAGGAAGACCCTGACAGAATCCACACACAGGAGAAGCCGCTTAAATATTCGGGGCCTGGAAAGAGATTCAGTCAGAGCTCCCACTCCACTTCCAATCTAACAAATCTACTGGGGAAAAAGCTCTATCAGTGTTTGGAATGTGGAAAGAACTTCTGTCGGAAATCCCGCCTGACTTATCATCAAGTAACTCACAGCGGGGAGAAACCGTATCAGTGCTTACAATGTGGAAAGCGTTTTAGTTGGAAGAGAAGTTTCGCTTCCCATCAAAAAATTCATACAGGGGAGAAACCCTATCAGTGCTTGGAATGTGGGAAGAGCTTCAAACGGAAGGATGCTTTAACTTTCCATCAAAGAATTCATACAGGGGAGAAACCCTATACCTGCCTGGAATGTGGAAAGAGCTTCAGCCGGAAACATAGTCTGACTTTCCATCAAAGAAGTCATACAGGGGAGAAACCCTATACCTGCTTGGAATGTGGAAAGAGCTTCAGTCAGAGGGCCAGTCTCACAGTCCATCAGAGAATTCATACAGGGGAGAAACCATATAGGTGCTTGGAATGTGGAAAGGGGTTCTATGGGAAGAATATGCTCACTTCTCATCAAAAAGTTCATACAGGGGAGAAACCCTATCAGTGCTTGGAATGTGGAAAGAGTTTCCGTCACAAGGGCGAGCTCACTGTCCATCAAAGAATTCATACAGGTGAGAAACCGTATCAGTGCATGGAATGTGAAAAGAGCTTCACTCAGAAATCCAGTCTCACGTCCCATCAAAGATTCCATACAGGGGAGAAACCATATGAGTGCTTGGAGTGTGGAAAGAGGTTCAGTTGGAAGACAATGCTCACTTCCCACCAAATGATTCACACAGGGGAGAATCCGTATCCATGCTTGGAATGTGGAAAGAGCTTCAATCGGAAGGATAGTCTGACTCTCCATCAAAGAACTCATACAGGGGAAAAACCATATCAGTGCTTGGACTGTGGAAAGAGCTTCACTCAGAGAGCAGGTCTCATGTACCATAAAAGAATTCATACAGGGGAGAAACCGTATCAATGTATGGAATGCGGAAAGAGCTTCACTCACAGAGCTGGACTCGTGTCCCATGAAAGATTCCATACAGGGGAGAAACCATATGAGTGCTTGGAGTGTGGAAAGAGGTTCAGCTGGAAGACAATGCTCACTTCCCACCAAATGATTCACACAGGGGAGAATCCGTATCCATGCTTGGAATGTGGGAAGAGCTTCAATCGGAAGGATAGTCTCACTTCCCATCAAAGAATTCATACAGGGGAGAAACCATATCAGTGCTTGGAATGTGGAAAAAGCTTCACTCAGAGAGCAGGTCTTATGTACCATCGAAGAATTCATATGAGAAGAAACCATATCAGTGCATGGAATGTGGAAAGTGTTGCATTCAAAGAACCAGTCTCACTTCTCATTGAGTAACTCACAGTGGGAAGTAACTACCTCAGTGCATGGAATGGGGAAAGAGCCTCAGTCGGAAGAATAGTCTTACTTCCCATCAAAGAATGCATAAAGAGTAGAAACCTTATAGGTGCATGGAATGTGGAAAGAACTTCAATCAGAGGGCAAGTCTCACTTCCCAACAAAGAACTCACAGTGGGCAAAAACCGTATCAGTGTGTGGAATGTGCTTCACCTGGAAGGAAAGTCTCAGTTCCCATGAAATAATTCATACAGGGAAGAAACCACATCAGTGCATGGAATGCAGAAAGGGCTTCACCCAGGATCAAAGTCTCACCATCAAAGAATTCATATGTTGGAAACCATAATGTGGTTGTAATGTGAAAGGAGCTTCAGCCGTAGCTCCAATTTCACTTTCCATCAAGAAACTCACAATGAGCAGAATCATAGTCTCTGAATTATAGTGTTGTAGCATTTGAGAGGACTCTGTGTGTTGTCTAGTCCACCCTGTTCCTGGCAACCTGCTGTAGGGGCTGTTTCCTCTGCTGCCTAACATGTAGACTTGTCTGCCTTTTATTGTATGTCAAAAAATTCATTAAATTTCCTTCCGCCCTCACTCTTTTGGATGCTTCCTTGATTTCATTCTCCAACGCAGGATCACTCTGGGCATTTTGGTCAGGGAGACGAAAGCACGTTCCAAGTCCTACTTTTCGAGTAGACAGCAGAGAGGAATGTGGGTCTTGGTTAAGTGGTGATTAACTTACAGTCTGGTTTTGAAAAACTGAATCAGTTCTGACTGGCTTTAAACTGTGGAACGAAATTTACAGCTGAATCCATATCTTATATGCCACTTTCCTTCCCCTACAAAAAACTGCAGCTTGCATTGAGATACACCTACCTTGTTGGTTCTAAGATGGCTCTCCTGCTAGCTTGGTCTGTGCCACATGAAACCAGAGATGAATGGGTATTTCTTTTTTTACCCACCTCTCTAAAATTGGGGTCTCATCTAAGATTCTGGTTTACTGGGGCTCCTCAAGATATTCCTGCTAGGGCAGAGCTGAAAACTAAGTTTCTAAAATTTTATCGCCCCTAGAAATTGAGCTCTGAGGGTTTTTTAAAAATTGTGCCCTTCATTGATCATTTGAGCATCTGCAAGCCAAAGCCTATTAAAGTATAAAGTGGAAGAGAACATAACTCTTTCCCGATACCTTTTCTCCCAGGACTTTTTGTTCTCAAAGAGAAAATTTTTGAAAGGAGATTGCAGCATGAAACTGCTGGATTGCAGCTCATGAATTCTGTCACCTTTGGTTGGAATGGGGAGAACAGATTCTTATGTGTTATTCTGGTGTACGTGTGTTATTTATTTTTATTTATTAGCTAATTATATTGACATCCCCCCTTTCTTCCAAGGAGCTCAAGGCGCCATACATGGTCTTCTCCCAGCAACACAGGGAAGCAGGTCAGGCTAAGAGACAGTGACAGAGTGGGGATTCGAACCTCGGTCTCCCAGGTCTTAGTCAGCTACGAGTGATCACCAAAGAAGAAGTCGTCCATCCAACACTCTCCACCAGCCTTTCTCAACCTGGGGTCTCCTCAGTGTGGGACAATGACTCCTCAGTGTGGGACAACGACTCCCATCATCCCCAACCACCTTAGGGATGATGGGACTTGTAGTCCAACAACATCTGGGGACCTAAGGTAGAGAAAGGCTGCTCTACACATTACACCACAGTGGCTCTCTTATGCATGGCAACCCACACCAGACAAGCCCCTTCTTTCTCTGGGGGAATGTGTAAGTGGGACTCCTGCTTCTCTCAGAGATTTCTCACCAAGGTCCTATGGCCTGCTGGGGACTCCTTTGTTGGGTTTAGCATCCTCTTGTACTGATGCTACCATGTTTTTTACGATGACAAGGACATGGGATCATAGGGGGCTCCTTTATCCCACGTCAGAACTTTGCTTCAACTAGCTCCAATTTGTCTCCACAGACTGCAGCCATTCTCCAAGGTTTCAAAGATGAGACATTCCCAGCCCTACCTGGAGATGTTGGGGGTTGGAGGACCTTCTGTATACAAAGCAGGTGTCCTAGGATGGAGCTACAACTCTAGGATGGTCACTGTGGTTCATCAAATGTTCCAGGCACCTTGCACAAAGTCTCCCACAGGGTTGTCCTTTGATCCACCAGGGCTTCTTTGCTGTTTGGTGAACATTGCTGAAGTTGATGGTTCCTCAGGCCTAACAGGACCCAATTGACAGTCACACCAGAGAGTTCTTTGAAGCATGTTTTTTTCTGGCTCTTTCTTGGCGCCTGGAGCCAAGGCCAAGAGTCCAGGATGTTGCTTAGGAGGTGGACCTTCTTAATTTTTCCGTTATCAAATTTGTGGTGATTTATTTCTCCAGCCTTGGGATTTCTCCCAAGATAGCCTTGGAGACCAATAATAACATAAACATCAGAAGATTAGGCAGCATGAGACAACTTTTTGTAACAAGCCTGCCAGAACTCAGAGTTAAGTATTTCAAATGCCACAGAGAGCCTGGTCTGGGCACGTTGTAACAGTCAAGGGTCATGTCGGCACAAGGTTTTTTGTTGCAATCTTTGCTTCTGCAAGAAGATTTAGGGATTTAAAGAAGCACCACACACGTCCCTTTGTGACCTGCAGTTGGGGCGGTTAATTATGAATACTCTCACTGTTTTGACACTGAGCTCAGTGAACATGAAGGCAGCATCTAGAACACAACAGATCACAAAATCTTTAGCAGCTCAGTATGACGATAACATATTATGAGGCAGTTTGTTTTTTCTAGTATAATTTTGTTCCAAGATGCAAACACACTCTTGGCTTTTAAAACTGGTGATAATACACACCAAGGGTTTCCCTCGGTGGTCTAAACTCAAAAGCCTGGTGACTTGTGCTCTGTGTGGGGCTGCCCTTGAGCTTGTCCCAGAAGCTGCAGTGAGTGCACAGTGCAGTGGCACAACTGCCCACTGAGGCAGACCCCTGCCACTGTGTTACATCCCTGTAGAAATAACTGCACTTGGTAGCTGCTAATCTCACTTCAAAAGCAATAAATCATACTCTGATAATGACTAATACTTTGTTTTTATGCATTATCTAAAAGGAAACATGCACACCTATGCCACTTCCCCTTTCAGAAATGCTTAATTGCTAATTGAATTGACTTTTACTGTTATTATTCATCCACCATTGGTCCACACCCTGCACCCTTTGTGGCTCCTAGAAGCTGTAGGTATGCAAATGTGGCCACATCTTGGGTAATGGCTTTGGTCTGCTAAACCAGGTGAGGGTAGCTGATGGGTCTTAAACCCTTGATGACTTAGGGACTTACCTATCTTCCGCCTGTGAAGACAGGCTTGGCTGGATTGAGCAGTCAAGAGCAATAGCGGGTCCAACAGTCAAGAAGGTGGTTTCTGCACATGCGGTACAAGGAAATGAGCAGGTGGGGCTTTTCAACCTGGGAAGGTAGTCCATCTAGAAGGAAAACTCTGATCCTAAACCTCGGCTACCTTGCAGCTGTACTCATTTGTGAGAAAAGCTTGGGGAGTGAATCCTGAGGAACAATCTGTAGCCTTGTGGGATACCTTTGGGAGAAGAAAAGGCTAAGAAGTAAACGCTGTACAAATCTGGAGTCCCTACGGTGTCTTGTATGTCTCCTTCCAGCAGTCAAGCAGGTGCCAAACATATTGTTCTGATCTGGACCACACCAGCGAGGCCGGGGGGGGGGGTGTCTTGTCATCTGGGCAGCCCAGGACCTCCATACACACTGCCCAGGCTTATGCCCTTGAGATACCGCCATTCATCAAGAGACCAAAGGGCAGTTTGCAACATAGAACACATCATTGAAGAGACAAATGATGCCTTGCCCAAGATTTCTTTAATCAGGTGGCAGCACGAAGTATGGGGAATCGCCATAGCTCAGCAGTAGAGCATCTGCTTGGCATGCACAATGTTCGACTCCAGGCTTATCCCTACAGAGATAACACAACAGCTTTCCAGGTTAGTTAGCGTAGTGGCATTGTGCTCTCTAAGATGTCAGCTGCCACAGCAATTACTTTCTTGAGCCACTTTAGCACTGTAATGCATACCTTTTATATTTAAAAGGAGAATTTTTAATTCATGGCAGTATGTGAACATCTACTTACACATTTGCACTTTTTATAGACGGCCAAGCTTGCAGGCGCATGACTAAGTGCTGAAATTCTCCATGATGCTCACTAGATTCTAAACATTTGGGGGAAAGGGTGTGCCTCTTCCTTTTCATTATCAGTTATTTCTACCTAAGAAATTGGGAGAAAGCAGCAGGGTTCATCAGGGTTCAGATTAATGAGCCAACTATGGTGTAATTTTTCTGCAATAAATACAATATATGTAAGTGAAGCCACATTTGAAACACTACAGAAGCAGTCCAAGGGATTTTCCTAGGAAGCATTTTATTTAGTCTCATCTGCAATTACGTGTGCTGAACACACGACAAACACATAGATAATATGAAATTACTGAGAGTTATTGTCTCCAAACAACATTAAACCCATGCAAACAGATTCATAGAATAGTACAAATGATTCCCCCTCCCATGAATTCACTAGGCAAACAAATTTTATGATACTTTACCGTATATGAAATGGAACATTTCTACTGTAACATTAAATCTTAAGATACTCTGCTTTGACACTGAAGTATCTGTAGTCTATCCATCTATATAGAAACCCCAAAAAGTCACAATGCACTAAAGGAACATGTGTTTTTTTTTAAAAAAAAACCCAACAATTCAAAATAAATTCAGGTGTGGGTTGTGTGTGCCAGGGGAAATGTGCTTTAAATGAAAGGTGTGTACAAAGTCTCAAGGTTCCGCAGCTTCAGATTTCTTGACCTAAGGAACAGGACAGCCAATAGCTAAGCAGGTTAAAGGGTGTGATATGATTTCTGTGACCAGTTGTTTAATTCCAGGTTAGAAGGTGGGTGCCCTAGCCCAGGAGCACACGGACTGTGCCAGGTTCCTCTCTGGAAGCTGCAGAACCAGACATCATGGACACTTTTTGGGGCAAGGCGCCATCTTTTCACGAACTTCTGAAAGACTTTATTTTGATTTCATTATTTGGAAGACTGTATTCTTGTCTGGTTTTCATATGTGACGGTGGACAATGCAAAAAGTTACCCTTGCAACTAACTGTCCACTTTGCAGCAAAAGCCATCATTTCTATTTATTCATTTAGTTTAAAGGTGATGGGATTACAGGTCATATTAAGAGGACTGGGAGGTAAGAGAGAGTATTGCTCAGCTACCAAGCTCAGGGCCAGCCAGTCACTGTCTCTCAGCCTAAACTACCTTACAGGATTGTTCATTTAAGTATTTATAGACAGCTGTATCATCAAAATATACTACAGCAGTTTGGAGCAATATAAGAACATAAAACCAATTAATATCATAAAAATTAAAATTAAAAGCAAGTTAATTAAAAACAAGTTAACAGGAAAAATAAAATTTAAAAACAAGCATCAATAGACCCCTGAAGGGGTGTACGTACTCTTAATGGAATAGAAGCAAAAATAGCAGGCAGTTAAAAGTTGGCACAGCGGGAACCTACTGAATCTCTCGTGGCAGGATGTTCCACAGGACTGGGCCCATGACAAGAAACGCTAAAATAAAGCCTTGAAATCAACATTGGTAAAAGGTGCACAGCTGTGAGCTGGGTCTTTCACCAAACACCTGCCCTTTCTCCTCTGCTACTCTTCCTAATTTAACCAAGGCTGCTTCACAACAACAACCACTCTCACCCTCCAACCGTCTCTACTGATGAGGCCAGAGACCATCTTGGCCATCTCCAGAAGACTTGCTCTCAGCCTTACAGGCCTTTTTCCACCTGGCCTGGGAGGTCCCAGACTGATGGACTGACTCCAGCTGCAAAGGCTGAGCCTGCTGAACAGGCTCTGGGGCGTAGGGATTTCGGGGTGGGGAGGCTATTGCTGTTACATTTTTTCCTCTTGTATACTTATTTAAGATCTTGTTGAAATTATTGTGGAAATTGTTCAGCTTGATTGTATATTTTTAATGTTTCATTCATTGTTTATGACTACTTTTTGGTTACTGTATTTATTCAAACCTCCTTTGAAACTCGGCCAATCACCTCTCACCCCAGCATCCCAAACTCACTCTGCCCCACCTCCCTAGCTAACAGTACCTTACATCTACTATTATACTATACTTATAATTATGAATTACTTTGATACAGGTGCATACAACTTTACATACAAATGGAGCCCGAGAGAGATACGATAGCCATCTTCTAAGATCAAAAGGGCTGTCCCATGAAAGATGGAGAAAACTTGTGTTCTCTTGTTCCAGGAGCAGGACCTGAAGACATGGATTAAAGTAACAATAAAGGAGATTCCAACTAAACATCAGACAAGAAATTAGACAATACCATAATAGCTATTCAACAATGGAAGGGAATTCCCACAGAAGGATTGCGTGGCCATCTGTCTGAGATACTTTAGCTGAGATTCCAGCCTTGAGGGGATTGGGGTAAATGAACTTCAGGGTCGATCGATCGCTACAATTTTATGATTCTCTCCTCTGGAAGATATTTCATGGGAAGTATGATGTATTCTCTGACTGAAGTTCTTAGCACATTAGAAGCATTGATATGGTTTCTCCCCTGTATGAATTATTTTATTGGTCATGAGATTGATGTTCTGACTGAAGCTCTTTCAACATTATGAGAAATGATATTGTTCCTCTCTTCTGTGAGTTCTATGATGGGAAGTGAGATGGGTGCTCTGGCTGAAGCTCTTTCCACATTCCAAGCATTGATATGGTTTCTCCCCACGGTGAATACTTTGATGTCGACGGAAGTTTGTGCTTGTATTAAACCTCTTTCCACATTCCAAGCACTGATAGGGTTTCTCCCCAGTGTGGATTCTCTGATGGGAAGTAAGATTGGCCCTCTTACAGAAGCTCTTTCCACATTCCATGCACTGATAGGGTTTCTCCCTTGTATGAGTTATTTGATGGGCGGTGAGATGGGCACTCTCACTGAAACTCTTTCCACATTCCATACACTGAAATGGTTTCTCGCCTTTATGAATTATTTGATGGGAAATGAGACTTTCTTTCCAGGTAAAGCTCTTTCCACATTCCATGCAGTGATATGGTTTCTCCCCTGTATGAATTCTTTGATGAGCCGTGAGATTGGTGCTCCGACTGAAGGTCTTTCCACATTCCAAGCACTGATATGGCTTCTCCCCCGTATGAATTATTTGATGGGATGTGAGATAGGTGCTCTTATTGAAGCTCTTTCCACATTCCAAACACTGATAGGGTTTCTCCCCTGTATGGATCATTTCATGGGAAGTGAGACTTTCTTTCCAGGTGAAGCACTTTCCACATTCCAGGCACTGGTAGGGTTTCTCCCCTGTATGAATTCTTTGATGGGACGTGAGATAGGCACTCTTACTGAAACTCTTTCCACACTCCAAGCATTGATATGGTTTCTCCCCACTGTGAATTCTTTGATGGGACGTGAGATTGCCCCTCTCTCTGAAGTTTTTTCCACATTCCAAGCACTTGTAGGGTTTTTCCCCTGTATGAATTCTTTCATGGGTTGTGAGATTGGCACTCTGACTGAACCGCTTTCCACAGTCCAAGCACTGATATGGTTTCTCCCCTGTATGAATTCTTTGATGGGATGTGAGATTGGCACTTTTATTGAAGCTCTTTCCACATTCCAAGCACTGATATGCTTTTTCCCCATTGTGAATTCTTCGATGGGCCGTGAGCTTGCCCATCTCACTGAAGCTTTTTCCACATTCCAAGCACGGATATGGCTTCTCCCCTGTATGAATACTTTGATGGGAAGTGAGACTTTTCTTCCAGGTGAAGCTTTTTCCACATTCCAAGCACTGATAGGGCTTCTCCCCAGTGTGGATTCTTTGATGGCAAGTGAGATGAGTGCTCTGACTGAAGCTCTTCCCACATTCCAAACACTGATATGGTCTCTCCCCTGTATGAATTCTTTGATGGGAAATGAGATTGGCCCTCTCACTAAAGCTTTTTCCACATTCCAAACACTGATATGGTTTCTCTGTTGTATGAATTCTTTGATGTGCCGTGAGCTTGCCCCTCTCACTGAAGGTCTTTCCACATTCCAAGCAGTAATATAGTTTCTCCCCTGTATGAATTATTTGATGAGACGTGAGACTTTTCTTCCAAGTGAAGTTCTTTCCACATTCCAAGCACTGATACAGTTTCTTCCAAATGGGATTTATTTGATGGGAATTTATTTGATGGGAAGTGGAATGGGAACTCTGACTGTAGCTCTGTCCAAACTCTGAATATTGATATGTCTTTTCCACTGTATGGATGATGTCGTGGTATCCCTCGTTCTTAATTTCCAAATCATCATTACCTGTTACAAGGAGAGAAATGGATTAGAGCCTCGGCAAGAGATGGAGCCCCAAATTATTGAACATTGCTCATAAACACATGTGATAGATTAAGTACAGAAGGGAGTTATATGTGAGGTCTTACTACAGGGTTCACTGCCTTAGTTTACTGGCACTAACAGGGATATTTATGGGAACCTGAGATTCAAATACCCTGGTTCTTTTCTAGGATGGATTTTGTTTGGCTACATCATGGAATCTTTGATCAACCAAAAGCCGACACAAGCAAAAACAAAAAAAACCTGCCAGGGAGCTACTTCGACTTCCCTTATAATTCTGAAGCCTATAAAAAGGGTCAGGCATTTAAGGCCAACCTGATTATTGTTTAAAAAGGCATAACTTGGAGAATAAGATTTGCAGACTAAACAGTAGATAGCTGTGCATTCAAGGTGAGCTGTCCCAGATGCTGTTGGTGCACTATTGAGCCCCATCAAAATATAGGAGGTTCATCACATAGAGGTATGTATTGATTTTCAAAACAGATATTGTGATGCAACAGGGAGCCTTACCAAGCGAGTCCATGATCTCACGATTCTCCCCCATGACTTCCTCATGCAGAGCTCTCTGGTCAGGATGCAGCAATGCCCATTCATCGTCTGTGAAATGAACAGCTACATCTTCAAAGCACACTGGGCCCTAAAAGAAAAAGAAAGTTTACCTTCTAAGATAGCATAACAATTATCCACTACAAATGTCTTTCTTCTTTTCTGCCTGTTCATTGCTGTGTTGTTTTAATGGATTTTTATTTATTTTTGCTGCATGTTTTAGTTATGGATGCTTCTTTTAATGTCTTAATGTAATTCTATTACTTTGTATTTTAATGATGGCTATTAATCTATTTTTAAATGGATGGAACGTCACACTGTGTTCTACAAAACATTTTGTCTCTGCAAGCATTTCTCTCTCTTCTCTCCCCATGTGCAGTTCTGTGGTGGGGACCCTCCTAAAGCTTCAAGGGGCGCATGGGGGCGCAGAGAGCAGGAGGAGAGGGAGGCAGCCCCATTGTGCAACTGATGAGGCTGCTTAGGTGACTCCTGGCAACTGTTTTGTAAGGTTTCACATTCAACAATCAATATATAAATAAAATTGCAACCAGTGGTAAATGCTTCTACAAGCACTCAGAAGGCAAATTAAGGTGAGGCAGCTGTTCATTATTCTTAGCACATAAACCACCTTGAATGGCATGTTCAGCCTTTGTTAATGGCAACTCTGACAGAAGCCAAGTGGAGAGAGGTTTATCCTGGCCCAGAGGCACCCTGGCTGCCCTGCCCCTCAGTCTCTTTCCCCACAGTGCTCCTTCTTCCTACCTGATCTGGTTCCACAGCGGCTACTACTCCTTTGCCACCATGAAAAGATGGATAAGCAGATCTTGCCAGCATTCTTCTGTCACCTGAGAGAGATAAAGGTAAGTAGGAAGCCACGGGTGTGTGCTCTCAGAGGTGAAGCAGCACATCTCTAACTACAGATGGGCCTTCAAAAAAGTGCCACCAGCTGAGTGCATTTTGATGTTGGTACCCATTTCGTATTTGTTGTGCAAAAATACATATCCCCTCCTTTAGGCTCTTGACCCCAAGTATCCTCAAAAACATGAAAAGAATCCACAGATTGCAAAGAATGTGACCAAACGGAGAAAAAACTCCATCTTACCCAGGGGTGTCTCTCTGGTGTCCAATGCAGTCCTCTCTGCTTCAGAGGAATCAGGGTCAATTTCTGCAAAGATCACCGTTCTCTGATATAGCAACACGGTTTCAAAACAGAGATTGAGGGGAAAGATTAGAAAAGGAGTGGCAGAGACAAAAAAAAAAAAAAAAGGATCTCCCATATCATTCAGAGCCCCTTGAGGGTATCCTGAGGAAAGTTTCTCTCACCTGCTGCTCTGCCTGCTTCCTCTCCTCTGCCTGACTCAGGAGGAAACCTTCGGCCAGGGCCACCGCCTGGGAACTGGTCTCTGCTCCACATTCCCTCACCCAGCTCTCCATCTCCGGTGGAAGGACAGCCAGGAACTGCTCCAAGATCACCAGGTCCAGCATCTGAGCTTTTGTGTGCCTTTCTGGCTTCAGCCACTGATGGAAAAGGCGGTAGAGTCGGCTGCAAATCTCTCGGGGTCCTTCGGCCTCCTGGTAGCAGAACTGCCTGAACCGCTGGCTCCGCACATCTGAGTGGAGGGTGTCCTCCTCACCCAGGATCTTTTGAACGGAGATTTCCCATAATCCCCCACTGCTCTCAGTTTCGATGGCGTGGCCTCTTCCCACTTCAGGGCCAGCTGAGTCTAGCTCATCCATCTGGGCTCTCAGGAAGCCTCCAAGAGATCGGAAGATTGGTCTTCTTCCCAGTTCTGTTTGTCCTAATGAGTGGCGCTAGCAAATCCTACAAAGCAAATACATTGTTTTGTTATAAGACTGATATACGGTCAGGAGAAGAAAAAGTTTCCCTGAGCAAGCATGGATGAGTCTTACTAGAAACCAGGGCTGGATTCCACCACAGCCCAGAGTCTGAGCTTTCTTTAACAAAGGAAGCCCTCCTTTGATAGATTCTAAAGATAGAGGTGGATTCTCCCTGCCGTATTTAAGATTATATTATGAAGCATCCTGTTTATGCTGGCTAAGGGAATGTATATTATTTAAAAATTCATTTTAGATCTTGAAGTTCATGACAATAGATAAGGTTGGCATGCATTTTTGTGGTACAAGAATGTTAAAGTACATACAGCTTTCCTAAATCATGTAGTAAGAAAATCGGTTTATGAAGTATAGAGAAAATATAAAAATCTGTTAGAGCAAAAAACACCATGGTGGCTTTCCCCACAGGAAGCGATATCTTTGAAAAAATTCAGTATGAGAAATAACTGGACAACTTACAAAGAACTGTTAATGGAAGTAGGACATCAACTAAGATTTAAGAGGTTTGAGAGTATAAGAGAAGAATTAACTGACTGGTTACAATACCATGAGCTAAATGATATATTTAAGATGGATTAAAAGAAGGTTTTCTTAATAAAACCTCTAAATTTGAAAAAGAGCTGTTAGAAAACAAGACTAAATTGCTTTCATATAATCATAGAATAGAATCATAGAAGAGCTGGAAGAGACCACAAGGGCCATCGAGTCCAACCCCCTGCCAAGCAGGAAACACCATCAGAGCACTCCTGACATATGGTTGTCAAGCCTCTGCTTAAAGACCTCCAAAGAAGGAGACTCCACCACACTCCTTGGCAGCAAATTCCACTGTCGAACAGCTCTTACTGTCAGGAAGTTCTTCCTAATGTTGAGGTGGAATCTTCTTTCTTGTCGTTTGGATCCATTGCTCCGTGTCCGCTTCTCTGGAGCAGCAGAAAACAACCTTTCTCCCTCCTCCTCTATGTGACATCCTTTTATATATTTGAACATGGCTATCGTATCACCCCTTAACCTCCTCTTCTCCAGGCTAAACATGCCCAGCTCCCTTAGCCGTTCCTCATAAGGCATCGTTTCCAGGCCTCTGACCATTTTGGTTGCCCTCCTCTGGACACGTTCCAGTTTGTCAGTGTCCTTCTTGAACTGTGGTGCCCAGAACTGGACACAGTACTCCAGGTGAGGTCTGACCAGAGCAGAATACAGTGGCACTATTACTTCCCTTGATCTAGATGCTATACTCCTATTGATGCAGCCCAGAATTGCATTGGCTTTTTTAGCTGCCGCGTCACACTGTTGGCTCATGTCAAGTTTGTGGTCAACCAAGACTCCTAGATCCTTTTCACATGTACTGCTCTCAAGCCAGGTGTCACCCATCTTGTAGTTGTGCCTCTCATTTTTTCTGCCCAAGTGCAATACTTTACATTTCTCCCCGTTAAAATTCATCTTGTTTGTTTTTGCCCAGTTCTCTAATCTGTCAAGGTCATTTTGAAGTGTGATCCTGTCCTCTGGGGTGTTAGCCACCCCTCCTAGTTTGGTGTCATCTGCAAATTTGATCAGGATGCCCTTGAGTCCATCATCCAAGTCGTTGATAAAGATGTTGAATAAGACTGGGCCCAAGACAGAACCCTGTGGCACCCCACTAGTCACTCTTCTCCAAAATGTATAAATTAAAAAATGTATAAATTAATATTAAAATATTAATATTAGAATAGCATACGAAAGATGAACAGGTTAAATCAGTTATGATACACTGGGCGAGGGACTCTGAAGCATGTTATACATTGAAAGAAAATTTTATGAACGTGATATATCTTTGGTATTTAACTCCTAATAAACTAGCTAAAATGTACAAAATAAGGTGAAATACATGCAGGAAAAGAAAGGAAAAAGAAGGCACATGTAAGGTAGTAAAAGAATTCTGGGAGATGATATATAATGAACTGGGGGGGAAATGTTTTAAATAACCTTTTCTAGAAAACTCGAAGCTTTTCTTTTAGGAATTCTAGGTGCTGAAATTCCAACAGATCAGAAAAGACTATTTATGTATGTGACAACTGCTGCTCGGATGTTATTAGCCCAGAGATGGAAAGAAGACAGAGTCTTCTTCTTCATACCAGAGAAGAATGGAGGATTAAGTTGATGGACTATGCCCAATTGGCAAAAATGACAGGAAGAATCAGAAACCAGGTAGACCAAAATTTTAATAAGGAAAAGGGAAATTATATAATTTAACTTAAAAACCATTGTAAACAACTAAAATTATTAGTAGGATTAGAATAACACTTCTGACTTAATGTTGAATTTCGGGTATAACAGATTTAAAAGATTTGGATTAATAGACAAGATGCAGGAGGAAAACATTACCATAATATAAGGACCCACAAAGGGGAGGAGGGAAGTTCAGGAGATCTTTTGGAATTTTCTTTTATGTTGGTTGTTTGATAATTGTTTGTAATTTTTAAAAATCTGAATAAATAAATAAATAATCCTCCAGCCCTCAAGGAAAGAAAGTGACCAAGCAAAATATGCCGGCAACTAAAGGGATTTCTGTGAGATGAAGCAGCCTGGTTGTCCCTGCCTTTCTGTATTTTCAGTCAAAGAGCGAAGTCAGAAGGGTGATCAACATATGAGTCGATCAACTATGGAGTGTAATTTGGATACTAATCTAGAGTGGGGGTCCTAACCCTGGGATCCTCAAAAGTTGCTCTCCCTCCCACCCCCACTTTGGGGACAACTTCTTTCCTGCTTCTCTCTCATTTTCTAGCACTTGGAATCTGCAACACTCTAAAGATATGGTAATGTGGTGGGGTACCCCCAAAGGGACAGGTATAAATAATAAAATTATAGTTGTTGTTTTCCTGAGGGCCAAGTGGGTGGGGTCAAAGGACACCACTTAAAAACGAAGTTAATTAGGAGTAATCTTCTTTCTCTGATTGCAAGTGGTTTTAAACTGCACTTAATATTGTGTATACTGTCCTAGGAACTTAGGGTCAAGCACAGGTAATCATTAACAATATTAATAATAATAATAACGTTACATAGCATATTCCCCACCCCAGCCATATATTCCTGGGTGTTCTCTTACATCCCACGTGGCCTCAGTGATGGAGCAGGGCCCATTTCTAGCTCCAGCTCCTTTGCCAGTCACCATCCCTTGGGGGCTGAGGGGACGAGGCCATGGGGTCCCCACTCGGGATCAGATGGGGCATCGCAAGACCCTCCGTGTGGAGCAACTGCCCTTGAAGGCAACTGTGAGGGACACTCGGGGGAGGCAGCGCCTCAGAGATTCTGCCAGAGGGCGGGAGCTTCTCTCTCTCTCTCTCTGATTGGCTGCCAGCCCTTTTGGAGGGAAAATCCAAGGAGCCCTTTCTGAGGGAAAGAGTTTGAAAGGGCCTAATCTGAGAGGGGAGAGGGGGAATTTTTTATTATTATTATTATTATTCAAAGAGGTTCTGTCTGAGGGAAAACTGGCTTTGCTCTAAGAGGGGAGGTAGGGATTTTATTGATAATAATAATAATTATTATTATCTCTGTCTGAGGGAGAACTGGCTCTGATCCTAGAGAAGGAGCCTCGCAGCAGCTTAGATACAAAGACGACCCAGTGGAGAGTCTGGGGAGAATATGGAGGCAGGATTTAATCTGGAGGGCTGAGTCTGAGGCAGGAAAAGGAGACCCCCCAATGAATAACAAGGCCTGAGAGGATCCCCTGGGTCTGTGGGAAATCCCTCAGGAGTGGGATGGCTAAGAGAGAGGCGGACGAACAAAAAATGCCACTCGCTCAGGAACCAAAGTATTAGGCTGAGAAGGAAGCTGTGTTGTATTAAAAGTATTTAAGTGTAACCCTGGTCATAACTAAGTAAATGAACAGAAACCGAGTGAATTCTTTTACCTCCTATGGTAGAAACCTGAACTTCCAACTGAAGTGCAACAAGTGAGCTTTTAGCAACTGAAGTTTAAGAAAAGCTGTGCATGTACTACAGTGAGATCTTTCTATTTAGTTTAAGTAAGAAGCTAACTTTTATTTGAAAGAACGCATCTCCTGACCCCAAATTTGTTTCACGAACCTCTTCTTTTGTAAATAAAACTGCTCTTGTTCGTTTGGCTCTTTCCTAAGACTCTAAATCACTAAGTTTTCCCTCACACAAGATCCTCACAAGGTAGCCTGTGGGAAATTGCAGAAATTCATGTAATTGGCCTGCCAAGCGATGGGTCTGCTATATATAATGGGGAGCAGTTAGCGGGGTGTCTGCTGAGTTATCGGTGGCTAGCGGTGGGTTCTGCTACAACAACTCACAACCTGGTCCAAAATGGAGCAACCACATTATCGGCTGGGTTCCCTCTCTTTATTAATGACATTTCCCCCCCCCCCCCCAATCTTTTTCCTCCAGAGCGCTCAAAGTGGCCTCCATGGCTCTGCCCCTCCTCATTGAATCTCCTCAACAACCCTTGAAAACACATCTCATTCCTGTTTTTGGTGTTCTGTTCATTTCGGGGCCCAATTTGAGGTGCTCACACCAAGGGTTCACTTAGGTCCCCAAGAAGCTGAAGAACTGCCTCCTTTTCCACCGCCACAACCCCACTTCCAGGTTTTGGCATCACTAAGCTACACACACAGCATCATGAAAAGGAGGGGGAAAACCACCCCAGGAATATCCCCACCCCTTCAGGATTGGGCTGCACCTGGTTGATCTAAATTTGAATTTAAACAGAAACCACTATCTCCACTTTGAACCCACGTTCATCAATAGACCAATTACTTGATACTGTTTCACTGGTAACATAGGGATGTGTGCTAAGTCCCTACCTGTATTCATTGTATACATATAATTGTGTATCATCTGACCCGTCTACTGCAATTATTAAGTTTGCAGATGACACCACTATAATGGGTTTAATAACAGGTGGAGACGAATCAGTGTCTAGAGGGGAGGTCCAAAAAATATCTCCATGGTGCCTAGGGAACAACTTGCACCTTAATATCAGCAAGACAAAGGAGATGGTGTTGGACTTTGGGAGGAAGAGAGGAGAACTAGCCCTGCTGTGTGGAGAGAGTCTCTTCCTTTAAATTCCTCAGAGTTTATCTCAGTGAAGACCTTACTGGGAAAATCAGTACAACCCAGGTAGTTAAGAAAGCCCAGCAGAGACTCCATCTCCTCAGAGTATTGCGGAAGAATGATGTCAATCAACGTTTGATGGTCTCCTTCTACCGGTCTGCAATAGAAAGTGTCCTTTCCTACTGCATCACGGTGTGGGACGCTGGTTTGACATCAACTGATAGGAAGTGCCTACAGAGGGTGGTGAATACAGCACAAGATATTATGGGCTGTCCCGTGAATCCGCTGGATGAAACAGCGGAAGAACGTTGCCTCAGGAGAGTGAGGGAAATCCTCAGGGATGATTCACTCCCTGGCCGGCACTTTCTTGATCTCCTGCCCTCAGGCAGAAGATATAGAAGCAGGATTAGTCGCGCCAACAGGGTAAAGAACAGCTTCTGTCCGTGGGCTGTTAGGCTGCTGAATGAAGAGAACAACAGGGCAACGGACTTTCAGTAAACTAAGAGAGCTGAGTGGGGGGTGCTAGTGTAATCTCACTGTATACAAGTTGTACAAGTGACAATAAAGTATTTCAATTTCAATAGGAGGAAAAATGACTATTTTTCACACCTGACCTCAGCACAACCCAAGGGCTCCTGGCCAGGCCTTTGGCCATAAGATGCTCAATGTTATCTGTTAACTCTTCTCTGTCCTGTTTCCCCCTTTTCTGCTTAAGCTTAAACCAATTCATGAACTGAGAACTCAGACACCCCAATAATAATGAACCATGCGTTGAAGATATTCCTGTCCATTTATTATGCTATTTTTGTGATGCAGAGAAGATTCAGTATTTTGTTTTCTCTTATCCTTTATACTTCTGATGATCCCTGTTCATAAAACCCAATAAAAAGTTATTAAAAGACACACACAAAAACACAACACACACTCCCAGGCCCCTCTCTGCGCTCCATCTGCAAAGCAGGATGAGACCACTTTAAAGAGTCCAAAGAATCCTGGGAACCGTAGTTTGTAAAAGGTGCTGGGAGTTCCTAGGACATGCCCCCCTTAAGAGTGTCTGAGCAATTCAATCTTTTTGCCAGGAAACTCTGGGAATTATAGGGAACCCGGCAGAGGGCCTTCTCAGTGGCGGCACCCGCCCTGTGGAACGCCCTCCCACCAGATGTCCAAGAGAACAACTACTACCAGACTTTTAGAAGACATCTGAAGGCAGCCCTGTTTAGGGAAGCTTTTAATATTTGATGCATTACTGTATTTTAATATTTTGTTTGAAGCCGCCTAGAGTGGCTGGGGAAACCCAGCCAGATGGGTGGGGTATAAATAATAAATTGTTGTTGTTGTTGTTGTATAGCCCAGGCAGAGGGAGCTGGTGGGAGAGGGTCTCCCATTTAAGGATGCTGAGGGTTGCTAAGAACCGCCCCTCCCAAAAAAAGGGGATCTAAGAATTTGTGCTTCATTCCAGGGAAATCTGGGAATTATAGCTCGGGCAGAGGCGGCCCTGCACCTCTCCGCCTGCCTTCTTGATGGATTGCACAGATCAGGTTTCCCTTTGATCTTTTGCGTATATTTCACGCCCCGTCCGGCTGCAGCCTCTGCTCGTCCCTGCGGCGGATCCTGATCAGTCTTCTCTGCATGCAGAGACACCCCCCCCCCGCGCAAAGTTGCAAGCAGCAGCCCAGGGATCCTAAGGAAGACTAGAGCGACAGGCTTCCTGCAAACAGGTCCCCTCCCTGCCTTTTCATGGAGGGCTAGGGCAGGACCCTCTGCTCCCAGACTTGGGGGGGGGGCACATGCATTAGCTGAGCAGCCCCCCCCCCAGCACACCCACCCTGCAGTCCCTTCTCCCCCAGACTCACCAGATCCCAGAATACGCCACGGAGGCAGCACTTGCTCCGCAGACAAAAACCACCAGCCTCCCTTTGCAGGAAGCGATGGGGGGGAGGGGGTGTTGCAATGGAGGACCTGCCCCTCCTGTCTTGCCTGTCCTCTCTAGGAATGCAGATCAGTGCCTTTTAACCCTTGCAAAGCCGAGCTCACCCCTCCCTCCCTCCCTCCCTCCCTCCCTCTGCCCAGGAGGTTTTATTTTGGGGGCCCCTCTGGTCTGGGATCTGAACTGCTCCCTGCCTTGGCCAGCAAAAAGAAGCGCAGGGGGAAATGCTCCCAGCCAAGAGGGCCCCCCCAAAATGAATGCTCTCCGGGTGTGCGCAATGCACGGGGCTCCTGCTTTCAAGGGAGAAAGTGCGGGGGGGGGGGAAGCTTGGTTTCTCGGCTTTGCAAGGGTTAAAAGGAGCCGCGCTGGATTCCTAGAAAGGAGAGGAGAGGAAATAAAGGCGGGGGAGGGGCAGGTCCTCCAGAGCAAAATTTCTTGGCTTTTGTCTCTCTCTCTCTCTCTGCAAGCCAAGCGCTGCCTAGGTGGCGCCTCCTGGGATCCGGGGAGTCTCTTCTCTCTTCCCCCTTAGGGGTGCAATGGGGAGAAGGGGAGTCCCAGAGAGGATGCGTGGGAGGCTTGTTCCGATCATTCATGGGGGATGAGCAAGGAGCAGAGTGGGGACTCCTGTGGCCTGATCCTGCAGGGCATCTGTTCTGATGCTGAGTTCCTCCTGTTGCGGAAAAATTACGGGGGTGGGGCACATCTTTAAAGCTGTTAAATGTTACAAATATTATGCATAAATGTATCCTTTCGACTTGACAGCTCAGGGAAGTTACCTAGCTTTAACAATCATATAAAATCAACTGCTTTGCCGGTTTCCTCCATTTCAACACTATTTTGCCCTTGGAAAAGCGACTCTTTTCCCTGCCACTTCCCCAAGCCTGAGGACATGTATACACACCTCCTACCCCAGGAAGTGCCCAGAGGTGGCAATTGCTGAGCTGATTGTTGGCCAAGGAAAGCCTAATCCCATCACCAGACTTGCCAAGGGGTCCAGACATGCAAAGGAAGGTCTATTGTACTTTGGGTGGTGGGACTTCAGAAGGTGTTTGCCTATGCTAACCTTATGCAGTGGTATCTCTGGTTACATATGCTTCAGGTTACAGACTCCGCTAACCCAGAAATAGTACCTCAGGTTAAGAACTTTGCTTCAGGATGAGAACAGAAATCGTGCTCCGGCAGCGCGGCAGCAGCGGGAGGCCCCATTAGCTAAAGTGGTGCTTCAGGTTAAGACCAGTTTCAGGTTAAGAACGGACCTCCGGAATGAATTAAGTACTTATCTCGAGGTACCACTGTACCTGGGTCTTGCCCTGACATGTCTGCTTATGCTAATCTTATACCAAGGACTTGTCTGGACATATTTGCCAAGGTTGAACTAGTGTAACCACGGTCTACCCCTCCCCTTTTGTGACATGTCAGTGATGTAGCAATGATGTATCAATGATGCCGTATGAACTGTATTCTGGGATATGGTGGGAAAGTTTTAAAAGTCCTTGTCACCCCATCCTCGGGGTTCAAAATTCCTCTTTGAACCTGTTGCGCAATAAACTTTGGTCTACAGCTATTTGCTCCGGTTGGTGGCTGGACTCCTTCCTTTATTCTACAGGGACTCTGCCCAACGAGCTGGGTGACTGAGCAGTCTCGCACCTAGATTTTTCCGTAACATTCCAGATGCCAGTGAATTGTCCACTTCAGTTAGCAGCTCCCCCCTCATTCACCAGGCAGGGCAACTTCTTAGATCTTCTGAGATGGAACAGAAAGCCCTGCTGAGAACCACTGGAGGTCTCGCCTTCCAAGGAATCCAAGGTAGCAGGAGAGGCCCTGTGGGGAAGGAAGCAAAGCTGGGGTGGGGATGGGGGTGAAAGAGGCAGCTCCCCTCCCCTGCTCAGAGTTGCTTGGAGACCCTTTACCACCAGCTATAATTCCCAGAGTTCCGTAGCAACAAGAACAGATTGTTAAACTGCACTTGGGGATGTCTTCTAGCCTCTCAGCACCTTTTACAAGCTACGGTTCCCAGGATTCTGTGGAGGAAGCCAGGACTCTAAAGTGGGATGATTGTGCTTTGTAGATACAGTGCGGACGGGGCCTGGGGATGTCTCTTGTCTTTCTCCTTGGAATGGCTTTTTATTGGGTTTTATAAACAAGTATCATAGGAGTAATAAAGGATACAAATAAATAGACCAAGTCTTCTCTTGTCATCTGTACAAAAATAGCACAATAAGTTTGCGATAATCCCTTCAACATATGGTTCATTATTAGTGGTCAGTGTGTGAGTTCTTGGTTCATGAATTGGTGTAAGCAAAAGCAGAAAAAGGGAAACAGTGTAGAGCAGAGTTAACAGGTAACAGTCCACATTGCCTGGGGAAGAGTCATTTTCCCTCTTATGTTGTCAATGAAATGCTATAAAGTGTTGGACTCTTGATGAGGGTGGTGTTTAGATTTTACTTTAGATCAACCAGATGGAGTCTGATCCTGATGTGGGCGGGGTGTGTTTCTGGAGACTTTTCTTCCGACATAACGAAAAAAGGAGGGGACCTCACCCCAGTAGTCTGTCTCGGTAGGAACTTTGGAGATTCCAAGTGCTAGAAAACGAGTCAGAAGCAGGAAAGAAATGGGAGTGGGAAGGAGAGCAGCCCTTGAGGACCACAATTTAGCACACACACCCTCTAGCCTGGTGGACAAATTGCACTGGGTCAGTCACAGCTCTGACTTCATTCGTTGACTGGAAACACAGAAAGGCGGGAGGAACTAGGCTCTTTCATCTCACAGAAAACCCTTCAGCTGCCTGCATTGTAAGTTTTCTTTTCGGAGGTTTAGAGTCTTACCATACTTCTCATTCTTCCCTTTTTTTTGTTTTTTGTTTTTTGTTAAAACCAGGGTAAGGGCTGTGGTGCAGTCCAGCCCTGGATCCTAGCAAGATTCGATATTAAAACAAAGTACAGTGGTACCTTGGGTTAAGTACTTAATTTGTTCCGGAGGTCTGTTCTTAACCTGAAACTGTTCTTAACCTGAAGCACCACTTTAGCTAATGGGGCCTCCTGCTGCTTCCGCGCCACCGGAGCACGATTTCTGTTCTCATCCTGAAGCAAAGTTCTTAACCTGAAGCACTATTTCTGGGTTAGCAGAGTTTGTAACCTGAAGCGTATGTAACCTGAGTTACCACTGTACCGTATTTTTCCATCTATAAGATGCCCCCAAGTATAAGACGCCCCCTATTTTTGGGGACTCATATTTAATAAAATGGAGGGAATATGTATCTGTGTATAAGATGCCCCCAAATTTTTGACATTATTTTTTAGGGGGAAAACCTAGTCTTATACACGGAAAAATACAGTATTTCCTTTTGTAGGATTTGCTAGCAACTCTAATAAGGACAGACAGAACTTGGCAGAAGACCAAGGGGTTCCTTCCAAACTCTTGGAGAAGTGGCACCTTGAGATGTTGGAATATGTGGAATTCGCAGGAATGACCAGTAGAATAAGAAATCAAGATGAAATAAAGGTTTAAGGAGGACACGATAATATGTATATATAGATTACATGAAAAACTATAATAAACAATTATAACAATTAACTAGCAGGTTGCTAGTAACTTCAGCAGTGTAAGTAAGAACAGGAGATAAAGAGTAAAAGAGAAAGGATTGGAAAACTAAGATGTGGGAGGGAGTGGATTATAAAATGAGCCATGGAAGGAGAGGAAGGGAAGTCCAATAATGTTTGTATCTTTGAAAGTAATAGAAGAAGTTACAGTTTTGAAATGCAAATAAATAAAATATGGGGGGGAGAGTGTTGGTTATTTTGCAGATTAGTTGGGCTGCAGAAGGCGTGATGGGGAGACCACACATTCAAGAAACGCAAAAGTATCTTTCGCTTGGTTTAAGAACAAAAACAAAAACTCCTTTTACACTAAATTACATTATATCAGTAAGTACAACCCATCCACCAGGGTACTGAGAGAGCCACATGCTGCTCTTTATATACCATACCCAACAACTTAATTAACACAACTTAACAACACCTGCTATTCTGCTTTACAGCTGTAAAACTAGGTCGTGTTATTTGCTCTGGCCTTTAAAGAAATACACATCTTGTGAAACAATAATGAACCTTATATTTAAAGAAACCATTCAACAGGGAGAAGCGGGGATGGGCGGGAGAGCGGGCTTTAGCATGTTTGTGTTTTGCAGGGTTTTTGGAAATGAGGCCCCTGTACTTATGTGCCTGCCCCCTCATGTTTTTATAACATTTCTGACTAGCAACTGTTGGAAAGCTGTTGTTTGGTTGCTCGGATCCTGCCTGGCCACTGTGAGAACACGATGCGGAGCTCGAGGAGCCACTCAGAACAGAACATGAGCCAAGGGCTCTTCTGGGCCTGATCCCGCAGGTGGTTCTTATGTTCTTGCAATTCATGGAGGCAGCAATGCTTCTGGATCCCAGATGCTGGGAAGCGCAGGTGAAGAGCTCGGATCCTGCTCCGGGTTTTCGCATAAGAGGCATCAGGTGGGGCCCTTCTGCCTCCAGGTCTCTCCCCTAGTTTTAGGGGACGAGGCAGGCACTCCTTTCCCGGAGCAAGTCCGAGCTTCGCTCCAGAAATTCCTCGGTTGCGCAACCTTGCGCTTCCGGGGAGGCTACAAAGTCTGTTTTCTCCTCCCGCTGATGCGCTTCCCTTGCTGCGCTCAGTGCGCAACGGCTGCCATCCCGAAAGCAGCACCGGCCCCGTCTGCGCGCATCCAGCTGGAAAGACCGTCGGACAGAGAGGTGCTGGGGACTCGACAGGGGGGGGGGCGCTTTGCTGGAAGTTGGCCCCTTTGTTTGATATGGGGGGGGGGCATTTATTTTTATTTTTTAAAAGTTGCGCAGGGGTCTCACTCCCGTTATTTGGGGAGCGCGGCTTATTTATCCCCCCCCCTCTCTTCAAGGCACCGGGCGGAGAAGGCGGCTCCCCTCCATCTCCCTAGCTCTGTGCCTGACCAAGGGGGGGGGGTTGGGGGGGGTTCCGGGGCTGCTGCAAACGGCTTCGAAACCACCTCGCTGCAGGAAGTAAAAACTTCCTTGAGTCAAAGGGGTTTTCCAGGATCTGGACTCTGCCCTTCCTCCGCTAGCGCGCTCTGGACAGGGGCCAGGTCTTCGCCCGGGGAGCGAAGAGGAATCGAAGCCGGGCAGCCGAAGAGAGGCGCATCCGGCCCCCATTTAAGCCCCAAGGGAGCAGTCTGCGGGAGGGGGGGTCTGCCCATGGGTGTAGCCGGGGGGGGCAGCTGCCCCCCATCAAGTAAATCCATAAAAATACTGTACTGTACTTAGCTAACTGAGGTTCTGCACCCCCTAACATAAAGCCTGCCCTCCAGCATAAATCGTGGCTACGTTCATGGGTCTGCCCCCCAACATTTGAAGCTGAGCGCCGCTTCCTTCACACCTCCATCACCTTTGCGCTGCAAAATTCTCCTTGCTTATCGCCCCCACCCCAACTACTTATTCCCCCCTCCTCCTCCTTCATGAATTTGCCCAATCCTCTTTCAAGCCATCCAGGTTGGTGGCCATCTCTGCCTCCTGTGGCAGGGAGTTCCACAGTTCCATTGCACAGGAGGACTCTATTTGATTTGCCCTGAATCTTCCCACACTTGGCTTCCTGGGATGTCCTCACTGAGTCCCAGTGTTAGGAGAGGGAGGGAGACCCCTCTCTCTCCTCTTTCAGGCTCCCTCCAGGCAGACCCTGCCCTCTTCTCCTCCCTGACCCCCCCCCCAATTGTCTCTCTTCTCCCCCCCTCCAGGTGCATCTTGTGCTTCCCAAGGAGGCGTCATGGCCAGCAGCAGCAGCATCGTGAATGTGTCCGGGGCGGAGGGCGCAGAGAAGACGGTGATCCACGTCAACATCACCCAGGAGTCCTCCCTCGGGTCCCTCCTCAAGGCCCTAGCAGCCTGGAGGCAGACCCCCAAGCCTCGCCCCAAGCCTCACCCCCAGGGCCCCTCTGCCCCTCCGAAAAAGGCTGGGTGCAATGCGGAGCAGAAAGTGCTGGGGGTAAGGGCCAGCTGTGGGGTGGGTGGGGGGAAGGAGGGGAGGGGCCCCAGGCTGTGAGGATGAGCAGGAAAGAGAGAAGGGTCTCTCAAGGGCCACATAGTCCACACCCCCACCCCCACCCCGTGATGCAGGAAGGGGGCAGCTGAGCCTGAAGTGAAGGTGGGAAGTCTGCAAGTGGAGATCAGCAAAATCCCTCTCTTGCAGGAAGTTGCTGCCCTGAGGCCAGAAGGGAGGCAGCTCTGGGGCTTGGGAAGCATTTTCAGAGCTGGAGGGAGTGGGACACATGCACACTGCTGGAGAAGATGATAATAATAATAATAATAATAATAATAATAATAATAATAATAAATAATAAATAATTTTTAAAAAATTATTTATACGCTGCCCTCCCCGGTCAGAGCCGGGCTCAGGGCGACTAACACCAATAAAATAAAATCACAGTAAAACATAATAGGGGGGAAAGAGAGGGAGAAAAAAACCAAACCAATTTAAAATATAGGTTAAAATGCAATTTAAAATGCAGCCTCATTTTACAATAGCTGATAAATCAAGACCATAAGGGGAGGGAAACATAAGGGTCAGAATGAGTCCAAACCAAAGGCCAGGCGGAACAGCTCTGTCTTGCAGGCCCTGAGGAAAGATGTCAAGTCCTGCAGGGCCCTAGTCCCTTGAGTGCCTGAGTGCTGGCTGCATGGAACTCTGTGCATGCCCAGAGACAGCCCCTCCTGGCGTGGCAGCTCTGAGAGGGACTTGAGTTGCTCTGTGGGGGTTGACTTGTGGGGCGGAGCATGTGCTGGACCCTGTCCCTCATTTGTCAGCCAGTCTCGTTTCTCTTGCTTTGCAGGGGACACAGATCCTGCTTGGACTGCTCACCATCGCCATTGGGTGTGTCCTGAGCCTTGGACAAGGGTCTGACTATTATAGCTATTGGATATTCCGACCACTCTGGAATGGAGCTCCTTTCTGGTCGGGGGGCGTGGTGAGTCCTGTGGGACTGAGAGGAGGTGCCGCTCCTCTGGAAGGGTGGGGCGGAGGTCCCCTTGGAGGCATCTGTTGGCCCTAAAAGAGCCTGCCTGGAGAAAAGGCGAGGGAGAGACAGGACTTTGTCAAATGATGCACAGCCCGGAGAAAGGGAACAGAGGAAGCTTTTCTCCCTCCTAATGCGAGAAGTGGAGGCTGAATGTTGGAAGATTCAGGACAGATCGAAGAAAGTCTTTCTCCACACAGCAAGTGAAGTTAAACTATGCCACTTACTCAGTAGGCAGCGATGGGCCCCATCTTGGACGGCTTTCAGTGGTGATGGACACATCCATTGAGGAGGAGAGGACTATGGATGACGATGAGCTGAGATGGCTCTGCTCTGCCTCCACCGTTCTGAAGACCAATCCTCTTTTATGGCCATCCCAGTTGGTGGCCGTCGCTGCCTCCAGTGGCAGGGAGTTCCATCATTGAACTCTGCTCTGCCTGAAGGATTTTTTTTTATCTGTCCTGAATCTTCCAAGCTTCCTTGGAGGGCCAGGAGTTCTGGTGCCACAAGAGAGGGGACAAGTCCTTTTCTCTGTCCTCTTCCTCCACGCCATCATAAATGTTCATAAACGTCTACCACGTCACTTTTCTCTAATCTTAAAAGCCCCCAATGCTGCTGCCTTTCCTCACTGGGGAGTCACTCCACCTGCCTGGAAGTTTGGGCTGCCTTTACCTGAGCAGCCCAGGCAACAGGTCCAGCCCACTTCTCCCGGGCTCAGGTGAGAGGCCAGGTGTTGTGTTTGCGGCCATGGGGGTGTGTGGGGGTGTCATTCTGGGCTGCGGAGCCATTGCAGGTGAAGGAGCACACCTGGCGTTGGACAGAGAGCAACCTCAAGGCCTCAGAATGGCGGTCACTGGGGAAGGTGGGCAGGAGAGGAGGGGATGCCTGATTCTTCCCAGTTCCTCATTGGCAAGAAAGGGCAGGAAGCAGATGGTTTGGGCCGATGGAAATATCGCAGAATCCTAGAGATATCATCATCATCATTATTATTATTTATTATATATTGATTTATATCCCCACCTGTCGGGACTCAAGGCGGCTCACAGCTGAAAATGAGAATGGCTAAAAACAGAGAAAAAGCAATGACTAGAAAACAATCAAACTTTGATAGAATAAAACTGTATACATATATGAAATCTATTTAAGCCAATAAGGACCCTGGGGGTCATCTCTGTGGACCCCTGACCTTGGTGTTTCTCCCCAGCTCTTCGTGGCCGGTGTCCTCTCCATTGTGGGCGACAGACGTGGCGGCCGCTGGGTAAGTGAGTGGGGTGGGGGCTGCTCTTCCATTGCAGGCAGGGGAGGGGGCTGCTGGGCCTGGGGCTGCTGCCCCCTTCCTCACGGCTGGGCCTCACTCTCCCTTCCCAGGTCCACCTGGCCACCTTTTCCCACCTGGCCAGCGTTGTCGCCTGCTCCGTGGCCCTGGCAGTCGGTGAGGCAGACTTGCCCAGCCTCAAGTACGATTCCTACTACTCTGAGGAATTGTGCAGGAACACCCAGTACAGGGACCGCTATGACCAGCCATGGGAGCCAACCGCCCTCATCCCTGCGGACAATGGCAGGGTCCAGCGGTGTGAGGAGATGATCCAGAATCTCTGGGTGAGTTGTCTGGCTCATGGTGAGGGGTAGACAGTGTGGCTTAGTGGTCAGAGTGCCACACTGGGACCTGCGAGAGAGCAGGGTTCAAGTCTTCCCTCTCGCTGCCGTGACCTGGGGCCAGTCGCTGCCTTCCCTCTGCCTCTCCTCCCTTCCTCGCAGGGCTGTTGGGGGGACTGAATGGGGAGGGGGAGAAGAAGAGGAGGTGGGATAAAAAGGCAGTGAGTCTGTGCATCCAAGTAGCCGTGAGGAGCATGGACACTGAAGTGAGGAGGGGAGAATCTACTGGATTCCTGGCATGATGGATCTCCTGTTTCCAGACCTTGGTTGCAATCCATGCAATGGGTGAGCTGCTCCCTGGGGGTGGGGGTGGCGTCACCCCTCTAGACCCCAAGGGAGCAGTTGCTGTTGTGGGGAGGGGGGAATGTTGCCATGCTTCATCCTCACTCGTCTCTCTGCTTCCTCACACCCATCCAGAAAATTGCTGCTGGACTCAGGATCCTGCTGTTAGTCCTTTGCATTGGGGCTCTGCTGATCGCCGTCTTCTGCCTGGGCAACGGCCTCCGCCGGCTCTGTTGCTCCTTCCTGGTACTTGCACTGGGGGGGGGGGCAGTGGGTGGGAGAGAGGAGTGCTGGGCCCAAACAGACAGGACCTGATCCGTGACGCTCTTGGTGCTCGATTGTGGGGAGAGGTCCAAAGTACTGTAGAAGTATTGGTAGACTCTCCTTCCTGGGAGGTTAATAATAATAATAATAATAATAAATTTATTTGTACCCCGCCCATCTAGCTGGGTCTCCCCAGCCACCCTGGGTGGCGTCCAACAAATTATTAAAATACAGTGGTCTGTTAGACATTAAAAGTTTTCCTAAACAGGGCTGCCTTCAGATGTCTTCTAAAAGTCTGGTAGTTGTTCTTCTCTTTGACATCTGGTGGGAGGGTGTTCCACAAGGCGGGAGCCACCACTGAGAAGGCCGTCTGCCTGGTTCCCTGTAACTTGGCTTCTCGCAGGGAGGGAACCGTGAGAAGGCCCTCGGAGCTGGACCTCAGTGTCTGGGCAGAACGATGGGGTGGAGATGCTCCTTCAGCAGAGGGTGGGGGCCCCCTGCCAGGGATCCTTCAGCTGTGATCCCTGCATTGCAGGGGGGGGGATGACTGGATGGCCCACAGGGCCCCTTCCAACTCAGCCCTGCCCCCCAAATTGTTTAGGGCCCTCAAAACCTGTGCCTGGCTGTGGGCAGGTGGGGGCGCTCCCTGCCCTCCATCCCAGCCCCCAGCCGCTGTGCTCTGCTTGGCACCAGCTGCAGCTTCTGGGCAGCTTTGGGGTATCAGGAACTGCAGGAGCCCGACTGGGATGTGTCCAGCGCATGGCCTGGCCCTTCTGCCATGGCTGACCTACAGCTGACCAGGGTCTTAAAAGGTCCCCGCTCATCTCACTTTCTCTGCATGTAGATACTTGTGAGAAGGCACCTTGGCAAACGCTTTCAACTTGTTTAGCAGAGCTGCTGGGAAGCAGCGAAACGGCAACCTGAGTTAGTTTAGAGATGAAAACACTCAGTGTCAGTCTTTTCCTCAAACTGCCCTTTCTCCCACCTTCCAGGGTCGCTGTGAGAACTACAGCCCCCTTGAGGACCCTGAAGTGCCCCCTCCGTATGAGGAGCCGGCCAAGGAGGAGAACGCCGCCTGATGCCCGCCTCTTGCCCTTTTCTCTTGCGCCCTTGCTTGCCTGGGTGGGGGGACCTTGTCCTGGCGAGCGAGCGGGCGGGGTGCCCTTCTCACCTGGAGCCCCCAGCTGGTTCCAGGACTTAGCTGCTGAAACTCTGGCTGTCTAGCAGCTGCCCTTTCTTGCCCTTTCTTTCTCTCTGCATATCTGCTCATTCCAGCCTCTTCCGCAGTTGGGGCTAGAAGTCACCTGCTAGAAAAACACAAAGCAGGGGGAAGCCCCCCCCCCCCCCAGTCAAGGGGAGGGGCAGGCGGGCAGAGTCCTCTTCTGCCATTTCCAGCAGAAATCCAGAGCCATACATGCCTTCCCTCCATCCTGGCTGCAGTTGGGCTCTGAGCTGCCACTTCTGACCTTGCCTGGAAAGGGCTTCCCCGCCTGGTCCTTTGCCACTGCTTGATATTGTTCAAACTTCTTCTTCCACAAGCCCCTGGTTTCCAGGGGGTGACAGATGCTGCCTCTCTGCCTGCCGCTTGATTTGTAAGCAATATATTCTCTAATAAAAAGATTTATCTCTTCTCCTGGGAGTTTTGCTCATTTGCTTCCAGTCCCTTTTCCAGGAATGCCTGGCCCAGAGGTGGCTCTTTTCGCAGCTGCTGGCTCTGCCATAAGAACCCGAGAAGAGCCTCCTGAATCAGGGGGCCCACCTAGTCCAGCAGGGGCCACACGGGGGCCCATTGTGGGAAAGGCGCAAGCAGGACACGAGCAAAACAGCAGTACATCATCTGTGGCGCTTGCTGCCACTGCAATGGCTTTCAAAGAGGATTGGACAAATTCCTGACAGAGGTGAAGGCAGTCTAGGGCTGGATGCCTTGGAGTGCCACCTCTGTGTCCATTCTTACATGCAACGTGGCGCCCGTGCCAAGGGGCACATCCTTTGGCCTTCCTCCTGGGTGGGGCAGGTCTTTCTGCCTGCCTGGATGGGGCTCCGGGTTCTCTTTCCTCCTCTGGCCCAGAAGGATCAGGAGAAAGAGGAAGCTCCTGGCTGGCCGGTGTTCTCTGTGTGTGCTCAGAGGCACATACTTTGTGGAGAACTGAGGAGAAGAAGAAGAAGAAGAAGAGTTTGGATTTGATATCCCGCCTTTCACTCCCCTTCAGGAGTCTCAAAGCGGCTAACATTCTCCTTTCCCTTCCTCCCCTACAACAAACACTCTGTGAGGTGAGTGGGGCTGAGAGACTTCAAAGAAGTGTGACTGGCCCAAGGTCACCCAGAGGCTGCAGGTGGAGGAGCGGAGATGCAAACCTGGTTCCCCAGATTACGAGACTACGGCTCTTAACCACTACACCACACTGGCTCTCTTGCCTTGCATGGGGAGGATTGGCTGAGGGGCTGAGGAGCCCCCCCCCCCAGACAGGGGCAGTCCACATCAGGGACTGCCTGGCAGGACTTGGAGTGGGGATGAAGCCCCCCAACAACCGCCTGGCTGCTGCTGCCTCCTTCCCAGGGCTTTCTGGACTCCTAAATTGTTATGTTGTTACAAAAGCAGTGTGCCTGCCCCTCTCTGCTGAGTGGTGGCAAGAGCCCATGGGGTCCCAGGCACACACGCAGGGTCTGTGTCCCTTTGGAGAATGGAAGACACGGTTTATTCACCTATCTACGCCTTCAGTCCATGATGGATCTCAGCTCTCCCACCTCCTCCTCCTTCCCAGAACACGCCCCCCCTCTCCCAGAGCAGTTACCCTGGCAGCCTTCCAAATCCCTGGTCTTTGTCTACCCCTCAAGGCAAGAGGGAAGGAGTTCTCTTGTACAGTGGTACCACGGGTTAAGAACTTAATTTGTTCTGGAGGTCCATTCTTAACCCGAAACGGTTCTTAACCTGAAGCACCACTTTAGCTAATGGGGCCTCCCGCTGCTGCTGCGCCGCCACTGTGCGAATTCTGTTCTCATCCTGAAGTAAAGTTCTTAACCCAAGGTACTATTTCTGGGTTAGCAGAGTCTGTAACTTGAAGCCTCTGTAACCCGAGGTACAGTACCACTGTTAATGGTCTGCTGTTCTTCGCTCCATAGCCATAGCTCAGCCAGGTTGGTTTGCATAAGCCAGCCCAGGAATTCCCTGTTTGGCACAGCTCTGCACGTTATGTTTTATCCACATCCCCATAGTCAACATCCTAGCATTTATTCACCCCCACCGGATCTATAACAATATTACCGTAAAGGCATCTCTTCAAGCTCCAAGAATCTCAAAGTGGCACACACAGATTCTCAAAGTGACCTCTTACATTGGAGGTTTTTAAGCTTCAGTTGGCTGTCCGTCTTCCAGGGATGCTTTAGCTGAGATTTCTGCATTTGCCGGGGATTGTACTGGATGGCTTTTCTGGCCAAGGGAAGGGATAGCTCAGAACCAGCCAAGAAATAAAAACAAAACTTGCTCTGAAGGGAGAAAACACTAAACAACCACCACAAGCAACACATTGGCTAATATGACATACTGTACGTATATTGTTTCAAAATTCATAAACAGAAAGCAAAATATATGCATGGAGTCACAAATTAATGCGAATCGTATAAATGTTCCATAAACAGAAATGGTAGAAGTGGTAAGTAACTTAAATGAGCACTATAATGAAGGCCACTGTCCATATCCTCCCCAAGTGAGATGATGGATGCTCTGAACGTCGCTAGGCTGTTCCACGCACAGCAGCAGACAGGACAGAGCAGTTCTTCCCGGATACTTCTGTTTATGAATTTTAAAACAATAGATGTTATTTTATTAGCCGACGTGCTGCTTGTGCTTGTCGTTTAGTGTTCTGTTTTGCAGGGATTTTCTGAAGGGAGAAAACGCAGAGGGGGGGCGGAGAGGGGGGTGATCTGGGTGCGCCCGGCTTTGCACGGGTTAAAAGGAACGGAGCGGGATTCCTAGAGAGAGCAGGAAAGCAAGGTGGGGGTGGGGCCAGGTCCCTCCCTCCCTCCCGAGTCACTTCCTGCAAGCGGCGGGCGGGGGGCCTCCTCGGAGAGCTGGTGAGTCGCCTTCTCCCCCCCCCCCCGGGTGCATTGGGGGAGGGGGTCCCAGGGCTGCGGGGGAGGTGCATGGGGGGCTGTTCGGCTCATGCATGCTGGGGACCCCCAAGTTTGGCAGCAGAGGGGCCTTCCCCTTCCTCTCTGCAAAGCCAGGGAGGGGGCACTTTGCAGGAGGTCTGCAACTATGTTCCTCCTTTGTATCAATGCGCTGCTCGCGGGCACGAAGGTAAACCCGAACCCGTTTCAGATTTATAAACCAGTCACGTTTGTCAATAGAGGTTGCAGCCAGACGGAAACATTCAGATGTCAAATGCACCCAAACAATAAACACAACCTAACCTGTGCAGAAAATGACTAAGGAATGCATGGATGAGGAAGGCGATGGGGGCATAGCTGTCAACTTTTCCCTTTTCTTGCGAGGAATCCTATTCGGAATAAGGGAATTTTCCTTAAAAAAAGGGAAACGTTGACAGCTATGCATGGGGGGCTCCTAGCCAGGATGGCCAGTCGGAGACAGGGATGCTTTTGAATCCCAGTTGCTGGAAAAGCCGCAGGCAGGGAGAGAGATGCTCTTGGGCTCGGATCCGCCTGGTGGGCTTCCCAGAAGAGGCCCCTGTGAGAACAGATGAGGGGACTCAATGGAGCCCCCTTGGCCTGATCCTGCAGGTCTCATCTTCTGTTCTGATGTTCCTCCAGATGCAAGCGAAATCTCTGTTGCTTCTGCGCCCCCAACCCCTCCATCAGACAGGAGTGTTATCCAGACTCTTGGGTGACACACGTGTGCCTGTTCAGACATGCAACCTCTCAGGTGTCCAGACACCTCACTCTGAGGGGGTGGCTCCTAGCAACTCCCAGCATCCTTAAGAAACTACAGTTCCCGGGATTCTTTGGAGGAAGCCGGGACTCTTCAAAGTGGTCTGATCCTGCTTTGCAGATGCAGCGCAGATGAGGGGTGTGTGTGTGTGTTGCCTTTTTCTTTTCTTTTTGGAAGAACTTTTAATTGAGTTTTATAAACAAGGTTTGTAGAAGGAATAAAGGACACAAATAAATAGGCCAAGTCTTCTCATGTCATTTGTATATCACAAAAATAGCGTAATAGATTTGCACGGAAATCTGCAACATTATTAGTGGTCAATGGATGAGTTGTAGGTTTGTGAATTGGTTTAAACGGAAACAAAGGGGAAACGGAGTTAACAGATAACAGTCAACGGCCAAACACCTAGTCAAGAGCCAATGTGCTTTGGTTAAATGTGCTTTGGTTAAATGTGAGTAATAGTCATTTTTCTTCTTATGTTACCAAAGAAACCATATAAAGAGGAGGTATGGTAGACATTGTCAAATATCTGAAAGGCTGTCACATGGAAGATGGAGCAAGCTTGTTTTCTCCTGCTCCAGAGGGCAGGACTCGAATGAATGGCTTCAAGTTAAAAGAAAGGAGATTCCAAACTAAACATCAGGAATTATCTTCTGGTGGAAAGAGCTGTTTGTCAGTGGAGTGGTCTCCCTTGGGAGGTGGTGGACTCTCCTTCTTGGAGGTTTCTAAGCAGAGGTTGCCTGGCCATCGGTCATGGATGCTTTAGCTGAGATTCCTGCATTGCAGGAGGTTGGACTGGATGACCCTCAGGGTCCCTTCCAACTCTACAAATCTATGATAAAGTGTTAGTCTATTGATGAACGTGGGAGGGAGGTTCAAAGCAAAGGTAATACTTTATGTTTCAATTTAAATTCAGATCAACCAGATTGAGCCAAATTCTCAAAAGTTTGCAAATTTGAACAAGCTCCAAGCCTGTTTCTTGATTCTCTCCACGTACCTTGAGGCTATTTTCCCACATGCTTGAAGCTTTAGGCTTTGTACTGGATGTTGTTTTGCCTATTTTTTGTCCTGCTGCTGCATTTCTATGATTCTAGTAGACTTTATCTTTTTTCCACGCTGGAGGCTTTATTAGTGTAGTAGTTTGTTATTATTATTGCTATTGTTACCACTGTTCCATTTGTTACCCAGAGCAGCTTACAACCATTTAAAAATATTTTTAAAAGTCAAAACAAATAACAATCACAGGAATAGGCTGGGTCCTGAAAACACACGTCTCCGTTGTCAGAGGCATTGGGAAAGAGGGAAAGGTGCCTGGGGTGCCTCTGTGGGGAGGGAATCCCCCAAGGGGGGGTCTGCCCCCAGGGTGCCCTCTCTTGGGACACCCCCACCCAAGACTCTCAAGGGGGTGAAGCTACCAAGAGGGCCCCCCTTGCCAAATTTCACAGCCAAGAGGGTCTGTGGGGAAGAAGGTGGTTCTTCACATATCTGGGGGCCAAAGTGAAGTCCTCCTGTGAGCACTTTGAATTGGACCTGGAAATGAAGGGACCACCAATGCAGCTGTTTTGAAACAGGAATTAAATGTGTTCTCAAGGGTTGTAATTGGGGGTGGGCTTCAATGAGGAGGGGAGGACCCTTGGATGCTCCTTGGAGAAAAAGGGGGGAAGGAAATGCCCTTCATAAAGAAAGGGAACCCAGCCAACAATCCGGCTTCTGCAATTTGGAGCGGATTCTGAACTGTGCTGGGCCCCAGGGGTAGCCCAAGTAATACGGTCCAGGTCCGTTCCTGAATCCAAGGAATCCGTGAGGAGTCAGTCCGACAGGGCCAAGGCAGGACACGAGGCAGGAAACCAGACGAGGTCAGGCGCAGGATCTGGCATACAGCAACATTGCTCCCGCAACCTGGGGCGGGGTCCGACAGCCTTTTATCTCTGTCGGGGTAACGGCCGGTCCTGATCCCCTGGCGACTCACCTCCCTGTTTCACCCGAAGGTGAGCACTCCTCCTGCGAGTACTCAGGTCTCTCCTTCTCTCAGACCTCAGTCTCTGCAGCTCAGGAGACATCGGAGTGTTACTAGACCCAGAGGCCGCCTCAGCCTCCCTTGACCCAACCGGTAGTGGAGCAGCTGTAAGTGATGGCCCAGCTGGAGGCAATGAGGTAATCCCTGCATCTAGAGCCAGGGCAGGATCAGGCCCCTAACTCGGCCCAGCTGGTGCTTGTTGCAGGGGAACCTGTGCAGACTGGGGCTCTTCAGAATCAGGCCCCAGACTAGGTTCAGATGCCGCCTGTGGCAAAGGATTTGGTGTGGACTGAGACTCCTCTGGCTCCGAGTCCGAGCCCAAGTCCCAGGCCATCATATGAACCATCCTCAAGAGCAGTTCCACATAGAGGGCATTGCGATGATCCTATCTGATCCACAGCAGAGAGTACCCTGGCCATGTCATCTCTGCTCCAAGGGGACAGTGGTTGGCAAACTAGCCAGACCTGGAAAGGAACACTCAGTGACCATTCTGGATCCAGGAAAAGCCCCAAACATATATGGCTGCACGTGGGTTAAGCTATGCAACATTATTATTAGTAGTATTATTAACCTGCTGTTTATCCTAAGTACCCTGGGCAGACAACCACGTTAAAGCACAATAGCAAAAACAGTTTAAAACTTACAACCACAGAAAGGAGAGACCTTCTTTACTTGCTCTCTAGCGCTGCCCTTTGGCCTCACCTACTTGGCCCTCATGGGGTGGGTTGGATAAGGAGAAAGAAAAAGAGACGCCGCCGAAGTCGTCTGTCTTGAGAACTTTGCAGAAGCCAAGGGCTAGAAAATCAGGAAGAAGCGGCAAAGAAATGGGCCCTGAATTGGGGGAGGGAGCAACCCTGGAGAACCCCAGGGCTAGGAAACCCACATTTTAGGAGGGCTAGAGTCTTTTCTTCTTTTTTGTGTTGAAGAAATCTCAGAATCTGTGATGTGGTGGAGTCCAGGCCTGGTTCCTAGTGGGACTCATCCACGCTTGTTCAGAGAACATTTCCCTCTCCTGACAGTGTATTTGCTTTGTAGGATTTGCAGAGCCAGCAGTTCAGGCAGTTCTGCTACCAGGAGGCCAAAGGACCCCAAGAGATTTGCAGCAGGACTCCACCACCTTGACCATCAGTGGCTGAAGCCAGAAAGGCACACGAAAGCCCAGACGCGGCACCTGGTGATCTTGAAGCAGTTCCTGACTGTCCTTCCGCCAGAGATGGAGAGCTGGGTGAGGGAATGTGGAGCGGAGACCAGTTCCCAGGCAGTGGCCCTGGCCGAAGGATTCCTCCTGAGTCAGGCAGAGGAGAGGAAGCAGGCAGAGCAGCAGGTGAGAGAGACTGTCCTCTGGAGACTTCCAAGGGGCTCTGAATGGTATGAGAGATGCATCATTTTTTTGTGTCTGCCACCCTTTTTCTAATCCTGCTCTCTATTCTCTTTTTGGAATCTTGGTTGCTCTTTCAGGGAAAGGATCCATTTGCAGAAATGGGCCCTGATTCCTCTGAGGCAGAGAGGGCTGCACTGGACACCAGAGAGAGGCCACTGGGTAAGGAGGAAGGAGTTTCTTCTCTACTTAGCCCACATTCTTTGGGTTTTGAAACGAATCTCTAAGTCCTTTTAATCTTTTTGGAGAACACGCTTGATGGCCTGTGAGGGACAATGGAGCCAGAGCGGAGTGTGGGGCTGCAGTGCCTCTGAGGCTCCAGCAGAGGGCGGGAGCCTCTCTGTCTCTGATTGGCTGCCAGCCCTTTTGGAGGGAAATCCAAGGAGCCCTTTCTGAGGGAGAGAGTTGGGCAGGGCCTGATCAGAGAGGGGAAGTGAGGATTATAAAACAATAATAGTAATTGCTATTATTCAGAGAGGCTCTGTCTGGGGGAGAACTGGCTCTGATCTGAGAGGAGAAGGAGCCTCGCAGCAGCTTAGACAGGAAGACGACCCAGTGGAGGGTCTGGGGAGAATATGGAGGCAGGAATTAATCTGGCAGGAGAGGCAGGAGAGGGAGAAGCTGTGAGAAGATGGACTAAACCAGGGTCTCCTTCCAGTCAGGAGGGGAGAGATCTGCTAGGAAAAGGAGACCCCCAAACCAAGAACAAGGGCTGAGAGGATCCCCTGTGTCTGTGGGAAATCCCTCAGGAGTGGGATGGCTAAGAGAGGCGGACGAACGAAAAATGCCCCTCGCTCAGGAACCAAAGTATTAGGCTGAGAAGGAAGGTGTGTTGTATTAAAAGTCATAAATAAGTAAAGAAATGAGAGAGAAGAAACAGAAACCGAGTTAAGCCTTTTACCTCCTATGGTAGAAACCTGAACATTTAACTGAAGTGCAGCAAGTGAGCTTTTAGCAACTGAAGTTTAAGAAAAGCTGTGCATATACTTCATTGATATCTTTATATTTAGTTTAAGTAATAACTTTTATTTGAAAGGACATATCTCCTGACCCGAATTTCCCCCCACAAACCTCTTCTTTTTGTTCAGCTCCTTCCTAAGACTCTAAATCATTTATGTTTCCCCTCATACAAGATACTCACAAGGTAACCTGTGGGAAATTGCAGAAATTCGTGTAATTTGCATACCATGAGGTGGGTCTGGTATATTTAATGGGGGGCAGTTAGTGGAGTGAATCCACTCCTTTATTAGTTGATGGTCACTGGTGGGATCCAAGAGCCCAAAGCAGGGTGCATCAATTTTCACATAACTAAAATATGAAATGGCTCCCAATGTCCAAATGCCCTCGGCACGTGAGGCTTTTTCTGTGGCCCATCTCTCGTTCGCCATGCACAGCTCCACCTCTGACTTCTCATTCACCTTTCTGTCTCACAGATGGCGGAGGAATTCTGGCAAGACCGCCTCATCCATCTTTTCTTGGTGGCGGAGGAGAAGTCGCGGCTGTGGAACCAGATGAGGTGTGGAGAAGGAGCATTGGGGGGCGGGGAAAGAGGCTGAGAGACGGGGCAGCCAGATTGCCTCTGGGCCTGAATGAATCTCCTTCTCTTGGCTTCTGCCCTTAAAGGCTTAAAATGCCATTCCAGATGGCTTATGTGCTGAGAATAAGGAACAGCCACCTCATCTTAACTAGCCTTCTAAATGTCACTAGTATTATTTGTCACTAGCTACAATTTTATTTCTATATTTGTTGAATGCTAAAATAGGCTTCTGAGCAGCTGACAACACGGAAAAAACAGTGGCCAGGATTCATCTAACCATCTCCCTTAGTTTCACATCAGAGATTTCCCTTCCCCATGCCCCTGTGCACCCCTTGACTTTGGGGCATCAGGACAGTTTGCTCACCCCCACCCTTGCACAGGGAGAGAATACTTGATTTGAATAACACAATGTGGAGTTCCCATTTACAACAACATTAACACACTTCATTCAAATACACAGTAAAAGAACTCCATTAAGATGTTAAAATAAGCATCCATGCTTAAAATGTGCAGCAAAACAACCCCATTAAGGCAATGCAGCAGTTACCAGGCAGAAAACATCAGAGCAATGTGTAGTAGATGATGTTTATGCTGTTTAAGAGGGCGACATTTCCCTTTTTCTTGTAGGGTTCTGTTTGCTTTGAAGATGTAGCTGTTCGTTTCACAGACGAGGAGTGGGCATTGCTAAATCCTGACCAGAGAGCTCTGCATAAGGAAGTCATGGAAGAGAATTGTGGGATCTTGGCCTCTCTAAGTAAGTCTCTGTGTTGGATCATGATATCTGATTTGAAATTCAGTACGTATCTCCTTGTGAGACAGCTGCAAGATTTTGATGTAGCTCAACAGCACCACCTACAGCACCTGGGGTTCTAATAGCACCACAGCTCACCTGGAATGGAGGACTATCAACTGTTTGGCTGTGTATAGTCTTCCTCCATTTATGTCTTTTTAAGCAATGATCAGGCTGGTCTGAACTAACCTGGCCTTTTTAAATGTAGGATTCAGAGTAGTGAGGGAAGTTAACATAGCTTCAGTCAGGTTTTACTAAAAAGTGATAGAAAAAAAATAAACAAAGAGAAGACTGACAGTGGAGACGTAGCAGATTCCGTGAATGGACCAAACAAAACCCATCTAGGAGAAGATCTAGGCTTTTCAAATTTCAGATTCCCGTTATCTAGGGCTCCATTTCTTCCTGAGGTTCTAATCCATTTTTCCCCCTTGCAGGTGACGATAAATGGGAAATTGAGAACCAGGGAGAATATGACAAAATACACACAGTGGATAAACCATATAACTATTTGGAGCGTGAAGAAATCTTCAGTCACAGCTCCCATTATACTTCTCATCAAAGAAATCCCATTGAAAAGAAACTCTATCCATGTTTGGAATGCGGAAAGAGCTTCAGTAAAAGGGCCCACCTCACAGCCCATCAAAGAACTCACACTGGAGAGAAACCTTATCAGTGCTTAAAATGTGGAAGGAGCTTCAGTCGGAACTACCACCTCACAGCCCATCAAAGAACCCACAGTGGGGAGAAACCATATCAGTGCTTGGAATGTGGAAAGAGCTTCGCTCAGAAGTTAAGTCTTACAACCCATCAAAGAATTCATACTGGGGAAAAGCCATATAAGTGCTTGGAATGTGGAAAGAGCTACATTCAGAAGTTCAGTCTCACTTCCCATCAAAGAACTCATACTGGGGAGAATCCATATCAATGCCTTGAATGTGGGAAGAGCTTTCATACAAGCACAAATTTCCGTCGACATCAGAGTATTCACCGTGGGGAGAAACCATATCAATGCTTGGAATGTGGCAAAAGCTTTATTCGGAAATCTCATCTTACTATCCATCAAAGAATTCACAGCGGTGAGGAACCATATCAGTGTTTGGAATGTGGAAAGAGCTTCACCTGGAAGGAAAGTCTCACTTCGCATCAAAGAATTCATACAGGGGAGAATCCATATCAGTGCTTGGAATGCGGAAAGAGCTTCTGTAAGAGGGCCAATCTTACAGTCCATCAAAGAATTCATACAGGTGAGAAACCCTATCAGTGCTTGGAATGTGGAAAGGGCTTCACCCAGAAGGAAAGTTTTAATTTCCATCAAAGAATTCATACAGGGGAAAAACCCTATCAGTGCTTGGAATGTGGAAAGAGCTTTGGTACAAGCGCTTACTTTGTTCAACATCAAAGTATTCACTGTGGTGATAAACGGTATCAGTGTTTGGAATGTGGAAAGAGATTCACTTGGAAGGAAAGTCTCACTTCCCATCAAAGAATTCATACAGGGGAGAAACCATATCAGTGTTTGGTATGTGGAAAGAGCTTCAGTAAGAAGGCCAATCTTACTTCCCATCAAAGAATTCATACAGGGGACAAACCTTACCAGTGCTTAGCATGTGGAAAGAGCTTCAATCAGAGAACCCATCTGACAGCCCATCAAAGAATTCATACAGGGGAGAAACCCTATGAGTGCTCAGAATGTGGAAAAAGCTTCAGTCGGAAGGAAAGTCTCACTTCACATGAAAGATTTCACAGAGGGGAGGAACCATTTAAATGTTTGCAATGTGGAAAGAGCTTCAGCCGGAATGCTCATCTCACTTCACATGAAAGAATTCACAGCGGAGAAAAACCTTTTCAGTGCTTAGAATGTGGGAAGAGCTTCAGTCGGAAAGAAGGTCTCACTTCCCATCAAAGAATTCATACAGGGGAGAAACCATATCAGTGCTTGGAATGTGGAAAGAGCTTTAGTCAGAGGTCCCATCTCACAGCCCATCAAAGAACTCACAACGGAGAGACTCATGGAATCATATTATTGTAGAATTGAAAGGCACCTTGGGCGTCATGCAGTCTAACCCTCCTTAGTTGAGGAAACTCAACTAAAGCATCCATTGCAGGTGGCTATCTGCTTAAAACCTCCAAGGAAGGAGAGCCCCCATCTTCTGAGGGAGTCCATTCCAATGTTGAACAGCTCTTATGATCAGAAAGTTCTTATTTATGTGTCAAGGTAATCTCCTTTCTTGTAACTTGAATCCACCAATATTGATCCTATCCTCCAGAGCTGGAGAAATCAAGCTTGGTTCATCTTCCAAGAGACAGTACTTTAGATATTTGAAGATGTCTATCAAAACTCCTCCTAGTTTCCTCTTTTCCAGGTTTAACGTACCCTGCTCCTTCAACCGTTCCTCATAAGGCTTGGCTTCCAGACCTGTTATTACCTTGGTCACCCTCCTCTGCACACATTGCAGCTTGATGTATCCTTAAATTGTGGCTTCCAGAACTGGACACAGGACTCTAGGCGTGGTCTGACCAAACCAGAATAGAGTGGTACTACGACTTCCCTCGATTGGGACACTAGATTTTTGTTGGTAACAGCCTAGAATAGCATGAGGGGTTTTTTACCGCTGCATCACACTGTGGACTCATGTTAAGCTTGTGGTCTGCTATGAATCACCTAGATCCTTTCACATGTAATATTAGCAATCCAGGCGTCTCCCATTTTATCTTTGTGCAGCCTAAGTGGAGAACCTTATGTTTGACCTTATTGAAATTTCATCTTGTTGGTTTCAGCCCAGTTTCCCAACCTGTTAAGGTCATCTTGAATCCAGATTCTCTCTTCTTCAGTATTAGCTACCCTATTCCACCCCACTGGTTTGGTGTCCTTTGTAAATTTAACAAGCATTCTCTCAATTCCTTTGTCTGAGTCATTTATAAAGACATTGAACAAAAACAGGCGCAGGACAGAACCCTGTAGCATCCCAGTTATTCCTTTTTTCCAGGATGACGAGGAACCATTAGTGGGCACTCTTAGGTTTTGGTCAATCAACCAGCTACAAATCCCGCATTTTACCAGCTTGTATACAAGAGGGTGATGAGCAATTTGGCAGTGCTGGTGAGTTAGCCATCAACCCTGAGCTCTTCCTTGGAGAAGCTGACAAACAATTCACGTGCTTCCAAGAGCCTCCAACTTGCAAATTTGTGGTGCTCCTGGCTGCAGCTGTCTTCCTTGGCATGTCCAGGATGGTGGTGGTGCCACCTTGAGCTCTTCTTGGTTTCTGCTGAACACACACAGGACATCTTCCAGAAAAGCCAGGAGTTCCCTCTGTGAGAAGGGTAGGTCAAAGATTCCTTTGCTGCTGTCCTCCTTTGATTCTTCAAAGTACATTCCGAGAGGATGCAAGGAGCAAATAATTGTATCCACGAGGAAGAATGAGTTTTGTGTTCATTGTACTCAAAGGTGGTTGGGAGCAACAGCAAGCACAGTTTATTTGCTTCGGCCAACTCCATTTCTCATCTGCACATGTCTGACCCATGGAAGATGGCTTAGATTGAACCAAGATTCTGAATGACAGTGCAAAACCTGACATTTGTCCTTATTGAAATTCATTTACTGCATTTATATGCCGCCTTTTTCTCCAGGGAGCTCCAGGTGGTGTCACACGGTTCTCCCCCAAGCTCCTTTAATCCTGACAATAACCTTGTGAAGTAGGTTAGGCTGTGAAGCGGTGACTGGCCCCCAAGGTCGCCCAGTGAGCTTCATTGCCAAGTGGGGATTTGAACCCACTTCTCCCAGGTTGTAGCCTTGACACACTAACCACTAAACCACACTTCCTCTCTAATGAGCCTCTCTGAAAATGTGCATGTGTGTGCATTTCCTTAAAGTTTGCCCGTGATGTTGTGGTGTTTGTATAAGTTGTATACACATGTAATTAATATAATAATGGTAAGTACAGTATAATAGTAGATTTAAGGTAGTGTTAGGTAGGGAGATGGGGAGAATGAATTTGGAATGCTGGGGGTGAGAGGTGATTGGACGAAAGTTTTAAGGGGGATTTGAATAACTACAACATAACAAAAGTAGTGATGTACAATAAATATACAAGATCTAAAATAGAGATACAAAAAATCAACAGCAAGAACCCCCCTCAAAAACTCCCAAGCCCAAGAGTTTGTTCAGCAGCCTCAGCTTTTGTAGCTGGAGTCAGCCCAGGCCAGGTGGAAAAGGCCTGCAAGGCAGAGAGTAGATCTTCCAGGACTCAGCCAATATGGTTTCTGGCCTCTTCAGCAGAGACAGTTGGAGGCTGGGGTGTGAGAGGGGTGGTAGTTGTGAAGCAGCGTTGGGTAGATAAGGAGTAGAGGAACAGCGTTGTTAATACACACAATCCGCTCTGATTTCTGCTACCGTTGATATGTGTTTTAATCCCCCAGGCATTTGCTGCCCCAGTTTAGGTGCTATTTTTTAGTGTTTCATACTTGTTGCTTTCTTAAATTGTGATTTTAAGGTGGGGGTATTTTGGAGGGGGGATGACGTTGATTTATGTAGGCTCCTTTGAGCTGGAAAGGTGACCGTGACATTGCTCCAATACTGAGGCAGAGGGAAGGGAGTTGCTGTGAAGAATGGGCAGGAGACATCTCCCAGCGGAGAGCCAGAGCTGAATATTGTAGCCATGAATATCCTGGTTGCGTCCCAGATTCTTCTTTTCTTTGATATTGGGGGAGGGCTTTTCATGAGTCTGTTCCTGGCCACACACACACCAATTCAAAATCAGGGACAGGCAGGCTGGAGATGAATTTTGCTATCATTATTTAGCTGCATTACGGCCATATCCCACTTTCCCCACAAGTTGGTCAAGGAAGTATCCTTTTACCAGTGTTAATTTCAAGCCTTTACTTTAGTCTTCTGTGTCCTGTGGAAAGTCCTGCCACTAGAGATTCAATGGGTGCCTGCTGTGCCAGCCTTTTAATGCTTGCTGAAAAATTTCCTCTTTTGCCATGCCTGTACAGGTAATTAAGAGTACAGTGGACACCCGGGTTGCAAACTTGATCCATGCGGGATGCACGTTCGCAACCCGCAGTGTTCGCAACCCGCAGTGGTGCATCTGTGCATGCACGGGTTGTGATTTGGCGCTTCTGCACATGCACAAAGCGCGATTTAGCACTTCTGCGCATGCGCGACTGCCGAAACCCAGAAGTAACCCGTTCCGGTACTTCCGGATTTCGGTGGTCCGTAACCCGAAAAAACACAACCTGAAGCGTCTGTAACCCAAGGTATGACTGTACATCCCTCACAAGGGGCTATCGATGCTGGGGTTTTTAATTTTTTTTTTTTTACCTTATTTTAGACTTTATTATGTTTCTTTTTTTTGTTTATATTGCTGTAAACCACTGTGGTATGTTTTATGATACATCTGTGTATAAATATTTAAACAAACAAGCAATTCTTTAAGGTAGTTTGGGCTGAGAGACAGGTCTCAGCTACTTTAGTAAAGAAGCAATGAATTGAATGCGTTTTAAACATGCAACACCTGATGGCACCAGAGAGCAGGAATGGTTTAAAACATTTCCCATGGCAAGTTTCTTCTTTTGTTTTCTTTCTGGCTTATTTATAGCGTTCTTTTCCTGTGTTTGGATCCACCCACAGGGACTGACTGTCCCAAGGTCACCCACTGAGCTTCGCAGCTGAGCAGAGACATTCTCTCTTTCCTCCAAGGTCTTCTCCCTCCTTCATATGACCTGTAATCTCTTCATCTTTAAACTAAATGAATAAAAAGAAATGGTTTCTGCCGCAAAGTGAACAGTTGCCAGGGTAACTTTGCAGTGTCCATGGTCACATCTGAAAGCAAGACCAGAATAGAAGACATTCCTCAAAACAACCACATGCAATCGAAATAAAGTATTTCAGAAGTTCATGAAAAGATGGAGCCTTGCCCCAAAGACATCTGGCACAGTCCATGTGCTCCTGGACTAGGACACCCACCTTCTAACCTGGAATTAAGCAACTGGTCACAGAAATCATATCACACCTGATATAAGTAAAAAAACAGCTCCTTCTCCCTTATGGGGTACCCAAGAGCCCATATAGAGTCCTTTTGTAGGTTCTCTATTGGTAGGAGAAAATAACAGAGGCCAACCAGAGAATATTGAGAAGCAAAGCAGCTAGTAAGCCTGATCTTTACTAACTGTTGCAACAGGGTGCTCCCCCCACACACAAGGGGGGGGGGAGGGACCCCAAGCCATGCAAGCCCTAATATAGACATTTTAAATTGCCCACCCTGGAGTCCAAGACCACCCCCAGAAACATCATAAATACATCGCAGAAAAGGTGGTCTGCAACAGAAATCTGAGTGCATTGTTTTTACCCTGTCTGCCAGGTTACCTGTTAATGGTCACTTGACTAGAGTACCTGTGGAGCCTGGCCATTCTTTTGTAATGATAATACTTAATTCCTGAGCCAGGTCACAGGCTCACCCTATTCACACCTTAAATGTGCCCTTAAAGCAGGATTTGTGAGGACAGAGACAATGGGGAGGTTTCTGCCTTTCCTTCGACTTTGTAGAGAAATATTTGAGGTGACTGAAAGAGTCAAAATGGCTTTAGGACTTTTCCTGTGGGTTTTGCACATGTGGTTTATATATTTATATATGTGTTTGCTTGGTACATTTATGAACATTTATTATATATATATACAAGACCAAAAAATTCTTATAGCACACCCCTTAGCCTAGGCTGTCCTGTTCCTTAGGTCAAGAAATCTGAAGCTGGGGAACCTGGAGCGCCACTGAGATTTTGTACACACCTTTCATTTAAAGCACATTTCCCCTGGCACACACAACCCACACCTGAATTTATTTAATAATAATAATAATAATAATAAATTTTATTTATATCCCGCCCTCCCCAGCCGAAGCCGGGCTCAGGGCGGCTAACAACACTAAAATAGTGCAACATTATAACAACATTATAAAAATTAAAATCAAAATTGATGGCAACCATAAACTAAAGATTGCCAAAGGAGGGAGTCAGGCTGTGCCCTGATCAAAGGCCTGGTGGAACAGCTCTGTCTTGCAGGCCCTGCGGAAAGATGTCAAGTCCCTAGTCTCTTGTGACAGAGTGTTCCACCAGATCGGAGCCACAGCTGAAAAAGACCTGGCTCTAGTTGAGGCCAGCCTAACTTCTCTGTGGCCTGGGACCTTCAAGATGTTTTTATTTGAAGACCGTAAGTTCCTCTGTGGGGCATACCAGGAGAGGCGGTCCCGTAGGTACGAGGGTCCTAGGCCGTATAGGGCTTTGAAGGTTAAAACCAGCACCTTAAACCTGATCCTGTACTCCATTGGGAGCCAGTGCACCTGGTATAGCACCGGGTGAATGTGATCTCGCAGCGAAGACCCCGTAAGGAGTCTCACCGTGGCATTCTGCACCCGCTGGAGTTTCTGGGTCAGTCTCAAGGGCAGCCCCACGTAGAGCGAGTTACAATAATCCAGTCTGGAGGTGACCGTCGCATGGATCACAGTGGCTAGGTCAGGGCGAGAGAGGTAAGGAGCCAACTGCTTAGCTTGGCGGAGATGGAAAAATGCCGCCTTTGTTATAGCTGCAATCTGTGCCTCCATGGAGAGGGAGGTGTCGAAGATTACACCCAAACTCTTAACGGACGGTGCTGGCACTAATTGCGCCCCCGCAAGAGATGGGAGTTGCCCCATCAATCCCATATCATCCCGTCCCAGCCAGAGGAGCTCTGTCTTCGAAGGATTTAACTTCAACCGGCTCCCACGTAACCATCCAGCCACAGCTTCCAAGCATCTGGTCAGTGTGTCTGGGGCCGAGTCAGGATGGCCATCCATCAACAGATAGAGTTGGGTGTCATCAGCATATTGATGGCAGCCCAGCCCCCCCAAATTTTTGAATTGTTGGTTGTTGTTGTTGTTTTTTTAAAAAATGTTCCTTTGGTACAAGGTGCCTCCTGAATCCGAATCTCAGCAAACCCTGCACTCAACGTGAGTAGCTGCTGCCTTTCCCATTTTTTTAGGTAGAAATGACTGACATGGAACAGGAAGAAAAGAGGCACACCTTTTCCCTCAGTCTTGGGAATCTAGAAAGCACCTTGCAGAATTCCAGCACTTAGTCATGGTCCTGCAAGCTTGACCACCTATGAAAATTATGAATGTGTAAGTATTTGTTCACACAATGCCAGGAGCTAAAAAAACAAACAAACCTCTTTTTCAAAGCTACGCATTACAGGGCGAAAGTGTCTCAAGAAAGTAGGAATGGGCATCTTGGAGATGGCAGTGCCCCCATGCCCACTGCCTTGTGCCCTCCTCTGCACACACAGAAAAGGAGGCGGCATGAGTCGCGCTGCAGGCATTTGGCCTTGAACTCTTTCTAAACCAGGCAGGGCAGCTGGGCGTTTTTCTGAACAAAATCCAGACGTGGGGGATGGGCCGCTCACATGTTGGACTGAGCACTTAAGCGCAATTTGACCCATTTTTTTTTTCTAAATTGCACCAACAGGGCAGGATCAGGACACAGGACACTGCAAGCAGAGGGCATTTGGGGAAGGGGCTGGAGGGACATCCAGAAGTCTGGGAACTTGGAGCCATTTCTCTGGGGTGAAGGGATGCAACTCTTTCCTGCCCTTGGATGTTTCAGCTGCTCGCCTGACCTTGGAGGGAGGTGGGCATTGCATTCTTAGGAAGGAAAGGATCCAGCCCCCTTGCTCACATCCTAGAGGAGGAATTAATTCTCCAGGGGTGAATCCTTCCTTCTCCCCCCCCCCCACTTCTCTCTCTCTTTTTAATAATTATTTTTTTCCATTCTTTATAATCACACTTTCATCCAGTGATGTCAAATAACTTACAAAAAAACATTCAGTTGAAAATCTAACAATAACATGCATCAAAATCATCTTCCTATTAGTTATAGATAACCGTATATACTTTTGTCCCTGCTCATTTATCCTATTTCCCCCCTCCCTCCCTCCCCTTTAACCCCCCCCAAAAAACTTGTTTTCTCTTCAGATCTTTAACCATGTGCACAGATTATTCATTCTAATTTGGATGCTTGGCTTGGCTTCTCCCAGTGATATCCAATTCCTATAACTTGTCTTTTTATTCAAAATCTTTTTACATTTGTTCTCCCATGTATCTTCCGTCATTACCTGTTCAAATATATCAGACTGTATTGTTGCAGGAATTTATGTATAGGTTGGGGGAGATATCCTGCACATTGCAGCCCACTACCAAAACCAGCACAATCGCTTTTGTGACTTTTGTGATTTGTCCCCACAAAACACTTCATCACAGTTTCTTCCTATCTGTTCAAAGGGCCTCTGCTGCACGATACCAAATGTAAGAATTCACTGATCAATGTATCTCTGTACTGGCTCACAGGGAAAACTTCAGAAATTCATAGACATGTGAGCTCAGCTACTCAGCAGCCCCTCTGCCTGAGTCGTCCTGGCATCCTGAGACCTGAGTGCCAGGCAGGTAGCCATTCCAGAAATAACAAACCCAGATGAAGACAAAAGGGTGGGATGAACTTGGCAGGGAAAGAGGGAAATGTAAATATCTCTTTTGTGACACTCCATGGGTGTTTGGTGGAGGGCAAGGGGAACCATAGGGCAGGGTCCAGGATGCTCAGATTATGGCCACCAGAGCTCCCCTTTCATGATGTAACCGTGATGTATGAGTGATGTAGTTGGGGTGGTGTAACATGGGGCTTAGCAGCTAATAAAAGTTTGGGTTCTCTTTTGTTCGGGGCTTCCATCTTGTTCCACCTGGTGGCAGGTGGGAGTCCTGTCGCAACTGTCTTCAATAAAGACCAAGCCGACTGGCAGCTCTTTTGCTCTGGTCTTCCTGGCTGGGGTCCTTGTTTTTTTGTCCCAGGGAGCCCTCAGATTTCTCCGTTAACAGTTTATATTCAAAAACCTTCCTGACACAGGTGGGATGTGCGTGCACAGCCTCCACGTGGGACCCCCAAAACCGTGACCCTGGGAGAGAGGGGGGGCCAAACCTAAGCAGGCTCTGGCCAGCGGACAAAGATGGGATCCCATGTCACACGCAAACAACCACAGTGACACCCGAGGAGGAGGGTGTTTCTAAGCAGAGTCTGGGGGGCCATCTGCCAGGGATGTTTTAGCTGAGATTCCTTCCTGATTTGGGGATGGGGAGGACTAGGGGGTTCCCCTTCCAATTCTAGGATGGGCTTCCCTGCTTATTGCAGAGCCATTTTCACATCAAGCAGTTCCTCCTGTTTCTGGCCGGGGGGGGGGGGCAGCTCAGAAGGCCACCCAAGAGGGCCCCCCCAAAATAAGGAGTAGTAACCCACTTTGGGGGGTGTGATGAAACGTGGGGGGTTTCAGTGTAAAAAGGTTTCAGAACGATAGCAAAACTTTGGCATTGACTTGGATGTATTATTCCTTGATGCGCTTCCTATAAGACCATCGCCAAACCTTGGCACTGGTTTGGACCGAACTGGGCAGCGTTGGGATTTGGGGTGATACAGTGGTAGGTACCTCGGGTTAAGTACTTAATTCGTTCCGGAGGTCCGTTCTTAACCTGAAGCACCACTTTAGCTAATGAGGCCTCCTGCTGCCGCCGCACGATTTCTGTTCTCATCCTGAAGCAAAGTTCTTAACCTGAAGCACTATTTCTGGGTTAGCGGAGCCTGTAACCTGAAGCGCCACTGTATTTATGACCCTCAGAGCATCACTTACTCAGTGGCGGGAGGGGGGGCGGAGGAGAAGATGCAAAATAGACGGTGTTTCGCTGCAAAACGACCGCACAACTTTGGCGCAGGTTTGGAGAGGATCCCAAATATTGGGGTTAATAAAATTAAGCTTTTCTGGCGAGAGAGAAAGCGCAGAGAGGGGAAAGAGGGGGGAGCTTGCTGCACTGGCTTGCCAAGGGTTAAAAGGAGCTGAGCTGTATTCCTAGAGAGGACAGGAAATGAGGGCGGGGGGGGGAGGTCTTCCAGAGCAAAAGCCCCTCCCTCCCCCCTCCCTCCCCCCCGTCTCTTTCTGCCCGGGTCGCGGGGCTTGCATTTGGCTCTCTCTGCAAGCGCTGCTTCGGGGCGCCTCCCGGGACCTGGTGAGCTTCCTCTCTCTTCCCCCTCGGGGTGCCTTGGGGAGAGGGGGGTCCCAGGGCTGCAGGGGGGTGTGCATGGGGGGGGCGTGCTCAGCTCATGCAGGGGGGGTGGGGAGGACCCCCAAGGCAGGGAGAAGACGTCCCTTCCCCCTCCCTCTGCAAAGCCCGGAGGAGTTTGCCGGAGGTCTGCAACTCTGCTCTTCCTTGCCGTCTTGGGGAGGGGTCTTTGGGTCACGGGGAAAGTGGCACGCAGATAAACCCCCTTCAGGCGGATGGAAAAAGTCGCCTTTATTATTAACCGGGGTTGTAGCCGGACGGAAACATTGGGACATAAAACCTATGCAGAAAATAATAAAAAAAGAAAACCTGACCTAATGCAGAAAGAAAGACTGTTGGAAGACGGAGGGCAGAGGAAAGAAAAAGGCTTATTCGTTGGCTATTTCGCAGATTAGTTAGGCTGCAGAAGGCGGGCTGGGGAGACCACACATTCAAGAAACTCAAAAGTAACTTTTGCTTGGTTTAATAGCAAATAACAAAAAATCCTTTTACACTAAATTTCATTATATCAATAAGTGTGACCCATCCACCAGGGTACTGAGAGAGACACATGCTGCTCATTATATACTATACCCAAAAGCTTACCGTAATTAACATAACTTAACAGCACCTGCTATCCTGCTTCACAGCTGTAGTAGTAGTAGTAATTAATAATAACAACAACAACAACAACAACAATAATAATAATAATAATATATTTATACCCCGCCCATCTGGCTGGGTTTCCCCAGCCACTCTGGGCGGCTCCCAAGCGAGTGTTAAAAACAATACAACATTAAATATTAAAAATTTCCCTAAGCAGGGCTGCCTTCAGATGTCTTCTAAAAGTCTGGTAGTTGTTCTCTTTGACATCTGATGGGAGGGCGTTCCACAGGGCGGGTGCCACCACCAAGAAGGCCCTCTGCCTAGTTTCCTGTAACTTGGCTTCTCGCCGTGAGGGAACCGCCAGAAGGCCCTTGGAGCTGGACCTCAGTGTCCAGGCAGAACGATGGGGGTGGAGACGCTCCTTCAGGGATACTGGACTGAGGCTGTAAAACTAGGTCATGTTATTTGCTCTGGCCCTTAAAGACATACGCATCTTGTGAAACAACAATGAAACCTAAAATTTAAAGAAACCATTCAACAGTTGTAGCTGGACGGAAACATTCGGACATAAAATGTATGCAGAAAATAATAAAAAAAGAAAACCTGACCTAATGCAGAAAGAAAGACTGTTGGAAGACGGAGGGCAGAGGAAAGAAAAAGGCTTATTCGTGTGGTGCAGAGTTAAACCTCCCTCCCGCAGGAGGCAGGGATGGCCACCAAAGCAGATGGCTTCCAAAGGAGTTGGGGGCCAATGCATGGAGGAGGAGAGGGCGATGGGGGGCTCCTAGCCAGGAGGGCCATGTCTGTCTTCTTGTAGTCAGAGGCAGCCACGTTTCTGAATCCCAGTTGCTGGAAAAACACAGGCAGGGGAAGAGTTGCTGCTGGGCTCAGATCCTGCTTGTGACTTCCCAGAAGGGGCCCCCGCTCGGCCCCTGTGGGAACAGGAGGGGGGACTCAATAGGGGACCCCTATGGCCTGATCCTGCAGGACTTGTCTTCTGTTCAGATGCTGAGTTCCTCTGGATGCAAGCGAACCCTCCCTTGTCCTTCAGTTAGAAGGAAAGCTTTCCCCACCACCCATTCATCAGGCAGGACAGGGGCATAATCTAGACTCCTGGCTGACCCAGGTGCGCCCGTTCAGACATGCAGCCTCTCAGGTGTCCAGGGGATCCTCTGAGACTGAACCTGCTGAGAAGCCCAAGGAATTAAAGGCAGGGAAGGCCCTGCTGGGAAGGAAGCAAACTTGGGGTGGGGGTGAAAGTGGCAGCCTCCCCCCATTGCTGAGAGTTACTGGGAGACTCTCTCCCACCAGCTATAGTTCCTGAGTTCTCTGGCAAAAGTGACAGATTGTTAAACCACTCTAGGAGGGTGTCTTCTAGCGGCTCCCAGCATCCTTCACAAACTACAGTCCCCAGGATTTTTGGAAGAAGCTTTGGCTCTCTAAAAGTGGGGGGGTCCTGCTTTGCAGATACATGGCAGATGGGCCCCAGGTGTGTGTGTGTGTGTGTGTGTGTGTGTGTGTTTCTTTCTTTTTGGAATAACTTTTTATTGGGTTTTATTTAAAAAAAAGGATCATAAGAAAAAGGGGGAACAGGATAGAGCAGGACCACTCTAATTTCCTAATTTCACGGCATTAAAACCCAATCTTAAAACCAGTTCAGAACCACTTACAACCACAGAAATGAGGTAACTCCTACTTGCTTTTGAGCGCTGTCCTGTGGCCCCACCCACATGCCCTTTGGCCTCACCCATTTGGCTCTCAGGGGGTTGGCCAGATAAATATCTGGCCCTCAGAATAAAAAACAAAAAGGCACTTCACTCCAGTAGTATGCTTGCAGATTTCAAGGGCTAGAAATGAGGCTGAAGCAGGAAAGAAATTTGCACTGAAGTGGGGGTGGGAGGGAGAGCAACCCTAGAGGACCCCAGAGTTAGGAAACCCCACTCTAGCCTGGTGTCCACATTACACTCGGTACAAATGACTCACTTGCCAATCACACCTCTGACTTCATTTGCTGACGGGAGACACTGAAATGGAGGAGCAACCAGTCGGATTCATCTCACAGAAATCCCTTCAGTTGCCTGCACCTTTTGCGTAGTAACTTTCCTTTTAGGAGGGTTAGAGGATTCCTTTTTCTTTCTCGTTGTTTGTTCCTTAAAGAAAGCTCAGAGTCTGGGCTGTCCAGTCCTGGTTCCTAGCAAGACTCAACCACGCTTGCTCAGGGAACCTTTTTCTTCTCTTGACCGTGTATGAATATTATAACAGAACAAAGTATTTGCTTTGGTAGCACCTCTCATTAGGACAGACAACCTGGCAGAAGAAAAAAAGGATTCCTTCTGATTTCTTGGAGGCTTCCTGAGAGCCCAGATGGATGAGCAAGACTCAGCTGGCCCAGAAGCAGGAAAGGGCCATGTCATCAACACCGAGAGCAGTGGGAGAGTCTGGGAAAGCTCAGTGCAGAAGATCCTGGTTAAGGAGGACACCTTCAGCTCAGATGCGCAGAGACAAAAGTTCAGGCAATTCTGCTTCCAGGAGGCCGAAGGACCCTCAGAGGCTTGCAGCCAACTCTACCACCTTTGCTATCAGTGGCTGAAGCCAGAAAGTCACACGAAAGCTCAGATGCTGGACCTGGTGGTCTTGGAGCAGTTCCTGGCTGTCCTTCCACTGGAGATGGAGAACTGGGTGAGGGAATGTGGAGCAGAGACCAGTTCCCAGGCGGTGGCTCTTGCTGAAGGATTCCTCCTGCGTCAGGGAATGGAGAGGAAGCAGGCAGAGCAGCAGGTGAGAGAGACTCTGGATGCTCTCAAGGGGCTGAGAACATGAGGGAGAGTATCCCCAAATTCCCTCATTGGACCATCAGTTTTTGGAAAGCATCCAAGGAATGAAACCGGATACCGCTAAAGTTTTTTCATCGGCCATTCCTTGTCTAATCTTTCTCCCCATTCTCAGTTTTGAATCCTTGTTGCTCTTTCAGGGAAAGATTATCTTTGCAGAAATGGGCCCTGATTCCCCTGAAGCAGAGAAGACTCCCCTGGACACCAGAGAGAGGCCACCAGGTAAGAAGGAATGAGGTTTTTTTCTGTTTGGTTGCATTCTGTGGATTTAGAAACTGATTTGTGGGTTCTTTCCATCTTTTGGGGGAGGACACTTGGGGCCAAGAGCCCAAAGTGGGGGAGGTGTATTTTTACATAGCTAAAATACAAGTGTCAAAATGCACTCAGTAGATAAGGCTTTTTCTAAGGCCCACCTGTAGTTGGTGGTGCACTACTTCACTTCTAGAAGCACACACTCATGGCTTCCTTCTTACCTTTTTCTCTTGCAGGGGACAGAACGTTGCCGACCAAAGCTTCTCCTCCATCTTTCCAGGGTGGTGAAGGGGAAGAAGAGGCTGTGGAACCAGATCAGGCAGGTGGAAGGAGCCTTGCGGGGAAGGAAGCCAAGGAGTGGGGGAAGCAGAGGTGGCTCTAGGCCCAAACACATTTCTCTCTTCCCCTTGGCTTCTGTCAACACTGCCCTGAACATGCCGGTCAAGGTTTATGTGCTGAGAACAATGAACAGCTCCCTCACCTTCACTAGGCTTCTGAATGTTGCTAGTATTATTTATCCCTAGTTCAGTTTTATTTCTATACCGGTTGTTGAATGCTAAAATAAGCTCTTAAGCACAGTTCACAAACTGTACAAAACAGTGGCCGGGATTCACCTAAGCAACCCCATCAGTACAATACAAATACAGTGGTACCTTGGTTCTCAAACTTAATCCCTTCTGGGAGTCCGTTCGACTCCCGGAACTGTTCGAAAACCAAGACTCGGCTTCCGATTGGCTGCAGTAGCTTCCTGCACTCAGTCGGAAGCCGCGTCAGACGTTCAGCTCCCGAAAAATGTTCACGAACCGGAACACTCGCTTCCGGGTTTGCAGCGTTTGGGAGCCGATTTGTTCGGGAGCAAAGCCGTTCGAGTACCAAGGTACCATTCCATTAAGGCATTAAAATAAGCATCCATACTTAAAATGTAGCAAACCAATCTTATTAAAACAAGATGCCAAGGAACAAGCGGAAAACAACAGAGCAATGTGTAGTAGATAGTCTGTATGTTTTCTAAGAAGTGGACCTTTCCCTTTTTATTTTAGGGTCCGGGGTGCTTTGAAGATGTAGCTGTTTGTTTCATAGACGAGGAGGGGGTGTTGCTGGATCCTGACCAGAGAGCTCTGCATAAGGAAGTCATGGAGGAGAATGGTGGGAGAATGGACTCTCTCGGTGAGGCTCCCTGTTCGAGCATGATATCTGTTTTGAAATGTAATACGTATCTCTATATCAGCCTTTCTCAACCTGTGGGTCCCCAGATGATGTTGGACTACAACTCCCATCACCCCTAGCTAGCCAGGCCAGAGCTCAGGGATGGTGGGAGTTGTAGTCCAACAACATCTGGGGACCTACAGGTGGAGAACCACTGCTCTATATGACAAACCTCTAGTATTTTGAAGGAGCTCAAGAGTCCTACCAAAACATCTGTGATTCTGACGCTCCCACAGCTCACCTTGAATGATTTGTGTGCAAATATTCTTCCTCCAGCTGTGCCTTTTAAAACCAGGAACAGGCTGGTCTGAACTGCCCACACCTTTCAAAACGGGTAGGCAACCTAAGGCCCGGGGGCCAGATGTGGCCCAATCACCTTCTCAATCTGGCCCACGGACGGTCCAGGAATCAGCGTGTTTTTACATGAGTAGAATGTGTTTAACAGACTACTGTATTTTAATACTTTGTTGGAAGCTGCCCAGAGTGGCTGGGGAAACCCAGCCAGATGGGCAGGGTATAAATAAATTAATAATAATAATAATAATTTAAAATGCATCTCTGGGTTATTTGTGGGTCATAGGAATTCATTCATTCCCCCCCCCCAAATATAGTCTGGCCCACCACATGGTCTGAGGGACGGTGGACCGGCCCATGGCTTAAAAATGTTGCTGATCACTGTTTTAAAAGATAGGCTTCAGAGTTAGGGAACGTGCAGTAACTTTTGGGGGGGGATTATTTTTGCTTCTGTCCATTTTCGGTTAACCTTGGAGATGGTCAGTCAACCGAAAATAGACAGAAGCAAAAACAAACAAAAAACAGAAGTCCGACTAGCAGATAAACATCTATACAGTCGTACCTTGGAAGTTGAATGGAATCCATTCCGGAAATCCGTTTGACTTCCAAAACGTTTGGAAACCAAAGCACCACTTCAGATTGACTGCAGGAAGCTCCTGCAGCCAATCGGAAGTGGTGGAAGCCCCAGTGGATGTTCGGGTTCCAAAGAATGTTCGCAAACCGGAACGCTCACTTTCCAGGTATCTGGCATTTGGGAGTCAAAATGTCTGAGTACCAAGGTGTTTGGGATCCAAGGTACTACTGTATACCTGTACACCAGGTAGCCAAATTTGCACTGGCAGCCAAGAATCTCCGTTCCAGCTGTATGAATGCACTCCCAATTTTAAAACCTAATATTGTAAATTTATTTTTATATTGTAAACTGCTAACTGATTTCAGATCACAAGCATTCATGAGAATTGTTCAATTATTTGGGACTCCATTTCTTCCCGAGGCTCTAATCTAACCTAGTGGTCCCGGGCCCTAAGGAAGTTAGATTGGCTTCAACCAGAGCCAGGGCCTTTTCAACACTGGCTCCGGCCTGGTGGAACGCTCTGCCTCATGAGACCAGGGCCCTGCAGGATCTGATTTCTTTCCGCAGGGCCTGTAAGACAGAGTTGTTCCGCCTGGCCTTTGGCTTGGAGCCAATTTGATTCCCTCCCTCTCTTTCTTTTTTCTTTTCCTTCTCCTCCTGCGATGAGGCATTTTAATGAGGCATTTTAATATTTTAATGTTTCAATATTTTAATGTTGTATTTTAATTTTGTTTTAAGTTGTAATCGTTCAACTTGTTTTTATTATTGCTTATTAGCCACCCTGAGCCCGGCCTTGGCTGGGGAGGGTGGGGTATTAAAAAAAAATTATTATTATTATAATCCATTTCTCTTTTTGTTGCAGGTGGCGACAATTTGGAAATTAAGAACGAGGGAGACCACGACAAAATCCCCACAGTGGAGAAGTCATATGAAAATTCAGAGTGTGGAGAGAACTTCAGTCAGAGCTCCCATGCCACTTCCGATCAAAGAAATATCACTGGGAAGAAACCTTATCAGTGCCTGGAATGTGGAAAGATCCTCAGTCGGAAGGAAATTCTCACATCCCATCAAAGAATCCATACAGGGGAGAAGCCATATAAGTGCTTGGAATGTGGAAAGAGCTTCAGCCACAGAGCCAACCTCACAGCCCATCGAAGAATTCATATAGGGGAGAAACTATATTTGTGCTTGGAATGTGGAATGAGTTTCAAACGGAAGGAGAGTCTCACTTCCCATCAAAGAATTCACACAGGGGAGAAACCCTATCAGTGCTTGGAATGCGGAAAGAGCTTCACTCGGAGGGATAGTCTCACTTCACATCAAAGAGTTCATACAGGAGCAAAACCGTATCCGTGCTTGGAATGTGGAAAGAGCTTCAGTCGGAAGGATAGCTTGACTTCCCATCAAAGAATTCATACGGGGGAGAAACCATATCAGTGTTTGGAATGTGGAAAGAGCTTCGCTCAGAGTACCCACCTCATTTCCCATCATAGAACTCACAGCGGGATGAAACCGTATCAGTGCTCAGAATGTGGAAAGAGCTTCAGTCAGAGCGCCCATCTCACTTCCCATCAGATAACTCACAGTGGAAAGAAACCCTATCAGTGCATGGAATGTGGAAAGAGCTTCGGTTGGAAAGAAAGCCTCACTTCCCATCAAAAAATACATGCACGGAAGAAGCCGTTTCGGTGCTCGGAATGTGGAAAGAGCTTCACCCAGAAGCAAAATCTCACAGCCCATCAAAAAACTCATACGGGGGAGAAACCCTATCAGTGCTTGGAGTGCGGAAAGAGCTTCAGTCAGAGCGCCCATCTCACTTTGCATCAGAGAATTCATGCAGGGACAAAACTATATGTTTGCTCTGAATGTGGAAAGAGCTTCAGTGAGAGCGCCCATCTCACTTCCCATCAAAAAACTCACCGGCCAAAATTACAGAATCGTAGGATGGTAAAGTTGGAAGTCACCACCATGGTCATCTAGTCCAACTCCCTGCAATGCAGGAATCTCCACTACAGCATTCCATGACAGATGGACACCCAGTATCTCCTGAAAAATCTTCAGTGAAGGAGAGTCCACTACTTTCCACGGTTGTCTGTTTTTCCAATGGCTCTCTTGTAACTGTATCAGGAAAATTATGAGATCCATCTAGCATGACTAGTTTTTGAGAATCTCAGTGCTGTGTCTTAATAATCACAGCATTCTTTTTAATTTCTCACAAGCCAACCATTTAATTATCTGTTCTAGAACCTTTCCTGGTATCCATGCCAAGCTTGAGCGTTCAGTAGTTACCTGGGTCTTCTCCCCACACCCTTTTGTAAGATGAGGACAATATTTGGCCTTCTCTAGCCTGCAGGGACCTCATCTGTTCTCCAGGAATTCTCAGAGATTATAGACATAGTGTCTGAGATTCCATAAGCAAGTTCCTGTAGTCCCCTTGGGTGCAGCCCATCAGGCCCTGGAGATTTGAATTTATTTAAAGTAGCTAGATGGTCCTTTACCACCTCTTCCTATCCTGGGCTGCAGTTATTCTGTTAACACCGGGTTTGACACAGCTTTCCTTTTGGGTGAAGAAAGAGGCAGAGTGGCTAGTCCGCCTTCTATCGCGGAATAGAAATGCTATTTTCTGCGTCTTCTCCATGAAGAGGACCTGCTCCTTCTTGTTCTTCCTCTTGCTTCGAAGATAGCCGAAGAAACCCTTTGAGATTTAACCTCTCTTCCAAGCCTGAGCTCATTTTGAGATTTGGCCTGCCTGACCTTCTCCCTTCAACACTTGGCTACTGGAGTATTCTCTTCCTTCTTCGTGAGTTGCCCTTTCTTTCATTTGTTATCCATCCCATATCAGAGAAACCATATCAGTGTGTGGAATGTGGAAAGGGTTTCAGACAGAGGGCCTGTCTCGTGGCCCATGAAAGAATTCATACAGGGGACGGGACCAGATCAATGGCTGTGTACAAATTTAAACTTAAGAGACTTGAATGACTGTGGGTGAGCATTGCAACAGTGCCATGTGGCAACCTAGCAAAGAAGCTGACTTTTCTCTCAAAGCTATAGAGTACACAACCAGTGTCCAGTCTTTCTTCAGACTACATACTCAGGTCTCGGAGGTGCAGGTCATGTGTTCATGGTACTGAATACCTTCTCCGCATCCATCACATCTGGAAAGAGGGTGAAGAGCAATATGGCAACACTGCTGAGATAGCCCTCGGTGCTGAGCTCTTAAAAGAAGTTGGCAAGTGATTCGTGTACTTCAGGAACCTCCAAGTTGCAAATTTGCGGTGCTCCTGACTGCCACTGTTCTCCTTGGCATACCCAGGATGGTGGTGGTGCCCCCTTTGAAGCTGTTTCTGGTATCTGCTGAGCACTCCCAGGTCATCTGCCAGAAAAGCCAGAAGTTTCAGGCTTTCCTATGTGAGAAGCTTAAGACAAGGATTCCCTTGCTGCTGTCTTCCTTCGATTATTCAAAGTACATTCTGAGCGGATGCCAGGATTGTACCCCTGAGGAAGAAAGAGTTATTTGTTCATTGTACTCAAAGGTGCTTGGGAGCAACACCAAACACATTTTGTTTTCTTCAGCCAACTCCAGTCCTCATCTGCACACATCCAATACATGGATGAAGCCTTAGATTGAACCCAAATTCCAAACATCTCATCCCAGTGTGGCAGCATCTGAGACCTTTTCCCAGGCCATGTGCACAGAGTAACAGATCTCAACCGGTGGGACATTTTTGCCTGTGTCTCGCATCTATTTCTTGAGCAGGGGACCCTGTTCTGCTTTCCCCCCAGTGTGAACTGAGACTCCGTCGCAACAGACCAGGTATTTCTGGAATCACGCCGGGTGCGTGTGTCTCCAAGGCCTTGTAACCCTCTTCCCATGAACCCCTGAGCTCCAGAGATTGTCGGTTCTCGCACTCCCCAAAAGTCTTGCTCCTTTTCTCAAGGTTTGGAAACCTCTGCCCAATGTATCACTTTTCTTTATGTGTATCCAGTCTACCAATCTTATCTTACCTGTGGTTCTTTCCCATCAGCTATTATTGAGTGCTAATGTCTTTATTGCAACATTAAAATATATTGCAAAATACATTGATGGTTCTGGTTGCATATCCTGTTGCGGTGTATCAGAGTGCGAAGCCCCCAAGGACCCTCTGAAGAGCATGAACTCTCCGGAGACTCCTGGGGAAGCCAGCTTTCTGAGTGAGTAGGAGTCAGGATAGGATCACTTCTTCATTGCAGAGCCTGGCTGTGAGATCCAGCCCACCTCTTCCAGCACCCTCTTCTCATAGTGGCCAAATGCCCCTAAGAGCCCAACTTCATGTGCCACCTCCAGGGGAAGTCAGGAGGGTGGCGACACAAGAAGGGGTCTTTTCTGCGGGTTCGATCCCCAAGAGCTACATGTTCCTGCATTGCAGGGGGTGGGACTAGACAATCTCAGGGTCACTTCCCACTGCACAAGTCTATGATTCTGTGATATCTTAGGTGTTGTGTGAAAACATTCCTCTTCTCCCAGGCCTTCAGCTATTTTTTGTTTGTTATGCAAAACAAAACTTTTTTATTATTTTTTATAATAATTTTTATTTGGTTTTACAAGTATGAAATTATAGCAATACAGCCAAACACATCCATATTTAAAGATTCCTCCGAGTCTCAGGACTTAACACCTTCCCCTCCATGGGTCCTATGGTCAACCTTATCAACTGCATATTATTCAGTGGTCCATGTTTTATGTCTCCATTTTCTCTATAGTATTTGCTACATTACATCTGCTTACAGCGGTCTCCAAGATAAATTAAAAATTTTCCGCATTCTTTGTTAAAGTTTTGTTCTTCTTGGTTCCTGAGCCTTCCGGTCAGTTTTGCTATTTCAGCATAATCCAACAGCTTAATTTGCCATTCTTTTTTCCATCTTTGGGCTAATAACATCCGTGTGGCTGTCGTCGTCTACATAAAAAGTCTTTTCTGCTCCCTTGGAATATCAGCACTTACAATTCCTAATAGAAAAGCCTCTGATTGTTTTTTTTAAAACAAAAGTTAGTTTAAACATTTTTTTCCAACTCATATCATTTCAAGGCAATTGAGGCCTTCTGCAAATTAAACAATCTACCACATTTTTCCGTCTATAAGACGCCCCCATGTATAAGATGCCCCCTAATTTTTTACATTATTTTTTAGGGGGAAAACCTAGTCTTATACACGGAAAAATACGGTATTTTACACTGGGGAAGGCATTGTTTTGTTTGTTACCATGATATGTATTTTTGGGTTTTCATTTTGTAAACTGCGTTGTGATCCTCGGATGAAGGGCGGTATAGAAACTCAATAAATAATAATACAATAGGAGTCGAGATAGACTGCCTCTGCCGCTGAAGGTTTCGCTCAGAAGAACACAAGAAGAGCCCGCTGGATCAGGCCCGTGGCCCGTCGAGTCCAGCATCCTGTTCTCACAGGGGCCGACCAGAGACCCTATTATGGGAAACCCTCAAACAGAACTCAAGTACTGCCTGCAGTTTCCACCAAATAGGTATTCAGAAACACCAATTTGGCACCAGTTCGGAGTCAATGGGACAAGGTTGGGTTTGGGGCCATTTACTTTGATGCCTCCCTTTCCATGGAGGTGCAGGTTGCAGCCACAGGAAAGGGGTTGTTTTTCCATCTCTGCCATATTAAGCAGTTGGTCCCTTAGCTTCCTCACCCTGATCTGGCCACTGTGATCCACACGGCGGTCACCTCCAGGCTTGATTATTGTAACTCACTCTTTGTGGGGCTGCCCTTGAAGCTGACCCAGAAACTCCAGCGGGTGCAGAATGCCGCACGAGACTCCTTACGGGGTCCTTGCCACGGGATCACATTCACCCAGTACTATACCAGCTGCACTGGCTCCTGGTGGAGTACAGGATCAGGTTCAAGGTGCTGGTTTTGACCTTTAAAGCCCTACACGGCCTAGGACCCACGTACCTACGGGACCACCTCTCTTGGTATGCCCCATGGAGGACCTTAAGGTCCACAAATGACAACACTTTGGAGGTCCCAAGTCGCAAGGTGGTTGGATTGGTCTCAGCTAGGGCCAGGGCCTTTTCAGCACTGGCCCCAATCTGGTGGAAGGCTCTGTCACAAGAGACCAGGGCCTTGCGGGACTTGACATCTTTCTGCAGAGCCTGCAAGACAGAGCTGTTCCGCCTGGCCTTTGGTTTGGACTCAGTCTGATCCTTATGTTTCCCTCCCCTTATGGTCTTGATTTATCAGCTATTTTAAAATGAGGCTGCATTTTAACCTGTATTTTAAATTGGTTTCCCCCCCTTTCTTTTTCCCCTATTATGTTTTTACTTGTGATTTTATTGGTGTTAGCTGCCCTGAGCCCGGGGAGGGCGGGGTATAAATAAAATTACTATTATTATTATTACTTTGTCACCCTGGTTTGAGTGTGGATTAGTCAGTTTGGCACAAAATGGGTTCACAGCACAAGACTGGCATCAGTTTGGAGTCAATCAGTGGATTATTTTGGCATTTACCTGTATCATCTGCTCAGTTTAGGGGACAGCAGGAAACATGGAATTTGAATCACAGGCCACTAAACTTTGGCATCAGGTTGGGGGAATCCGAAATTTCGGACTAATGGAGCTGTATTCTTTTGGGAATTATGGGGTCAGAGCTACCTAAATCGTATAGAAATTTATTTATGTCTGCTACTACAGAAGCAAGAATGTTGCTTGCCCCAAAATGGAAAGAAGCAGAAGTCCCAGCAAAGGAAGAATGGATACCAAAAACTTAGGGAATATACAGAAATGGCGAAACTTACTTTAAGAAGAAAAAATAGAGATAAACTTTTTATAAAGGAATGGAAATGGTTTAATCAATATTTACAGATAAATTGCAAACAGATAAAAACATTAGCAGGATTATTGTATTAACCTGCAGTTATATTTAAAGTGTACAAATTAAATGAATTTGGATATGCAGTAGAGAGAGATACATTTCCTTAATTTTACTATTTTTTTCCTTAATTTATACATTTCCTTAATTTTAATAACATTTCTGCGGTTCCTTAAAGTTATTATATATAAGCATTTCCTTAATTTTCCTAACATTTCAGAACTTCCTCCTATTTCTGCGGTTCCTTAGTTATATTATATATAATAACTTTAAGGAACCGCAGAAAGGGGGAAGTCAAGTTTTGAAATGTTACAATGACTGTAAAATTAAGGAAATGTATCAACCTGAAAAGTGTTTGTTTTTAAATGAAAAACGTAGCTGTGCTGAGAGGCATCACGGCCTCTGGTCCCCGCGGGGAGCCCCCTCCCCGGATTTGCCTAATCCTTTGGCAGCCCCCTCCCCTCCCCGGCCCCCCATTGTTCTGTCGGGGGTCCCGCGCCCCCTCTCTCCTGTCCCCCGGGCTTTGTTCTCGATTTGGAGAGGCGGCGAGGCTGCGCGCAGCTCCGCGGAGAGGGAGGCGGCATTCCGGCCCGCCGTGCGCCCCGGGAGCCTGGACGGCGGGGACGGGAAGGAAGGCAGGCGCTTTCGGGGGCGCGGGGCGCCGTCCCGCCGCCGCCTCTCCCAGCAGCCCGGCAGGTAGGGGAGGGCGCGGAGGGGCGCGGGGCGCGGAGCTCGGCGTCTCCGCCAGGCCCCGGCTCGACGGGGCGGGATAAAAGGCGGCGCCGGCTCGCAGCGCCTCCCCGAGCGCCCTTTGCACTCCGGCCGGCGGAAGCGGAGGCTACGCGGCCGCGGCCGCCCAGCCTGGCCGGGGATGGCGGCGCCGGCGGGGCGCCAGGTACCGGCAGCCCTCGAGGGGAGGCGCAGGCGGCGTCCAGGGACCGCGCCCGGCCCGGGAGGCGTTGCAGCGCCCGCCCTTGCCGCTGCTGGAGAGCCTCCGAGCGCCGGGCGTCCAGGCGCGCTGGGGATGCGGGAGCCGAGGGGGCGCCGGCGGGGGGAAGGGAAGGGGGACCCCCTCCTCTGCAGCGGGGCCCGAGGGCCTTGATCCAGATGGGCCGTGGCGCTCCAGCGTCTCCTCCGGTGGAGAGCGGGCGACCTTCTGTTGGGGGGCAGCAGGGATGCCAAATGGATTAAAATATTGGGGGGTGACCAGGTAAGCCCCACTCCAGGACAGATGGATTTCTCTAGCCAAGAGAGTTACTGAGATTGAGGCCTGCCTGAGCTCTGGGCTCCTAATCTATGGGGAAAGCCGCTCTGCCCATGCTCAGGAGCACCATTTCGTTTATCTTTGGCCCCTCTTGTTAACTGTTGCTTCCCTTGCTCTGGGGCCGAAGCCCTGCCCTGAAAACAAGGCAGGGTCCAGAATCCAGTTGCAAGGGAGGAGATTCTGACTAAACCTTTTGAAGGCCAGACCAGAAGGGGCTCCCTTGGAGGTGGTGGACTCCCATTCCTTGGGGGCTTTTAAGCAGAGGTTGGGTGGCCATCCCTGCATGCTTGTTGAGGTTCCTGCCTTGCAGCGGGTTGGTCTGGATGACCCTCAGGGTCCCTTCCAACTGTACAGTTCCTTGATCTACAGGGGTTGTGCCAAGGGGTTCCACAGCTCCTGGCCCTGTGTGTTCCAGGGGGTCCGTGAACCCCCCTCGTGTCACGCCATGGAAAGAGATTTCTCTAAGGAGTCAGGTCCCCCTTTTCTTTCTTTCTCTCAGCTTCCAGTGACCTTTGAGGATGTGGCCGTCTATTTCTCCCCAGAGGAGTGGCCCCTGCTGACGGACTGGCAGAGGGACCTCTACTATGATGTCATGCAGGGCAACTTTGAGCTGGTGGCTTCACTGGGTGAGCATCTTGGGGGCAAAGCATCTTCAGGGCCCCACGGCCAGCGTTAGAAACAGGTGAAACTCGGAAAATTAGGATATCATGGAGAAGTTCATTTATTTCCGTAATTCAACTTAAAAGGTGAAACTAATATATGAGATAGACTCATGACATGCAAAGTGAGATATGTCAAGCCTTTATTTGTTACAATTGTGATGATTATGGCATACAGCTGATGAAAACCCCAAATTAACAGTCTCAGAAAATTAGAATATTAAATGAAATCAGCAAAACAAGGATTGCAAATAGAGCAATATTGGACCTCTGGGAAGCAGAAGCATGCATATGTACTCATATGTACTTGGTTTGGGCCTCTTTTGCATCAATTACTGCCTCAGTGCAGTGTGGCATGGATGCTATCAGCCTGTGGCACTGCGGAGGTGTTATGGAAGACCAGGATGCTTCAATAGCAGCCTTCAGCTCTCCTGCATTGCTCGGTCTCATGTCTCTCATCTTTCTCTTGGCAATGCCCCATATGGGGTTCAGGTCATGCGAGTTTGCTGGCCAATCAATCACAGTAATCCCATGGGCATTGAACCAGGTTTTGGTACTTTTGGCAGTGTGGGCAGGTGCCAAAGTCCTGCTGGAAAATGAAGTCAGCATCCCCATAAAGCTCATCTGTGGAAGGAAGCATGAAGTGCTCCAAAATCTCCCAGTAGACGGCTGTGTTGCCCTGGACTTAATGAAGCACAGTGGACCAACACCAGCTGATGACATGGCTCCCCAAATCAACACAGACTGTGGAAACCTCACACTGGACTTCCAGCATCTGGCATTGTGTGCCTCCCCATTCTTCCTCCAGACTCTGGGTCCTTGGTTTCCAGATGAGATGCAAAAGCTGCTCTCATCAGAAAAGAGATTTGGAGAAATCTATTATTATTATTATTATTATTATTATTATTATTATTATTTATTCATTTAATTTTTATACCGCTTTATATTTGAAAGAAAAACAACCTCAAAGCGGTTTTACAACCCATTAAAACATTGAGCGTAAAACAAATTCACACTTCGAGGAAATTATTTCTGATCCTTCTCTAAGTGACATTTTGCTTTCCCCATACAGTCGTACCTTGGAAGCCGAACGGAATCCGTTCCAGAAGTCTGTTTGACTTCCAAAATGTTTGGAAACCAAAGTGCCGCTTCCGATTGGCTGCAGGAGGAAGCTGCGTCGGATGTTCGGGTCCCAAAGAGCCTTCGCAAACCTGAACACTCACTTCTGGGTTTGTGATGTTCAGGAGCCAAAACGTTCGAGTTGCAAGGCGTTCGGGATCCAAGGTACAACTGTATTTATTTACCTAAATTTATAAGACTGCCCCATCGCAGGCGCTCTAGGAAGCCAGGGTGGAGCAGTGGTTAGAGTCTCGGATGAGGACCTGGGTTTGAATCCCCACCGGGCCACGAAGCTCTCCCTGGGTGGTGCTGGAGCCAGACGCAGCCTCTTAACCCAGGGATTAACTGTGGGGGTGTGGGGGGTGTGGACCATGGGATATGAATGCAGACATGGAAAATGTTAATGCTCAGAGTAATGGAGGTACCTCAAACGTCATCAAGGCCAGACCCATTGATGCGTAAGACCCACTGCTGAGGCCTGCCTGAGAAGAGACAATGGAAGCTTTGCTCGAAAGCCTCTGGCAAGGGAGACTCTGCCCCTTTTCCCAGGGATGGAAATGTGGAGATGTGTGTTTAAAAAGCAGCAGTCATGGATTTTGCAATTTACTGCATCCCAGTTGGGGCCTCTCCTCTTTTTGAATATTTCCCTGGTCGGGGTGATTTGTGACCTCTGCCTATTACCAGCGTGACAAATCTGTTTCTTTCTAGCTGTTGCATGTGTACCCCAACTTTTTCGTCAAGGAGCTCCAGGTGCTGTATGTTTTTTTTAAAAACAAAAACAAAGGGGCCATACTCTGTTTTTATTTGCTAATTACATACATTTTATTGTTATTTTTAACGCTTAAACAACACAGAATAAAAATAAACACGAGAACATAAAAAGGAGACAGGCATACTACATCACTATAAGATTCACAGTTACAATTCCATAGAGTTTAATCTAATACAGTGGTGCCCCGCAAGACGAATGCCTCGCAAGACGGAAAAACCGCTAGACGAAAGGGTTTTCCGTTTTGAAGTTGCTTCGCAGGACGAATTCCCCTATGGGCTTGCTTCGCAAGACGAAAATACCTTGCGAGTCTTGAGGTTTTTTTCGCTTTCCCCCTTTATCTAATCTGCTAAGCCTTTAATAGCCTTTAATAGCCTTTTAGCAGCTAATCCCTAAGCCTTTAAGCTTTTAATAGCCGCTAAACCGCTAATAGCGCTAATAGCGCTAATCCGTCAATGGGCTTGCTTCGCAAGACGAAAAAACCGCTAGACGAAGACTCTCGCGGAACGGATTAATTTCGTCTTGCGAGGCACCACTGTATATAGATATTATCCAAGTAGATATATATTTATTTTTAACCTTGCTATATTTTGTATAAATGTGCTCCAATGTGAGGTTGAGAGGGAGTAACTGGCCCAAGGTCACACCCATTGAGTTTCATGGCTGAGTGGGGATTTGAACCCTGGTCTCTGTCTCCAGGGCCCCAGTCTGACGCTCTAACCACTGCTCCACACTGGCTGCCTTATGAACAAGGAACATGGGAGGAAGTCCCTTACTGGGCAAAGTGCAAACCCCTCATCCTCACTTGCCCATCTGCAAAATGGGAATAGCAGTGGCTTACTTCGGAGGAGCTGGGCGTTGAAGGAAAGAACATCTGAAAAGAGTGAGATAAGTCAACGGCCTTATAGCTATTGGAGCTGAGATTCCCGCAAGAGGTTTTGGGGCCTGATGTTCAAAACAGATGTAAAGTGGTACCTCAGAAGTCGGACGGAATCTGTTCCGGTAGTTTGTTCAAATTCCGAAAACATTCAGAAACCAAGGTGCAGCTTCCGATTGGCTGCAGGAAGCTCCAATTGGAAGCTGCGTCGGATGTTTGGGTTCCAAAGAGCCTTCGCAAACCAGAACACTCACTTCTGGGTTTGCGGCGTTTGGGAGCCAAAACGTTCGAGTTGTAAGGTGTTTGGGATCCAAGGTATGACTATATTTAAGGAGAAACCGGAGTGTGCACAGGTGCAGTTTCCTGGATACTGTCTGTGCAGGGAAAGTATGCGCAGGAGAGAATTCCACTGCCAGTCCCAAGGAGGACTCTTCTGCTCAGGTCTTCCTGGCGGTGGCTACTGGGAGGTGTAGTCCACAGTGCCTGGACAGCACCAGGCTGACAAAGGCTGCCTTTAAGTGCACACACTCAAGGTGGAAAACCTGCCCTGCCTCAGAGGCGAACGGAGGGCAGAGCGACTGGTTCTGTCCCCCTGGGGCACTGCAGGGCATCACAGCTATGATATAGTGAGTGCAGCAGAATGGAAGGCGAGAGGAAGGGGGCTCCGAATTCTGGCTTCGTACAGGGTGGCCCTGGAATTTGAAAGACCCAAGCCTGCCCACGCCAGGAGCTCCTGCACCCCTGGAAAGGCAGGGTTTCCTTTTGTCCATTCTCCTGCTGCTATCAAAGGCTGACCTTTCTTTGCTGTCTGTCTGCACACAGAAGCTGTTCCTCCCAGACCGGAGCTTCTGTCCCGGATTGAGCGAGGGGAAGAGCCCGGCATTGTGGGTCGCCCTGGGCAAGGGGACAGAGACACCCAGGGGGGTGCCAGTTCCGGTGAGTATAGAATCCTAGAATTGTGCTGCTAGAAGGGACCCCCGGGGTACCTGCAAAGAAGGAATCTCAGCTGAAGAATCCCTGAGACAGATGTCCAACCAAGAGGGCCAGATTCAGAATTTAGAGGCCATAATAATAATAATTTATTTATACCCATCTGACTGGGTTGCTCCCACTACTCTGGGCAACTCCCAACAAAATATTAAAAACACGATAAAACATCAAACATTAAAAACATCCCTAAACAGGGCTGCCTTCAGTATCTTCTAAAAGTCAGATAGTTGCTTATTTCCTTGACATCTGATGCGAGGGCGTTCCACATGGTGGACGCCACTACAGAGAAGGCCTGACTGGTTCCCTGTAAGCTCACTTCTCACAGGGAGGGAACCACCAGAAGTTCCTCAGAGCTGGAGCTCAGTGTCTGGGCAGAAGGATGGGGATGGAGACACTCCTTCAGGTATACAGGACCGAGGCTGTTTAGGCCTTTCAAGGTCAGCACCAACACTTTGAATTATGCTTGGAAATGTACTGGGAGCCAATGTAGGTCTTTCAGGACCGATGTTATATGGTCTTGGTGGCCGCTCCCAGTCACCAGTCTAGCTGCTGCATTCTGGATTAGTTGCAGTTTCTGGGTCACCTTCAAAGGTAGCCCCACATAGAGCACATTGCAGTAGTTCAAGCGGGAGATAACCAGAGCATGCACCACTCTGGTGAGACAGTCTACGGGCAGGAAGGGTGTCAGCCGGCGTACCAGATAAGGCTGGCAGACAGCTGCCCTGGACACAGAATGGACCTGCGCTTCCATGGACAGCTGTGAGTCAAAATGACCCCCAGGCTGCGTACCTGGGAGCCCCCATACAGATCTCATTCAACTTACAAATGATAATAAACTGTAAAATAAAACTGTATTTTTCAAAATGAAACAAAACCTACAATAGGATGAAAAACAATGTTTGTTTTGCTATACTTCCACCAGGGGCAAGCAACCTAAGACCCAAGGGCCGATGTGGCCCAATCGCCTTCTCAATCTGGCCTGTGGATGGTCTGGGAATCATTGTGTTTTTACATGAGTAGAATGTGTGCTTTTATTTAAAATGCATCTCTGTGGTGCATAGGAATTCCTTCATTATTTTTCCCCCAAAATATAGTCTGGCCCCCCAGAAGGTCTGAGGGACGGTGGACCGGCCCATGGCTGGAAAAGGTTGCTGACCCCTGATTCCGCTTTATTTATATTTGGAAAAAAATCTCTTCCTTTTTCTAATTGCTCAGATCCCGAAAACTAATCACATACCTGCTTCTATACTTAGTAGAGATCTAGGCACCCGGCCTGCCCTGTGGCAGAGTTGCTTCTGTTGGGATTTTTAATAGACTTCAAGTGAGAACGCTAACGCTCCACTGAGCAATTTGTGACCATTGATGTTAGAAATCTGGCAGGGGAAATTTTCCGTGGTGCCTCCCTTTCCCTTGACGCAGGTGCTCATTTTGCTTCATTTTGGCAACCAACCTCTCTTTTAAAACCCTCCAATGAATCATTGGAAAAGCAGCCAGAGTCCTGGGCTGGATGGGCCAAGGTTCCACCCTCCAACCTTTCTCCAGGGAAATAGGGACATTCCGTTCTGCGGCAGGAAGCCTTCTCCTGCGTTTGATCTGGTGACGCACCCAGGCGTCCTCCTTGACTCAGAGGCATCGGTCACCTTGAACCAAGGACAACCTCACCTTCCTCGCAGGAGTGTTGTAAAAAAAACATGTGCAAGGGAAGGGATCATTTACAACACCTTCCACAGATCAATGGAATAAAGAAAAGCCCGTTAGGAAAATCATCATCATCATCACTGAAACACTGGGAATATTCAGGAACATACCAGAGAGTAAATCTTACTGAACTCAATGGGATTGCAGTGTAAGGATGCCCAGTCTTGACCCCATTACCTGGGAGTCAGCTCCATTAAAAACAGTGGGATTACTTCTGAGTAAACAGAGCAGTTCCGAAGGAATAAACACTCCCTGCGTTTCCTCAGAAATGTCTGGCTGTGGAAGCAACGCAGTGAAAGAATTTAAAGTAGTTTGGTGACCTTTTCCTTCAAAATTGTAGGGAGGGTTTCTTATGCCAACTTCACCCTTCATTCAGTGCAGGGATTTTATTATTGGTATAAACAGAATTCTATTTTTGCACCTACACACACCACTTTTTGAGCGGGTGGAAAAAGGAAAAACAGGACATTCTAGGATCAAATCAGAATTTGGGACAGCTTCTGCAACTCTGGGACTGTTCCTGGAGAACCAGGACACTTGGAGGGTATGTGGCGGCCTGATCCAGCAGGTCCTCCTTATGTAGGTTTTATGTATTCGACTCCATTCCCAGACTTGGGTTTTGCACCTTCTCCTCCTTCTTCCCGCAGGAGAGTCGAGGATGAGCTGGCCGGAGTTGGCGATGAAGGAGGAGCCGAGGGGGGACTGGAACCCGCCTGCCTCCCCTCCCTGGTCCCTTTCGGGACCCCAGTTCCTTGCCCTCCAAGAGCTGTGTCCCACGTGGTGCCAGGTGGAGCTGACGAACATCCGGAGCCTCGCCCAAGAGGGGCCTCTGGAGACGGGCGCGCTGCAGGAGCCCCAGCTGCTGATCTGTGGCGACTGTGGGAGGAGCTTTGAGGACGGGGGCTCCCTGGCGGACCACCAGGCCACCCACGAGGAGCAGAAGGGTCCCTTCGCCTGCTCTTCCTGCGGGAAGCTCTTCCTCTACCGCCTCAACCTCCTGACCCACAAGAGGCACCGGGCGAAGCCTCAGCTTGCCTGCGCCGCCTGTGGCCTCCGCTTCTGCCTCAAGGGGGACCTCCTGCGCCACCGGGCCAGCCACGCGGCCAAGGAACTCTACCCTTGCGGCACTTGTGGCGAGGTCTTCCAGCGCAAGGCCCACCTGCTGGCCCACGAGGCGGTGGAGCATGCTGGGAGGGCGGGCCGTGACTGCCCTGAGTGCGGGGAGGCCGTGGGCGGGGAGGCGGAGCTCGCGCAGCACCTGGCAGCGCACCACGAGGAGCGCCGACCCTTCGCCTGCGCCTTGTGCCCGGAGACCTTCAGCTGGAAGGAGGGCCTGCGGCTGCACCAGCGGGCGCACGCCCAGGAGGGGGGCCACCGCTGCCCAGACTGCGGGAAGAGCTTCAGCCGCCGCGGGAACCTCCTGACCCACCAGCGCCTGCACACCGGGGACCTGCCCTTCGCCTGCTCCGAGTGCGGGCGCGCTTTCCCCACCAACGTCGCCCTTGTGGCTCACAGCAAGATGCATCTCCGGGGCAAGACTTTCGCCTGCCAGCAGTGCGGCGGCTGCTTCCGCTCGCGGGAGAAGCTCCTCCAGCACCAGAGCCACCACAACGGGCGGCCGGAGGAGGACGGGGTCAAGGAGGAGGGCGAGGCGTAATGCCCCCGTTCTGCCTGTAGGTGGAGCAAGCCAGACTCGGGGAATCTCTTCTCTCTCTCTCTCCATTATCTCGGACTTGTCATAAATCTGTTTTTCAAAAACGCACCTTGACTGGTTTGTTTTGTTTGTTGTCTCTGCCTCCCACCTTCTTCTTTAAAAAAAATATTAAAAAACATTCATTTTTCTTTTTCATTCATCTCCAATTCTTAACATTTTCTATATAATCCTCCCTCCCTTCCAGGGCTTCCCCCAACCTCCGCTTCTGGTTTGTTTCTCTTTTCACCCACTTTGCTGTCTCCTAAGAGAAAAAAATATTAATAACATAACATCCAGCCTAAAAACAAAAAATAGAAGTAAATACACCATAATATTTCACCATCTTCTAAACATTTTCTAATACTAATAATGTAAATGTTTATTTAGATCCTGCCAGCAAATCTATTGACTTTCTTTGTTCCTTCAAATATGGTTCCCATTCTTTTTCACTGTCGTCTCTTTCTCTTAATCTGTCTGTCATTTTTGCCAGTTCTGCACAGTTCATCATCTTCTCTCCGTTGTTCTTTAGCTGGTACTTCTCCAGCCTTCCAATTTTGTGCAATCAACATTTTTGCTGATGTGGCGGCATTTGGCTTCCCGCCTTCGTTCCAAGCTCAGGGTTCTCCTCTGTGAAGGGGCTCAGGATGAGAGAAGGCAGGGACCGGCTGCCAAGGTCACGCCCAGGGAGCTCCATGGCCAAGTGGCCGGATTTGAACCCTGCTCTCTCCCAGGCCGACCCTCTGGAGCACAATATCACACCACCTTGCATGTTCACCTGAGGTCCTTGGGGGGCTGGGTGGGGCCTGGTGGGGGGAAGGTGGGGTCCAGAGATGCAGGGAGCCTTGTGCCCACCAAAGACCTCCAGGGGTGATCGCATTTCCTCTTTATGCACCCCAAGGTGTATTGCAACGTCATCCTTCCAAGGCGAGTGTTCTGGGCAGCTGTGGAGGGTTATTGCACATCTTCCAAGGGGCCTCTCTGTGCCTTTTTGCTCCTTTGGGGAAAACGTGTGATATCACAGAGGAAATCTGTAATAAAAGAACCCACTGCTGCCTTTGCCAGTGCTTCTAATATTGGATAGCTTTAGCCGACTCGGGAAACAAAGGTTTTTGCAGGAAATACATACTGTTTCTCGTGCATTTTGCGATCGCTCGGGAGCCAAGTGCCAAAGGGAAGACTTGGGCCAATTTTGTAGAAACTTAAGAGTTGGGACACCCAGGGTCATCTAGTCCAACCCCTGTCATGCAGGACTCTCAAGCAAAGCATCCCTGACAGATGGCCATCCAACCTCTGTCTAAAAAGCTCCAGTGGAGGAGAGTCCGCCATTTTCAGAGGGAGACCGTTCCACCGGCAGAAAGATCTTCCTGCTGTTTAGTCTGAATCTCCTTTCTTGTGATTTTAATCCAGCGGTTCTCAACCTGTGGGTCCCCAGATGTTGTTGGACTACAACTCCCACCATCCCTGAGCTCTGGCCTTGCTAGCTAGGGATGACGGGAGTTGTAGTCCAACAACTGGGGACCCACAGGTGGAGAACCGCTGATCCATTGGTTAAGGGTCCTGCTCTCTGGAGCGGCAGAAAGAAGGCTTGCTCCATCTTCCAGGCGACAGCCCTTCAGACGGGGGTGCAAACTTGAATATTTTATTGGGGGGCCGAAGGGACCCTGGCCCCTAGGACTTGGCTCCTATGCCTTCAGATATTTGAAGAGGGCTATCGAAAGAATTGCAGCTCTTCCAGGAGATCAGTGGAGAAGTGAACCTGTTTTTGGACTTCCGTCCCGGCAGCACCAGCCGTGTCCGGGGGTTGTAGTCCAGCCCCATTTGGAGGGTGACGCCTGGAACAGACCCTGCCCCTCCCATCAAATACCCAGGTGTGTTGGAAAACCTGTCCCCCTACCCTGGCCCAGTGCCATAAAAATAGAGAGACAGGCGAGGCCATCTTACTGGATGGAGGGAGTTGAGACCTGGACCGCGTGCAGCTAAATTCTTTTTCAGGTGTTAGGAGAGAAATCGGCTCAGCCCTATTCCCAGGGGGGGGGGGGTTCTGACTCAAATCAGGAGAGAATGCTACCGAGAGCAGCTCAGCTACTGTCTGAAGAAGTGATTATTGTTATTATTTTCAAAGCCCCCCCCCCCACATTCTGAGATACTTTCTAACCCAAGGAAAATTGATTAAATCTTTAGGGCGGCATCGTCGCCTGACCTCCCCAAATGCTGAAACGAGCCTGGTCTGAACATTTGGGCCCGGCACCGCTTTTCATATGAGTAGATCGCACAGTGTTTTTTTCTTCTCTGCTGCAACGTAAAACTGAAAAAAACTGAAAAGGCTTTCACCCTGCAAGGAGTTGCTGATGTTTTCAATTGCCCTTTTCAAAACCTTTTCCAACTCTACAGTATTCCTTTGGGAGTGAGGCAAACAGAGCTGTCATTCCAAAGTGGGGTTGTGCCATAGATTTTGTGTAATGGGCATTATGAGTATTGGGGGTTTTGAATTTTTTTTTTTTGGGGGGGGGAAGATCCATGATCATCATCCAGCTACAGAGTCATGTTTGTGCATAAGTGGCGGTCCTCAGCCCCCAAGGGAGTCTCTAGGGAAGGAGGTGCTTTTCGGGGATATGGGCGTAAACCACTCGCTATTTCAAAGGGTAATCTGAGCACCTTGAATCAGGACCCCGAAACAAACTGGCTGTTGCGCGATTTACACCACCAGCCCCACCGAATAATCTGTACTTTGGACCAGGAGAAGTTTCCGTTTCCAGGGCAGCCCCACGCAGAGCCCATGGCAACTGAGCAGGGCAGGGCCTTAATGGGGCCAATCGCCTCTGTCCAAAAGCGGCTGAGGCTGGAAAGGGGCCCCTCCCGGACCCCCAGAGATCATCCATCAGGTGCATCTCCATCATCTCTCCCCTCTGCGCCATGGGGAGCCCCCCACTCCGTCTGGGTGGGGGCCAGGAGGGCGGCGTTGCTTGGGAGGGGGGCGCCCATCCCCACCCAGGAAATCGGGGGCGGGGGCTGCAGCAGCCCCCTCGGAAGGAGCCTCTCCCGGCGCCCCCCGCCAGGCAGGCCCGGGGACCTGGGGGCGGAGAGTTGGGTGCCGCTCTCGCCGCTCCCCCCGCCCTCTCCAGACCCCGCCCCCCGCCCTCGCCGGCGCGGGGGCTGCCGGGAGTTGTAGTCTTCTCCCCGCCCACAACAAAGGCAGGCAGAGCCCGAGGGGCACCAGCCGGAGTGCCGGGCGCGCGCGGAGGGGCCGGGCAGAGCCAGCTGCTCCCTGTCCTCCCCCCGCGCCCCCTCGGCGGGGAGGCCGCCCCCCACGCCGCCTCCTCTGCAGGCCAGGTAAGCCCCCCCCTTGCAATAAAAGCCCCTTGCGAAACTCAGCAGGGGGGCATGCGAGCCGCGCGCCCCTCTCCGGGCCAAGGGGGCGCAGGAGCGCGGCTGCCCTTCGAGGGGGCGGCCCTGCTGCGGCCCCATGGGATTGCGCTCCCCCTCCGATCCTGCAGGATCGGGCCCAAGGGGGCGCAGCCTCTTCTGTCTCCGCCGCCCGCCCCGTCGGGCGATGCCCGCCTCGCCCGCTCCAGGAGGTCCCCCCCCCCAAAAAAAACCTCTTTGGGTTCAGGGCTGGTCTGACTCAGCTCGGCCCCGATTTCCTGCCCATATAGCACATTGGGGGGGGGGGGTGATTTGGCACCTGAGGACGAGAGGGCTGCTGGGCATGTGCCGAGTGCCACTCACGCACTCCTGGGAAGCCTCCACCCAACTTCGACTGGACTTAGCCGTCCAGGGGGTCCTTTCCCTTTCCCTTTTTATGTGTGGGGTGCAGCACGAGTGACTTGGAGGGTGAAATTGCCTTGCTTGGGTGGGGAGTTCAATTTGCAGAAATCGAAAGGGATGGACCTAAATAGACATGCCCTAAACGGAGTAAGACTAGCAGAGGGCAGGAGGTCAAGATGCTAGTGGGCAGCCAGCTGCCTATGATGGGAAGCCCAGAAACAGGTCCCAAGGAAAACAATATTTTCCTATTGTACCCTGTTAGCTGGTTATTCAGGGGTAGACTGCCCCTGGGCATGGAGGTTCTGCCACCACAGTAGAGCTTGCATATGGAGAGCCTTGAAGCTGGATCAGGCCAAAGGGGGACCCATAGAACCCAGCCTCCTGTTCTCACAGCACCCAACCGGATGCAGGATCCGAATACAAATCCAACTCTCCCCTCCTGTGGTTATCCAGCATTCATAACCACTGCCAGCTGAAGTTTGGTGAGGTCAGGCCCACTTGCCAGGACGCTCCTGGGCGCCCCACACCTCTCCAGAGTTCCCCCGTTGGTTGTGGGGCCGCAGCACGCTGCCTTGGGAGGTCAGAGGCCTGGATGGGGCAAAGGGTCTCTGCCTCGGTTTCCCTGCATAACAGCAGGCGGGTTGGGAAAGGGAGGCGAGGGCCGGGCTGTTCTCGAAAGTGCGGAGGCTGCCTGGAGGCAGGGAATAAGTGGAGGTGGAGGTGGAGCGAGAGAGATTTTGTGGGGAGATGGCTCTCAGTTGTGGCTTGAAGGACTGACATGGAGGAGTCTCTTGCTAGCAGGAGGCAGGGATGGCTTTGAAAGAGGATTGGACAACGTCAGGAGGAGGTGAGTCTCTGTGGCTCCCAGACACAATGGCTCTGCAAGGCAACAGGGCTTCTGAATGCCCAGAATACTCTTGTGCTTGGATCCTGCTAGCAGGTTTCCCATTTGGAGGACTCCCTGGTCCTGGATGGGGTAACTGTGCCTCTGAAGGTCCAGGTGTGCAGCCTGGGAGTCATTCTGGACTCACAGCTGTCCATGAAGGCGCAGGTCAATTCTGTGTCCAGGGCAGCTGTCTCCCAGCTCCATCTGGTACGCAGGATGAGGCCCTCCCTGCCCGTGGACTGCCTCGCCAGAGTGGCGCATGCTCTAGTTATCTCCCGCTTGGACTACTGCAATGCGCCCTACGTGGGGCTACCTTTGAAGGTGACCCGGAAACTACAACTAATCCAGAATGCGGCAGCTAGACTGGTGACTGGGAGCAGCCGCCAAGACCATATAACACCGGTCTTGAAAGACCTACATTGGCTCCCAGTACGTTTCCGAGCACAATTCCATGTGTTGGTGCTGATCTTTAAAGCCCCAAATGGCCTCGGGCCAGTAGACCTGATGGAGCATCTCCACCTCCATCGTTCAGTCTGGACACCGAGGTCCCTGTGAGAAGTGAAGCTACAGGGAACCAGGCAGAGGGCCTTCTCGGTAGTGGCACCCGCCCTGTGGAACGCCCTCCCATCAGATGTCAAGGAAATAAAGAACTATCTGACTTTTAGAAGACATCTGAAGGCAGCCCAGTTTAGGGAAGTTTTTAATGTGTGACATTTTAATGTATTTTTAATCTTTGTTGGAAGCCGCTCAGAGTGGCTGGGGAAACTCAGCCAGATGGGCGGGGTGCAAATAATATATTGTTGTTGTTGTTGTTGTTGTTGTTGTTATTTGGGCATCTGGTCAGCCACTGAGAGAACAGGATGATGGGTTCACTGGGCCTGATTCAGCAGATGCTTGTCTTATGATTTCGAAAACTTAGCACAGAGGATTGCAATCCTTTTGCAAATGAAGCAGTTACAATAACAATAATAAAAAAGCTACTTTTCTCTAATTCTATAATTCTCCTCTTCCTTATAATGTGGCTGGCCAAACTTAGTCCTAAAGAGTTGGGAGGGGCCCAAGGCTCACCTAGTCCAACGTTTTTATTTTGTATTTTTATGACGTGAACTGCCCTCAGATCTTCAGATGAAGGGTAGTGTACAAATCAAACAAATAAATTTGCTTCCCCGTTTCCCAAATTGCAGGCAATAGCAGGCCTGATGTATAATTCCTTCCTCTTTCTGTTTCTCCTCATTGCAGGGATGGAGCTCTGCGCATGTTCACTGAAGCCACAGCAGGCAACGTGGTGATGGGAGCAACAAGGGCCCCCGTGATGTGGTCCAGAGAGCGCTGGGCGGGCACCCCCACATCGTGTGGGGCTTAGCGTTGTGGTGCGTTGACGCCGTGTGCAAGGCAAGTTGGCTCTTTGAGGCTGCGAGTTCCATGTCTCTCGTTCCCCTTCGGTGAGTCCTGAGCGCTGTGGAATCACAGAATTGTACGGCTGGAAGCGACCCCAGGGGTCCTCTATGGAGGGATGTGGATAGGGAGGCTAAGAGAGGGTATATTTGTTAGATATTATTCTTCCTTGCTCTTGTTTGTGAGTTCATCAGAGTGTACCCCCGTGCAGCTTAAAAAGGGAAGCTTAGCTAGATTAGTTTTAGCTTTTTCGTTTAAGAAATCCAGGATGCTTTAAGGCAGACAATCACAGTCGGTCCATCATTTGAAAAATAAGACTTCAGAGCTGTCTGGCCCCCAAAACCAGGCCTTCTGTTTTGGCGACTCCAGCCTTGGTTTAAGGAGCCATTTGGCACCTAGTTTCTAATACTGATTCACTCACGCGGATTACAGAAACAGATACAGCAGCTGTGTTCATGCAGGCTTAAAATGGTAATTCAGTTACAAAGACTTACCGTATTTTTTGCACGATAACACTCACTTTTTTCCTCCTAAAAAGTAAGGGGAAATGTCTGTGCGTGTTATGGAGGGAATGCCTACGGGTGGCATGCCTACGGATTTTCCTCCTCTAAAAACTACGTGCGTGTTATGGTCGGGTGCGTGTTATAGAGCGAAAAATACGGTACTTTAGTCTAACTTAAAATTGTCTCTGAGCGTTGGAACTCAGACTTGCAGACGTCCTTCATATTTCCGGCAGAGTTTTCTCTAGCAAACTTGCAGGAAAACTCTGTGACCTTCAGCTCCTATCACATGCCTGTCTGGGGAACATAGAAATATCATTTCCCAAAAGCATTTCACTTCTTTACACGGCCACCACATATGGAAGAATGGCCCCTCTACCTGCTTACATTTCCAGCATTTTCTACATCTTGGCTGGTTTTTTTGGTGTTAAATGCCACCTGTACATCATTTTGAAATAAGTTCCTCTAAGTGTATAAAAAGCAGTAAACTTCATATCCTTTCCCCGTAACTTCTCCCCGGAAGCCCTATCCAAATTATGACCTGAGTCTTTAGGCCATTGTATCGTGGTTGATTTAACCATTTCATCTTTAGCACCCCATTCTAGTAACATGTACATTGTAGAAATCAGTTTTTCACTACTCACAAGCAGCCCCATCTTATGAAATGTTCTGTCATGTTGTTATTTATTGTTTGGAATTTGGGGTTTATTGGAATGACATGCAAGCATAGAAATATAATAAATCAAATCAAATTCCCTCCCTTCCTCTTGGGCAGGTGGTGTTGATGCGAAGCCCCCAATAGCCGTTGGAGCAGACCGAGAGGGGAGGCCACCCCCCCAGGAGAGGAGATGGAGGAGGAGAGTCTGGAGCCCCCCAGCCCAGGTCAGTAACGGGGAGACTTCCCTCCTGAGCCCTCCGTGAGTCGCAGGAACCCAGCTTGCCGGTGGCAGAGATGCAGAACGGAGCCTAAACACACTCCCTGTCAGTCTGATTTGTTTAGCTGGATGTTGGTACCCTCCTGGCGGGGGGGCGGGTTTCCAAGATTATTTGATTGACTTGTAGGTCGCTTTTCCACCATGAGCTTTTGCCCAAGGCGGCTTATGGCAAACAGCCCCAACCTCCAAATGCAGAGCATTGGAAATACAAATACAGTAGTACCTCTGGTTGTGAACTGGATCTGTTCCGGAGGCCCATTTGCAGCATGAAAAGAGCGCAACCTGCAGTAGTTCGTCTGCACATGCGCGGGTTGCGATTTAGCTCTTGCGCACATGCGCAAAGTGCGATTTATCGCTTGTGCGCATGCGCGAGCAGCGAAACCCAGAAGTAGCCCTTTCCGGTACTTCCGGGTCGCCGCGGGACGTAACCTGAAAGAATGTAACATGAAGCAAACGTAACATGAGGTATGACTGTATGCAAAATGCGGAACGTTTTGGCAAATCCAAAAATGATCAAAACAACAACAACAAACAACCCCAGCAATTTGGCCAATGCAGAATAAATTCAATATTGCACAAAATAAATAAATATAGGCTTGGAAGTCATAGAAGGGACTCCAAGGGTCTAGTCCAGCCCATTGCAATGCAGGAATCTCAGCTAAAGCATCCAAGACAGAGGGCCATTCAAACTCTCTTGAAAAACCTCCAAGGAAGGAGAGTTCATCACTTCCCAAGGGAAACTGTTCCACTGCCGAACATCTCTTAACTGTTGGAAAGTTCTTTCTGTTGTTTTGTCGGAATCTCCTTTCTTGTAACTTGAAGCTACGGGTTTGAGTCCTACCCTCCAGAGCAGGAGAAAACAAACTTCCCTGTGACAGACCTTGAGATATTTGAAGATAGAAACACATCTCCTCTCAGTCTCCTCTTTTCCAGGTTAAACATCCCGAGCTCCTTCAGTACATGAATACAGTGGTACCTCGGGTTACATACGCTTCAGATTACATACGCTTCAGGTTACAGACTCCACTAACCCAGAAATAGTACCTTGGGTTAAGAACTTTGCTTCAGGCGAAAGCTCTGAAAAAGCTCAATATGGAGGTCAAATGGCCGAAATATTGGGAAATTTTGGAACAAGATGGAGATAGACTGAAATTGCAGAGTTTTGAAAAACTAAAAAACAAAGTGCGAGACTGGCTTCATTATTATCAGATAATGGAGGCATACAATTTGGATAAGAAAATCGGCTTCTAGGTGGAAAAATCAAAATTAGAAACAGAATTGTTAGAACCCAAAACTAAGATTTTGTCTAAGATGTATAACTTGCTGTTGAAATGGAATACTCAGGATGAAACGGTGAAATCTGCTATGATTAAATGGGCACAAGACGTTGGACATAACATTATGTTTGCTGACTGGGAACAGTTATGGACCACAGGTATGAAATTTACGGCATGTAATGCCTTAAGAGAGAATATTATGAAAATGATATACAGGTGGTACATGACCCCAGTCAAGCTTGCAAAAATCTATCACTTGCCCAATAACAAATGTTGGAAATGTAAAGAAACTGAAGGTACATTCTTTCACCTTTGGTGGACGTGTCCAAGGATTAAGGTTTTCTGGGAGATGATTTATAATGAATTAAAAAATGTTATTTAAATATACCTTCTTGAAGAAACCAGAGGCCTTTCTCCTGGGCATAGTCGGCCAATCGGTGTTAAAGAAGGACAGAACTTTCTTTATGTATGCTACAACAGCAGCAAGAATACTTATTGCAAAGTATTGGAAGACACAAGACCTACCCACTCTGGAAGAATGGCAGATGAAAATGATGGACTACATGGAATTGGCGGAAATGACTGGCAGAATCCGAGACCAGGGAGAAGAGTCGGTGGAAGAAGATTGGAAGAAATTTAAAGACTATTTACAGAAATATTGCAAAATTTATGAATGTTAGAATGATGTTGGATTGAAGTTAAGTGGTTTCTAGCTGTAATGGTAAAAAAGAACATGGAAAAATTGGATTTTTAATAGGTAAAAATTTAATGCTATAATATATTAAGATAAAAGATCAGGATAAAATAAGGAGGGAAAGGAATTGCTGAACTAATAAATTGAACTGGAATACAAAAAAGGGAGGTCTGAGGAGGTCCGGGAAACAAGTAAATGAAAGATAAGTGACGAAAAGATGGAATTGTTTTTAACTGTTTTTTATTTTGTATTTTTTCTTTTTTCTTCTGTAATATTGTGAAAACTTTAATAAATATTTATAAAAAAAAAAGAACTTTGCTTCAGGATGAGAACAGAAATCGTGCGGCGGTGGTGCGGCAGCAGCGGGAGGCCCCATTAGCTAAAGTGGTGCTTCAGGTTAAGAACAGTTTCAGGTTAAGAACGGACCTCCGGAATGAATTAAGTGCTTAACCCGAGCTACCACTGTACATGGGAAACAAGAATTAACCGACAATAAAGGTTCTAGCACAATGCAGCTCAGAGAGGGTGGGGTGGGGTGGCCCAGAGCTGGCTCCCATGTCCTTAGTCCAGAGGAGGCGGAGAGCAGCAAAAGGCAAATGTTGGAGAGGGAAATGATTAACTGTTTATTCGGTGACAGATGTGCTCCTGACATCTCTGAAAAGGTGAGGGTTGTTTTGCCTTTAGAACGGCAACTTAGGGATAAGTTAAATTCTTCCGGCGAAGAAACTCCCCCTCCGCCACGGAAGTCCTGGTTTCAATAATTGTGGAATGCATTTTATTTTGTCTTGTGTATCTTGGGTGGTTTCTTGGTAACGGCTTCGGCTGCACAAATAAATTAATATAATATTCTTCCTCCTTGAAGCTGCTGGCTGGGCTGCTCCCTTGGGACGCAAAGTGGTGGTGAAGGTGGAGCCAGAGGAGGAGCTGCGCATTGGATGCCCCCAGGACCTGGCGGAGGCAGAGAGGGAGCCGCTTCCTGACTCCCCGGCAGGTGAGATGGGCTGGGGTTCCTCCCTGGGGAGCAGGTGGAGGGGTGCATGACGCAGCCCCCCAGGACACCCAGAGCAAGGTGAGGGGCCCCCTGGAGTTGGCTACCAGTGGCCCCCAGTGCCCGCTGGCCCCCTTGCACTCCTAAGCTTGAAGGTTCCCACACCTTCTCTGAGCTACTAAGAACAGCAGTTGCTGTCTTAGCAAACCCATCAGCAAATCTCTTTGGAGGTTTGCCTTTTGTGGCCCTTTCAGATCTGCGTACTAGACGCAAGTCTTCTGCACTCACCTCCTCCTTCTTAGGAGAAAAGTGGCCAATGGTGAACAGTGGTTCTTCCAGTTCAGTGTCAGACGCATCAGATGGTCTGACTGAGGCTTTTGCGCTCTTGTAGTCTTCTGTGTCATCACTGTCACTGACAACAGCAGCAGCACCGCCCACTGAGCTGGAATCCGAACTCTGATCATCATCCTCAGCTTCCTCTTCTTCCACATCATCTTCATCCTCCTCTGAGTGACTCTGGAAAATTCCCACATTTCCCCCCCCCCACTTAGGATTGTACTCAACACTCTTTGTG